CTGAGACACGCGGAAATGGGCTGCCATCTCCTCAGCCGTTCTGGGCACTATGCCCTTAAACCCTGACCTCATCTTCCGACCAAATGGGTCAGTGACTAATAACCGATGATCAGGCACGCGAGCGAGAGATGAAAGAGGGAACGCACCGCCAACGAGGAAATCTGCTGTAGTCTGCCTATTATGAGGCTCATAGCCCATATCGATGAAATATTGACGGGCGGCGCTGGCCGGCCCAAAATAGGCCATTCGACCTTCAGCGATGACACACACCTTGTCAAAGAGCTCATACAATTGCTCCCCGGCTTGGTAAATGGACACAATAGTTGTAAGACGTGCGATGTCAGTACCCAGACGCAAAGCTTGAACAAACTCAAGCGCAGTAGAAGCATCTAGGCCGCGAGTGGAGCTAAATATGCCGAGTTAACGCCAGAACAGCCTACCACAGCAGAAGCTTACTTGTCCCATGCACCAATCATGCTCCTGCAAGAGAGTGCCTCTGCAATGGAAACACGCTTCTTCTCACCTCCCGATACTCCGCGAGTCGCGGCATCACCGACAACAGTTTTTCGAGCGTGCCGAAGGCCGAAAATTCTGAGGAGAACATCCAAAAATTCGGCATTGAATTGATTCCTCGACTGATCGGTGAAGCGGGCGTGAGGCGTGCGAGTTTTGATGGCAAAAGACAATGTTTCTTCGACGGTCAAGGTAGGAAAGTGAATGTCGTCCTCTGGGCAATAAGTGACATCTCCGCGGTAATGATTGTGAATATCTTGAGGGGTAAATGAATCATAGGAAACCTCCCCTTCAACAGCATGGTACTCCCCACGCTGGTTTGCGAGGGTCTTAAGGAATGTGCTACACCCTGATCCAGGCTTTCCAAGAACAACTGATAGAATAAGGTGTCATGAGGTACAGGGGGTGAGATTCGGACATGAGGCTCACGTAGCATTTCGCCAGGTGCAACGACGCCTTCGAAGCCTGACAGTATATCCCGTAGGGGTGGATGACGAGCTTCACTAATTGTGTGCAAGAGGGAGGTAGGGCTAAATAAGGACCCGATGGTCTGTTGCAACGATGCTCTTGCGCCAGTGCCTACTACACGAAGGTCATCGAACACGACACCGAGCTCACGGCGTTTTATTTCTTCATCATCACGTCTGCAACGAATTGTCAACCATAGCCGGTCGTTGATGAAATGATGCTGAACCTACCGCCTAATGATGTCCTTGAGATGTTTTTCGAAGTTGAATTCTTCATCCTCGACTATGGTGAAAACCGAATTGCGAGATCCAGGCTCCTCACGCTGGTCAGAAATAGACATTGTGAGTGAATGGGTGGGAGTGACTTAACGGTAAGCTAGGAATGGATGCTTTTATATGCGGTGTAGATAACCGAATGCGAATGGGCATCAGCTTATGCCGGACCAACACACAATTACTGATACACCCCCTAACAATTTCCCGACCGGAAATCAAAAAAAAACGTTAACCTGCACAGCCACCATATGATCGCTCACGCAGTGTTGATGAGTCATCACTATAAAATAACTCTCGGGCCAATGCCGTGAACAAACGTATGCGCTTTCCCGAGCCCGATCGTTACATTCGACTGTCAAAGCATCGGGCTTATTATCGGTCAGTCAGCGCTCCAGTTGTTACTTATATGAACGTGTTCTCATGATGAAGCTGTGAGCATGACCGACAAGTTTGTTGGTGACATCAGCACCTGGCGAGAATGGCAGACTGGTTGGGTACGTCTCATGGCTCCAGAGGAACAGGTCCCCGAGCCCGAGGCTAGGCGTGTAAGTATTGTTCTACATAGAGTACTACTAATGAACTCATCAATCAATAGATATGGCGCTCTGGTGCCTAGCATGGTGGTCTCATGTGGAAATATATCTGCACCGAGAGTGTGGGACCCGTGCATAGCTGTGCATAACACAGCTGCGATAACGCCGTGCTTGGTGGTCGATCATCATCAGCAGAGTGATGGTCACTGCCTAAAGATTCAGTCTTCTTCCCCTTTATGATGGAGCACATGCGGATTATGCGGTACCTAACGACGAAACAAGACTTTTGGCTAACCCTCGAATGTGGTTCATTATTTATCCCATTAATCACGCATAGACAATCGTGTCTTCTCTGGCTGTCGTACGATATTGTTACTTCTTGCCCATGTCAAAAACTCATCTGAAGACTGACGGATTATAGCACAGCGTATCGGCAGCGCGAAACACGGAGAAAGAGCTGCGAAGAACCTTGTTACAGTCAGCAAACTCACAAATTGGAACCGGACGATAGATTGCCACCAGTCGAGACTAAGCCCACGCCTTTGAAGGTTAGTCGGGCGCTGATCACGGGGTGGAGATTATATGCACTATATCTTTTTTTAGTGAGAGGAGCCTTTACGGCCAGCTACCTCGGGAAGGTGAGAAATTTTTCCAGTTCCAGTCACTACGCGGCTCGTTTGCTGAAGAACGGCATTGGCGACCACTAGGTGTGATAAACGCAATGAGCTTCCCAGGCAATACAATCCATGACATACATCGCTTGTTTATATATTTCACACTGCGGCCGCCGCCACTTAAAGAGGTCTGTAAGTATATCCTCCAAACTATCAAAAGTCGAATGTGAAGCTGCTTCAGAGCTACAGTACAAGAGCTTTCTCAGGATGCCAGGGGCCCAGTGCAGACGACACCAAGTTCATAGATACGTAAAATTATAGGATGACTGCTACCTATCCTCTGTTGCAAATGACGGTACTAGATGGCGAACATGAACATTGATGCCACCACATGAGTCGACGAGAAGTTGCCCGATACACAAACCTGATTTTCACGCGACACATTCACAGCAGTGACTCGAGTCTCTGGAGGACAAAAGTGGAGTAAACTCGCTGTCAAGTACCAGTGCAGGGAACTCATTTGCATGCAAGCCAACCAATGAGGGAAGTAAGGGAACTCCAAATCGAACGATTGAATCAGAATACCGACAACGGTTCTCACTGAAGTGTGATCGGATGGGGGAACAACGGACTTGCTGCTTCGGATGCAGCAGTCCTCGGATGAATTATAGCATACTAAGGCCTGAGCTGAACCATGAGACACGACCAAGTATAATAGGATCAGGATATATACTTACAAGAAAAGCACAGCAAATAAGGCCGAAGCACGTTGGGAAAGACGTTGGCTATAATAAATATATATCATTCGCAATTGGATGGACTTGTAGGAGGCATTTCATGCCCATTTGGGCTCGTGCAGTGACCCTGGTGATGCAGATGGCCCGTTACGACTGCTTGCGAGCATTGTTGTCAATGTATGGCTCACTGGGGTATCGTTCAATCAGATTTCGATGATCAAGGTCAACCGCCACCAGACGTACCTCCGGTCCATATCCTGTACCAGCTTGCCCAATGCGACCGAGTAACGTTCCACTTATCCACCAAAGGCCATCCCATCTGTGTTAGAGCCTATTACTAGTAGGCAAACAACGTTCCTTTTCAGTGTGGTCCGCGGATCGGGCCAGGTGGGTCGCCACGCGGGATTGGATGCAGCTCGATCTTTTTGCCTTGGGACTGGCAAGCATGAATGAAGCAAGTGTCATACCGGTCATAACGGAACGATAATTAAATGTCATTTTCAACTACCGTGGCGGCAATCCATGCCTCTTTACCTTTGGATCATAAGATATCCACCATGATCTATTCAGTCTTGAAGCATGCTAGAATAGTATCTAACCAAATCGTCTCCCATGGGTTACCCGTGGTGTTCGGAGAAAATCAATGACCCTGTGGAATGATAGCAAACACGTTCTGAGTTAGAGTAAAGGAAACAAGCACAGAAACAGAATGACGACTATGTCGTTGCCGAAGGGCACGCCCCGGAATGTCAGCAAAAAAGAGTCACCATAATGGCTTAGTAAGCCAGCTCTAAGGCGAGGTCAACAAAAACGGCCGCCGGGTGCGTTTCTACACCGATGATTCAGCCTGTTTCAAGTTGCGCCATGGATTCAATAGAAGGCTTTCCCAATGAGTCTGTCACAACTACTAAGCACTTTGGTCAGAGAACGTGCCATCGTTTTCCTCAAAAAGTTTGGGGACACGCATGCAGCCTCAGTGAACGCGAACTTTGGGCGTGTCTTTGTCTGCTGGGACCTTGAGACTTGGACGCATCACACCCGTCGATTAACTCAGTAAAGTCAGACCCCTTGTATTCGCAACGAGAACCTGCATATGCGTACCAACGTGTTCTCGGATGAAACGAATATTGGGATAGGGCTAGGTTGCTCGGGTTCTTCCCCGCTTTCGCGGTTAGAGTTTATCAAAGAAAGCTGATGGATGCTGGCTAGCGCTGGCTGTTCGAGAACCAACTCAACACTCCAAAATGTACATTTCAAATTATTCGACATAAGTATACACAACGAAAAAAAAAATCCTTCAAGTAATATGTATATGTATGTATGTAACCCTTGCGTCCATGCTAAATATAAACAAGAATGAGAATGTAGCAGGACGAGTAAAATATGTGACAGCGGCAGCTATCAATCTTTTGACAGATGTGATGGATGATGATCAGGAAGGGGTAGAGTGCGTGGTGGTGGCGGCGGCGGCGACAGAGGCTCGGATATGAGGCCAAGACAGATAGAACATTCGTGAGATGGGAATAGGTTCGGGCATGCAGACGCGGGTCAGATGGGACGAGATGTAAAAAAAAGGCACAGTCCTGCAGAGATGAAAGCGTGAACAAATTTAAATCCATAACCCCTTCCAAGCCCATGATAGAGCGAGCCATGGCATGATAAGATATAGACTAGGCCTCGAAAAGGAAATATTTGAAACCTTCAGGTCCCTTGACAAGTAACTGTCCGAAATATATGAATCTGCAGAATGTGAAATGTGTGCGTTGACGTTATTGATGCTCTGCATGTAGATGGTTCGTCGGGAAGGGTGTGGTCGGTTCGTCGAGAAGAAGTGATGTTGTCGAGTCGTCAAGGATGGTATCGTCTCCAGGTAAACATGCGGCGGAAAAACACAGCACCTTGATGCCCGCGGGGTAGTAAGATATTCCCCAGAGTATCTGAGACAGAGTCTCAGGTACAAGAACGCACTAAGTCCATCCGACCTCACTGGGATCGAAATTTGTTGCACACAGTCCACCGCCTGCTGATGGTTGCCCATCGCCTCACATCACATCGCTCCTGAAACCAAGGTTAACACTCCGACCTCACAAATGAAAAAGGAACTCCTCTCACCAGTCACCACTTACAACGCAACACCAATCCCACTAGGCCTAACAGTACTCGGCACCCTCATCCTACTTCCCGGATGACCTGAGGACGAACGATACACCATCCCCGTTCCTGTCCGTGACTTTGGCCTATCTCCATTCCCTATCCCCACTATACCCCCAACACTCCCCGAAGAACTAGGCATCACAAGTGTCCGCATCACAGGCGACAAAGGCAGAATCGGCGTATGCGACTGCGTCAACGGAGACTGTGGCTGTGAATGCGTACGCTTGAGCTGATCATGCACGTTCCGGTTATACGTCAGTACTGCCCCTGGCCGTAAGGGCTGTTCACCTGGTTGGAGGAGCTTGAAGGTGCGCGGAAGAGGGCTTTGCGAGCCGCTTTCCCTCAGGCTTAGGACACTTTCTCGGGCGTTTGAGTTACTTGGGATAGTGATAGTGCTGATATCTCTGGGGTTCGCGAAGTCGCTATCCCTTGGGTCCATGAAGCTGCTGTCCCGTGTGCTTGCGTTCACATATGGCACAGAGAATACACCTCCACTGTGGTCGCTCTGCCCTGTCAATAGAGACGGATTAGGCGTCGACAATGAGCTGTTGGATACAGATAGGCTGTGGCTCATCGAGGGCCGGGGGGTACTTAATAGCGGGCGGGGTACACCACACAAGGACGGTCGGCGCGAACCACCCAACGAAGACCTCGGGACACTACCCAAAGACGGTCGGGGCACACCGCCCAACGAAGACCTCGGAACACTGCCCAAAGACGGTCGAGGCGTAGCGCCCAACGAAGGCCTTGGCACACCACTTAATGAAGGCCTGGGTGTTCCCGTCCCAGTCTCACCACCATTAACATTGACCTTAAGCCCTCCACTGAACTCCACAGAGCCAACGCTCGACGTGCTCGAATACGTCCTCATCCTCGAAAGCGATGGCGGGTATTTCTTTGGGGTCAAGGGGAGCGGAGGGAGCGATTTGTCGATGTTGGATAACGACAGGGTAGATGAGTGAGATAGCGATAGCTGGTGTGTTGGATGACTCGAACCCATGCCTGAGGAGGTGTTAGTACTCGTCTCCGAGAACGGTACTGGGCTCTGGGGCGTCGCAGGGAAGGGAATGGATAGCGACGAAGTAGAAGCCGTGCTCGAACCATTACCAATCCCACCACCCGTGCCCGTGCCGAGTCCACTAGAACTCGACCCTGTGCTGGTGCGAAAATCTGCGCGGGTGGGGGTAATCCCATCTTCAAGTAGGATGGAAACCCGAGCGTCGTCGTCTTTGAGTTTGTGAGGGCGGGTTTTTGAGCGGGAGGTAACAGGTTTGGTTTTGCTTCTGCTTCTGTTGAGTGGGAGGCTTTTGGAGAATGGGTCGTCGGGCCCGTAATCTGTGGGTGGGAAGTCGCGTATTCGGACAATGCGGCCAAATTCATCCACGTCTTCTTCATTCTCTTCTTCGCGAAGGATAGAGTGGGATATGCTGCGTGAGAGGGGGTGTGGGGAGCGGAGGGAGGAGTAAGATTGAGATGTGGATATGGATGCAGCAGACGAGCGTCGGGAGAGGTTGAGGGCTGAGAGACGACGTGTGAGTGGGGAGGGGGCGTCTTCGTCTTCGCTGTTCGAAGAGTTAGTATTTGGATGTGGACATGAAGAGAAGACGGAGAGCTTGGGGCGTGGCCCGATCCGGGGAAAGTGAAGATAGGCACTGGTGAAAATTGCAAGATGTCGCTTGACGGGGCGATGCGTCCGCGCAAACCGCCGTTCTTGGCAGGACGGAGCCGACATAAGACAGAGAAGCGAAGATGGGAGAGGATAAAAGCGGGGCCTCGAAAGCTAGTCCGCCACTCTAAACGACGGAAATACTCACCTATCACTCCAGCCCAAACCAGTTGTGAGGCCGATGCCTCCTCTCAATAACCTTCCATCACGATGCCTGACGCGTCTACTAGGTGTGTCTCTTGAATCTTTTGGATGTTTGCTTCCAGTGGAACTATTTGTTATTAATGAAGCGTCGGAGAAGGTAGACTGGAGGGAAGCTTGTGAAGCTATGGAGAGACGACTTTGGGGTAGAGGTGATGGTGGGAGGAGTTTTGAGTGGGGAGAGAGAAGGCCGTGTCTGAGCATGAGATGGCTGAAAAGAGAGTCATTACCAAATGAGGTCGGTAGGTCAAGACAGAGACTGACGGTAAGGGGGTATGGAGATCGATGCTTGAATCCGAGTCGGCAGCATCTTCTTGGTCTAACTCATGACTGGGTAAGTCTGATGATCTACGCGTACGAGGGCGTGAACGTGAACGTGAGGTTGCTTGTATGATAGCTGGAACGTCTGGACTTGTTGAGCGAGGTCTTTCGAGTTCTGATGGGGGGCCTTCTTCTGATATTGTATTATGGGTTAGATCGTAGGAAGGTTTCTTTTGGAATGAGCGTAAACTTGATAAACTTCCGGCTCTGGTTCTAGTTCGAAGTGAATGATCTGAACTAGAAGTGGATAGACGACGAAGGAAAAGGATTGCATCAGGAGATGGACCTGGAACTGGGGGTAGTGGTGCAGTAGGTGGTAGTGAAGGTGGTGGATTAGGCGATGGTGGAATATGTGATGGTGGTATAGGAAATGCCTCGAGTAGAAATGGAACTGGAGTGTGTTTACGGTGTTCGGTTGTCGCCATTAATACTGTGGTAGTTGTAGTTGTGGGGGTCGCGGTCGCTATCGTCGTCGTTGTCACCGTCGTCCTGGTCATTGTCGTTTTCAATATAGCTGAAAGGCTAAGCGCTAAACGAAGGTTCACAAATATTTTTCTCACGATACAAATTTAGACTAGCCGCTCAACAACCGAACGTATTCGCTGACAAATTGATTTCAACGTTTGTGTTCCACGCGTCCATGGCAACTCCTCATCCCGTTCAATGTCGACCTTGTATCCGTTCGCAGGAATGTCAGATTGACTCGTGTCAGATGACATCATGCAGATCGTCTTGGTCGCTCTTCCACCATCGCCTCTGCGCATCAGATACTTCGAGGAGATAGATGTCTTCATTTCCGCACACAACCGCTTCTGACCACTCTGGAGAAACAATTTACGCAATCGATTCGCATGGAGCTCTCGTCTCAAGCTCCGAATGCTTTTGCCAAGCGATTTCGAGGCACAACGAGCGCGATCTTCACCTCGGCGCTCATCATAGATAACTTATCACCGCTCTCCGCTCGATTCCACATATTGGGGTCTTGAACCTTGGAATTTGAACGTCTTCGTCAATTGTGAGAGTCGTACCTCGCCCGACCAAATTTTTTTTTCAACGGTACATCCGATATTGATATTGAAGGAGCGCGCTGATTGATCGTGTGTGCGCCTGTGGGGAATCCCGCAGTGTCTGCTCAGCTTATCTCTCGAATTTAGGTTTGATAAAATTACCATCGATGTTCTCGAAAAAAAAATCAAGTTGTAGGTATGATAAGAGTTGTACCGGCTGTTCGATGTACCGTGCCGTCGATCCTCGCATTCACTCCTCATACCCTCGATTGCTTGCTGGAGGTTGGCAATGGAACTCGAAAGAGCTGGGCGGCAACTTGCAATGCAAGGTCTCGAAGTCGTGTAGTGACATACCGAACTATGAATGCAATGAGTACATGCTTATTCGAATCACTGGGCTTATACAAATGTCAACCTGACAACGACTTCGCTCCCTTTGCGATGCATGCGCAGTGTTATCAGCCACGATTGTCATGAAACACCCAGTCAGTCAGGCAGAAGAACGTTGCTCCTGAGTTCCTGGTACTGACTCGTGCGACGCGGAGAACGCGCGGCGGTTGAATATTTGACAGGCACTTGTCGTGCTCCTGCAACCAAGGAGAGCAGTCGTTTCGTTTCTTCTATGAAGCACAGCGTAACCCCGCGTCAGTGATGAACAAGAACGAGGTCGCGGCTCGTAGCTGCTTGAATTCCCATAGCTAGTTCAAATAACGACACACTTGGCGACCACTCGTACAATACTCATATAATGTTTTTCCCCCTCTGTGACTGATCCATGGTACGCCACTCAGTTTGATCATGTATGTGTTTGTAAAATATGTGATTTTCGTGCTTGATCTGCAGTCATCTGTAGCCTCCTTCCGGCACCCGCGGCATGTATCTATACAGGAAAAAAAAACTGTTCCGAGTCCTGTCCTGTAGCGCATCCCTCGGCTAAAAGGCGCCAGTTAACGGAGATCAATACCTCGTCACTCAGGCTCGGTGCCGATGTCCCTGTTGCATGAGGCGATACCGTGTAAAGCTTTCTGCCAAGATTTTGTCGGGATGGTCAGAGGATTGATCATGAGTTCAGATCTAGATGTGTTTTTTGTATGGAGCTCAGGGCACCAACCAGCTCCTAGATGGGCCTTGCAGTGATCTTGTATTACCCGGTGCTGTGATGATGGGTTGCCTGGACTCCACTTAAGGACCTCAAATCAGTACATCCGACACTGCCGAACTGATTCTCTGTACGCGACGACATGCTCGTAGTCCGTGAATGCAGCGCCGATTACTATTAACGATTAAAGCTAGGATAGATGGCACGGCCCCCATATGACATATGCTGACCAAAGAACATACGTCCAGTACCAGCAGAATTGAAAAACAAATCAATGTATTGTAGGTATCGTGGGAAGCTCCGAATTGTTGCGTGAAAGTTGTTCCCGTTCGCGGACGGACTTCCTGGCATTGAGCCTGACCAGCACTTTAGCGAGCTTCATAGGAGGATTGGTTGACTCACACTGCGAGCATTGAGTTCATATAGGCTATGAGCGAAAGGGTTAGTATTTGCGCAGTGCATAGGGAACATGTACCAGTATCACTGACAGTTTCCTATCACCGCACCAGGTGCAGCGGAATAAAATCGGCCAATAAGACCCTCCTGGAACTGATACTAAGATGAATAGTCCTGGCGGTTATTTTTTCTCTGCGGTTTGCATGAATGGGAAGACTTACGAGCACAGCTAGGGTAGTCGCCACAAGACTGGGGGACAAAGCATGTGAGATGAAATGTTCATGAATCATCGGGAATACAATATCACACATACAAGGAAAACAATCCCATTTGAATAAAAACACGCAACAATTCATTGAGATAACTCCTCGACCTCGAACTTCACGGCTGCATGAGTCAAGCCTACAAGCACAGCGGAGAGATACATACCGAATGTTGTCTGTTCGTGCCGGTCGCAAAAACCACCAGACTGTCCCTGTAGTGACAGCATCGCATAATGCACTGGTAAAGGCCGCTAATTGCGACCACTAAATCTGAGTATGAGTTCCTTGCTCGTCAAAACTATGTCAAGGCTGACTGGACCTTCGTATAGAATAGATCATCAGGCTTTCGCGTGTTGAATCTTTGAGAGTATATGAGAAATAGTACGGGCTTGATGAACAAGATCGTCTTACATTAAACCACTTAGGACTAGAGACGAAGACGCAATATATCAGAACATTGACAGAGGACATAGAGGATTGACGTAACTCATGCCACACACTATAGCGTTCAAAAGTCAGAGGTCATGCCGGTGGCCGAGATTGAAAGCGCTGACCGAATGATACAGTGGCGAGTCCACACTGAAAATTCGTGTTGCAGCTTTCCGGAACATTAATCAAGAAAACGGCAACTCACAATAATGCCTGTTATCCAGCGATTTTGTGCTGTGACTAAAGGAGTTCCTTGAAACGTCACTCTCATGGATTCTGGACTACTCACTGATCCACACCCTGCATACATAAAAACTTTTGACAGCCGATGGAAATTTAGCATCGCCTTACGGGAAGCTACTAGGCCACAGGAGCCACGTACCACTGAACGGCGAAAATAATACAATACTTACGATTTGTCAATGAATGTTGATAAACAACTAAATATAGAAGACTTACTGCCGTAAGTACGGCGAGCTACGCGGGCAACGTTCAATATGCAGTATCTTACATCAATGAAATAGAACTTGCCAGTACCTGCCACCTATAATCTTCTTGATGAGTTGATTTGTACAAGAAAAACTCTATCGACTTACCACAGAAGTTGAGAGGTGCACTCGAGGGACATGCTACGACGGCACGAAATAAGGATAGACCAGTATATCCCTGACAATGAGTATTCGTGAATTGTTTCCAAACAACTGCGAGACATCGTCATTGGCATCAGGTTATAATCATGATTGAATATCATTGAAATTGCCCACAAGGCCATTGTTATCTATATTAGATGTGTCAGTTGACGATGTTTTCGGAAATGCATAAGTTGGGCTCACAAACAATTTGAGTTTTCGTGAATCGTGCGGAAAAGATCGCAAGTAGAAGAGATACTGTCCGAAAGCTGTCCCGTAGAGCCTTTAGAATCTTAGAGGTCAACCCTCAATAGCAACGACTAAATGTTACAAGTCCATACGCTGTAGCTATGATAAATCCTTCAAAACCTAGAGTCAGCTGGGGGAAATCGAAGTCCAGCCGCATCAGAAGGCTCACCAATGAATCCGGGCCCCCACATCAGCTCCGTAGAGTTGACCACCATCGTGCTTGATGAAGAAAAAAACACTAACCTGGCTGCCGCATCTGCAATAGGCTTACCAGTCTGCCTTTATATGCCTTTATCATCGTTCACGGCATCGCTCGTGAGCTTTTCTGTAAATGGTGGCGCTAGGCTGTACCGTAAGTGACTAGCAGTGTTCTAACGAACCCAGTAACCAAGTGACCGATTTGGAGCCCAAACCGAACAGCGCTGGTACCAACTGGCAGAAGGTTCATCATACACTTATGAGTTCGTCCCTTTGGCTATTCAGATAGCATGATAATATATGTTCGGCTACAACTTAGCCTACAAACGGTGGCGCTGGTAACACATTTAGAACCTCGCTGAGCATTTTATTCACATGTAGTGCAGTGACGGGACTTTGCTTTGGCTGAACTTCCCTTCCCCCGCTCAGACGGACCACTTGTTCAATATAGTACCGTCGATTCGAAGTTACCTAAACTCGATTTCCAAACTATGTACACCGGAAATCGGGGCAATTTGACCTTTTTAATATGATTGTATTCCGCTTGGTGCTTGTGACCTCACATACCATGATTGATATGATGTTCACCGTTCTTCGCTAGGCACCAGTCGGTATGCCTGCGGTACGGGAACACAACGCCACCGGCTGGTGGTTCGCAAGCTATTACTATCACTCCTGGGGTTCTGCAACATTTTCAATAAATCTTTTGTAACTCCTCAACCGCATCATATTATCTTCTACTGATTTGCACCATTATATATTCGTAGCTACTCTATATGAATATGATTTTTTCTGATTTTAAGGATTTTTTGGTGGAGTGTCGGATGAAGGCCGAGAAAATTCAGGGTCTGACTGGTATTCTGCAAAACATGGTCACGTCGTGTCACACGTCGGCACAGCAGCGGCACCGTCAACTTTCACTCTCCGAAGACTCTGAAGCTCGTCGTTGCGCATCGCTTTGAAAATGAATATTATTGAGGATCATGGTCTATATACTAATAATTGTGATTATAATGGTACTGTTGATAGAGTCCTGACTCATACAGCTGACGGCCTGCATTACCAGAGCCCCCAATGTCATACATCTGCAATCCACCAACTCAAAAATCCTGAGACATACTAGCGAGAGGTCTACCAACCGGTGCGAAGGGAGGGTGAAGAACAGGTGGAGACCGAGGTACAGAATGGTGCATTGAATAATATGGAGGTGCATAGCCGGGTGGGGGCAGATCCATGGCTGACATTGAGGAATGAGTGACAGGCACTGGCAACTGTGGTTGATACCTGGATGGTTGTTGAATCAAATTTGGGGGAATCATATCTTGCGGGAATTCAGGCGCCACACTATTGTCATTTTCGAGACGGCGCCTGCGAGAACGGGGGGGATTAAATAAACCATCATAGCGTTGATTTTTCTTGAGTTCCGGGTGGTCGTTGAAGTGCTGAATGCGACTGACTGGACAGTGCCGTGTATCAAGCCGAGTGTGCCGTAGAGGAGATTGAATTTCTTACACACTCTCCTATCTGTTGTCACGCTTTCATACATGTCCACAATCCTCCGTCTATAGCATCTTAAAACAAGAGAATGACCTCTATCGAAATTGTGTTCTGACACCCTGACAAGGTGTCTGATATACCCCGGGTGTAATTTTTTGAATATCTCTCTAGGATCTATGGGATCTGGATCATTTATGATTATACAAGGTTGCAAATTACCACTATTCCGTCTCTCGCAGCTGCAACACTCGAGAAATTTTTATTCTACTTGGACAGTACATCATCTCTAAGTAGCCTACATGCATCTAAATTTTTTCGAGGTGATTCAAGCAGCGCATTGAGGTGTTTTGAACAATTTGCATATTACATGCCAGTTGCAGATTCCCAGGAATGATAGTAGGCTTGGGAGTAGAAGGCTAATAAACGGGGAAAAGCTATTATATTCTTGCATGAAATGACGTACATGCTGCTTTAGTTGCCACCATTGTCATTTCCGTCATTTTCTGATCGAGCAATAAGGATCAGAAGATTCAGAACATCATGATTAACACAGTTAGTACATAGCATCATGATGCACATCCGGCCCTCAGCTCAGGAAATAATACAATCTTCCTTGAAGCTCAAATTATACATCGTCTTGTCTACCGTCTTCTCGATCTTTTTCCAATCAGCGCGTCGTTGAATAAATTCATAAATATCCTAGCGAAAACATTGTTATTCCGTGATAGCACTAGGAAACCACATACCTCGGGTCGATATGCGCCACCATATCTTGTCACATCTCTCACGATCTGTGCAAGATCCTTTGCGTCTTCCACGACAAAGACATGTCCCAACATCTTCAAGTGCGAGAAATCTGCAGTGATGTTAGGTACCTGTTCACAAGGGCATCAGGCGCCATGCGATCGAAATCAGCAGAGATGGACCGGCCTTGAGAGAAGCAATGAAAGAGTAATAAGCATTGAGGTCGGCAATAACTTGGAAACCGCCATTCAGAGATATGATTTGGCGCTTGATGTGTTTCTGCAGTATACTGTGCCACCATATCAGCCTCCCACAACAGGGTGTCTCAATATCTGCAGACTTACGCCAATAATCGGATTCCGACCTCTTGGTAGAACACTTCAAGTACCTCCTTGCTCGTGCTGCCCTTCAGAAGCTTGCAATGCGTATCCAGGCATCGGATAGCTTCCGTACAGCCCTGAGTGGGACCTAATTCTAGTGGGGCATCTTCTGGAGGATAATATTCCCGTGGTTTTGTCAATGTCAGGATGATGTGCTCAACCTAACGCACCAATGAATTTGCCAAGAAGAATTGGAAGAGTATAACCACACACCTGATTCATTAGCACCTGTGTTCCAGCATTAAGCCCTGCAGCAACACAGTCATCGAGCGTATTTTCAAAGCGTTTCTTCTCTCTCACGACCACATTCAGGAAGTCCGTTTTGTCGATGTATGGGGCCTGATGCAGGTAGCAGAGTCTGGAGAAACGTTCGAGATTTCAAAATACACATACCAGTTCCTTGTCAAAGAATACTTGCACCATGCTTTGAATTGTATCCCCTATGTGGACGAGCTCGAAGAATTGCAGCAACGGCGCTACACTGGCAGTTTCTTCGTGTTCCGCTGGTTTGTATGAATCCATCCGCTCCGTTGCTCTGCCAATGCGGAATGTTACTTTATGGTAAATATACAAGCGAGTGATGGACCAGCAAAATATATCACTTACATTCCAAAACCTTTCTCTAGATGCCTGTTAGACAGTACCCCAAGCATCTCGCAGAAAGCTTCTTCGATTGTTTCTCTTACCCTTATTCCGTAATGGCTAGGATACGACGCAAAGATCTCCAGGCGTTTGAGCGCATCACGGTCGGCGTGGATCAACTGGAGAGCAACATCGAGGGATAACAGGAGATCGAGATTTCCTGTTGGCGCCAATGTTGCTTTTATCGCAGATGCAGAGAAAGCCACGTTTGTTTGAGAGGTGTCTAATGTAGGTGGTGTAAAGGAATTTGCAGCTGCATTTGTGTTAGCAATCGAAGCAGTATCTCGTGCGGATGCTGTAGCCGATGAGTCTCCTATTCCACATCACAATCGATGCTTACATTGCGCCATAGAACTTTCGTCAACACCTCCTTCTTCATCAGCACCAATTTCAAAGATGGCGGCCTCTCCTTCGGCGCCCCGGAGGTCGAAGCTGGTATATTCTTTTGTGTTGTTAACCGATCCCGTGCCACCGACCCACCGCTGTGGATTAAGCATCGCAATGCCTTGGACCATACCTGTGCCGACAGCGCCAACAGCTCCCCCTACAGCTACCACTCCGGCGCCGACGGTACGTGGGACTATGGTCACGGGTAATAGGAGCACGTCAGTGAATGACGCTAGAACGGTACGTTTCATGAGAGCCGGGTTCTGCGCAGTAAGGAAGCGAGTCTGCTGTGTTTGTGTGGGTGAACCATGTGATGTAAGTGCTAATGTCTGCAAGTTGGAAGTGAACGAAGGCTGTCAAAGGTAGAAAGGGAGGCACATACCGACCGGGCCCACTCTTTGCATATCAGCTCGAATGCCTGTTTTAATGATTCTATTTCCTCGTCAAGGTATTCGTCCATGTTTGGCTCAAACATCATAAATCTATATATTCGCACAGTTAGCAATACTTTTGACAGTACTCCGAAAGAATGCAGCGACGATGAGGAATTTGAAGAGCAAACGTGCCAGAAATTTTATCACTTACATGACATCTTCTGCCTTGTGTTTATCTTTGTCACTGAAATTACTAGACAAGGTGGTGAGAACGTCCACAATCCTCCATGATTCCCTGAAGGTAGCAGCCACTGCCGTGAGATAAAGAGCATTCGATATCTCTCTGGCACGTGTCAGCAGGGAAGTTATGTATTCACCAACCTGCACGCACCCATAGTTATGAAATGGGGGAGAAATAAACAAGACACGAACTTACAACTTCGTTGGCAACGCGCTCTGCAAAACCAATGAGGACTCCAGCAGCTGGCGGAAAGACGAAGACAGCCCTCGCGCCATGTTCCTCCAATGCACGTATAACACTAGCCATAAATTCATCCATAGGTGTAAAGTCAAGGGTATTTTCCTCTCTGCGCGCTTCATTTGAATACTCGAAAGATACGAATCAGGCACGTTACTCACGTGAAATTAGCTAGTGGATTCCAACGACCTTGCTCATACAATATCTCTCGCTTCTCAGCCCATACCTTGCCCATTTCCCAATCCCCAAACCCAGGCCACACCTCCCAGCTGGCATGAGCAGCCTCTCTCATCATCACTTCATCTCCACTAGAATCAGCAGCATCAAAGGCAGTCAGAAGTGATACGTCAAAGCGATCTATAGCAGCCTTCAGAGCGGCGAGAAGAATGTCCCAATTTCTTACGGGTTGTATGCGGGGAGAGAGAAAGAAGCTGAGTAGGCAAAGAGAACGAGCCTGGGGCAACAGAGATGCACCTATGAGAGGTGTGAGCGCGGAAAGGACTGCGTGGGGTGGCTGCTGCAGAGGAGCCAAGCATTTGGTTAGAATCGAATGTGCGCGTATATACCGAGTGCGAAAAGTCTGCTTTCCTGGAGATGCGTCTGTGAACGTGAATGACGTAAATGCAGCAGAGAGAGATGGAATAGATGGCATGCGCGGGGCAGACGTGAAATCTCCGAAATCATCATCTACAAATATCGTAGGAGGCGAACATGCGCTAGTCTTTGGCATTTGTCTGGATTCAAGATCGTCTAACGTGTCATCCAAAGCGTGCCGAGTAATGGCTAAATCATTCCATCTTCGTTCCCATACTTTCTCGTCGCGAGATAGACCAGCAGTTGCCCTTGATACTCGAGCATATGCAGGGATGTCGGGGATAGGGAGGTGGTTAAGGACAAGCAAGTGAACATCGGCAGGTAGTTTTCCAATCCATCGAGAAATGAGTTGTGCTCTGCTTGCCCTCGTGTTCGTCGCCGAGGCTGATGATGAATAAAGCCGCGTCGGTTCGAGTGCAGCAAACTTGTCCATCAAAGCCTGCTCATCGTCCTCCGCAGTGGAATCATATGAAAGGATATCCCGGCGGCAATCCAAATGAGGAAACTTTACTATTAAGAGGGATCTTTGTGTCAACGTTCAGTTCACTTTGTCAGTTTCTGCCGCAACTTACGTGCAAGTCCTAGGCCTTACCATGGTGACTATAGCATCCTCCCAGTCGAACGAAGCAGAGCAAAAGAAACGAAAGCAAACTTTAGAGCGCGCAAAAGCAAATCACGTATGTTTTCTATGCTTTTAGATGGCTGGCATTCTCCTTGCATCTCTAACATATGGTACTTCCAGCTCTCGAAACAGTTACAGATGCGTCTACAGTACGCAAAGCTCAAGGTCGAACACGGATGGGTACGCTCTCTTACTAGCTGATGTAGCGATTGATGGACTGGCCGTCGATTAATTAGCAACGCCAAAACTTGAACGAGGTCGAGAACCTGTATTTCCACCATTCGCAGGTACGCGGGCTGCGGCCTGTCGTACCTGCGAAAAATGTTTCTCTACTGTCTACGAATCCACTATCTCCAACCGCAGCCGTTCCAGAACCTCCCGAACCCTGTGGTGGTCGATGAGGTATCACAGCAGGTCATCAATAACCAAGCATCTCCCACAAACGCTCTCGGGGAATCCACGTACCCGCATGATTCCCCTGTTGAATCAATATCGACTCCGGTGAAAAACTCGCTCACCGACACCACTTCAAGATCTGCATCACACACAATACAGACCCTGCCCGAGACAACGCCTTCCCAGGAACCGTCTCGATCTGCTCCTGCCTCTGTTCACTTCAGTACGCAATCAGCTACTATCTCCCAGGAACCAGAAAGCTCAGAGACAGCAGCTCCTTTGCCCCTCGATTCTAGCGACCCAGCAACTATAGTGAGGTTCACACAAATGCAAATGCAGCCCCAACCTCATCTTCATTTTCAGGCTTCCTCACACACTCAAACATCAACACAAATTCAGACGCACGCGCAATCCCAACCATATAACCCATACATGCCCCTCAATCGACAATCCTCCCAACCCCAATCCAACCCCTTCATGCCCCAACCCCTTCCTCAATATTCCTTCACTCAATCATACCATGCAACCTCGCTCCAAAATCAGTCCAACCCACAAATATTTCATTCGCAGTCCAGTGCCAACTCCCAATCTCCGTTTGCAAATGGGAATGGGAGCGGCCCGCTGACATATGATAGCTTCTGGTCTACACATGCCAGCGCAGGATCACTGTATCGCACCCACGGAGGTTTCACAGCAAGCGCTACGCCAACTGGCCACGTCGCAATGATCACCCCTGGCGGACATGCGGCCGTAATGACAGCCGAGGGGGTATATGTTGGTACTGCGGGATATACAGGCCGCGTCAGCGGGTAGATATCAATGCTTCAGACTTGACCTTGCTATGTTGCTTATTCTTTGGCGTTGCACGTTTCTAAGAACCACTCTGGTTTGCTTCATGATGTTACGTACTTCATACTTACCTCTGCTCTTCCTAATGACATTTGCATGTTGGTGGCTGATATTACGATGTGGGCCCCCCCTGGGTAAAATCTGATTGCTCTGGCGCGTACCCGCTGACACAACAAAAGTGGCTTGAATTTGGTATACGGATGAATGACTATAGTAATCTACTTCTACTAACTAGCGCATTAAAAGTAGCACAAACAAACGCATGAAATCAATTAATATATCATCCATCATCATCATCATGATCGTCTCGTCTCACCCTCGTCATCACTATCGACGTGTGTCAAGTGAAATATCCACTATTGAAAGATTGAACACATGTGGCACTGAAATTGCAAGTATCCGATGATTGGCACTGAACGCGAAGGAGTTGAAAAGAGGAATCATGAGAATATGTCGCCTAGCCAACCAAGGACTTTGAAGAGTCCCCATAGGCATCCACCAGCGATAATTGGTAGACTGAGGTTATCGTCCACGGAACCCAAATCTGCATTCCAGAGTGAGTAATACCAAAACCAAAAACAAAGAATAAAATACACCCACCGAGTGCTTCGGCAACGCCTGAAACTAAACCCGTACAAATAGTCACAACAACGAGACCTGCCCAACCACTGAAGACCTTCCCACCTTCTGCGCTCCCACCGCTAAACGTACTCGATACACCAGCATCCCAGGACCACGTCGAGTTGTCTCTCACCGGACCGAGGTACGTCCAGAATCCGGCAGCGGCGGCAGCGCCTGTGAGGGAGGCTGCGATGAAGCCCGCCAGACTTTTACGAGGGGCGAGAGGGAGACCGAAGAGTCGTGCAGGGAGCGGGGGCGTAAGTGGGCCCCACAGACGACCGAAAGTGGAGGCGGCTGTATCAGCCCAAGATAGGCTGTTGGAGTACAATAAATATGGAATGACAAAGCAGAGGGAAGGCACAAACATAAGAATTGAGACGATTGCAATGTCGAGAGGCAACGTGATTAGCGCAGTGTTGACGCCGAGAATATACCATATAACACCATTGGATGATTTCTATAGACATGTGAGGTCAGAATGGATACTTAGCGTCGGGAATGCTTGCCTTTTCGCTATCGCGCATGAAGATGCCAACACATTTCTCAAAGGCACGTTCAAAAAGGGGGTACTTTAGGCGGAGAATATCTATTGGAACAAGAACAGCAAGGGCAGTGCTCAGTGCAATAACAACCGTCTGTGGGTTGCCTTTCGAGGTGTATAGGTAAATCGTAAAGAAACCTGCCAAAAACCGCTCGTCAGATCAAAAATACAGGCAACCTTTGAGGGAGTCAAGGATTTACATACCAATGGATGAATGTAACGTCTTGCGAGGAATCTCCCAATCAATCTGTTTTCGCACAATGTTGCGCTTATCAGGTGAGCCGTCGGGGAACAGCTTGCGCTCGCGCGCTATCCGCGCGTCGACCTCCTCTATGAGTTCCTCTATTGTCAGCTCTCCGTTCTGTTTCAGTTGTTGAGAACCATTTCTTGCAGATGCCTTGCGCTTATGTCCTCTCTTCGCAGGCATTCCATTTGCTGGCTGTGACGAAAAGACGAGGCTGCTTGACGTGGAAGGTGAAGAAAAAGATATTTTTTGGGAAGAGGAGCGACGTGGGAGCGACGGTGTGCGGGCGCGTGAGCTCGAGTGACGGGGCTTGTCGTGCGCTAAACCTAACGAAAAGGCGTCGTTTGCAGGAAGCGTCATCCCGTTGATGAGGACGAAGGCGCGTAAATATGTAACAGGTATACCGCCCACAACCGAATTGTGGGGCTCTGTTTGGCTACGTGGTGCTTCGCTCACGCTTAATACAGTACTTGAATCACACAAAAGCAGTCATCTGGGCTCAGTAAACATGCATAGCATGCATGGCATGGTTTTTAGGGTGACATAGCATACAACTCTAGTAGACATATCCCAGAAGCTTCCCACCAACGTTCTTGCGACGAGCCTCCTCGTGATCAAGAATTCCTGATGAAGTAGTCTGTCATCACGATAGAAGTCAGCCTACGTTCCAATCTCAGATCTTGAACAGCCCACCAAGATAATTTTCCCGAAACCACGAGCAGGGAGGAGCAAGTTAACCCATGACTCGATCTGGTTCACTTGAACATTGAAACGCGGTGAGATGACACCCGTCTTGTTGAGCCGGCCGTTGAGCTGGATCACAATTTTGCCAGAGCGATGATCATCGATGATTTCGAATTCACCGATATAGCCTGCAAAACATCGCAGTCAGTACCCGCGCCCATGTAATTGAGAACGAGTAAAGTTGAAAAATGATGTAGACTCTACAGTGAACTCCGATCCGTGAGATGTAGAAGATCAGCGTTGTTTGGTATTGAGAGACAAGTTCATATTTCGGAGGATTAAAACGAAGGCCGGGTAGAAAATCAAGCCCCGTCAATCGTAGTTATAACTCCGAGAATCGCACAAAGCAACGAATGGGGAATTTCAATGAAAAAAACGCAGACTTACCATGGCGCTGCATGACAGAGAGGAACTTCACAATGACCTTCGAGGAAGGTCTGATAAGGACCTGGCGCTTTCCCCGGCGCTCAGCATTGACAATGTTGTTCTAGGAGCTCAATAAATCAACACGGCTCCTCTCATAGAATTGACTTACGAGGCAGTCGTTCTAATACAAAATCACGGTCAGGCCCACATACCAAAAACAATAGAACACTCACAAGAACGGAGACGCGGACCATTTTGGATTATTGAGGGTCGAGACAGAATGGGAAGGATAACACTATAGAACACGATATGAGTACCTTTGCTCGTCTGAGTATCGTGCTACGGAAAGCGCGAGTCAAGACGAGCTGCAAGAAAGCATGGCATTTGGCCTGCCAAGCCAGTAATACGGTACAATCATGTCGCACGTAGACATAAGCGCAGACTAACCTTGCTGGCCTTGAGGATGTGCCGAATGATATGGGCTGGAACAAATTAGACTGTGCTGAACATGTGGCTGTGCGACTGTATAGTACCTTTCAGCCACTGCGGAAATTACCGCAAGCTTCGCCTGGGTGATCTCAAGCCCAAGGCCTCGACATCGTTAACGTCCTCGACACTAAAAATCCAGCAAAATGGTGTGTGTTTGTACCAAACAGATGCTTATCATTTCTGAGGCCGCGATTAGGGTCGTGTTCGTACCAAAACAACCAAGAGGGCTGCCCGTGTTCTCATCGAAAAATAGTAAGTCTAATCTCTAACAGTTGATCAGGTCTTGGAGAGGACCAGAAGTCTGGAAAGACAGACAATGAATGATTGAACAGAAACAATGGCTGATTTTAACATATAATGTACAGCTACCCCCGCCTCACCCTCGACTTCCACACCAACAAGCGCATCATCGATGAAGTTGTCAGTATCTTTCCACTCAGCCTACTTGTACCATCTCATACCTTTCTCACAGGCTGTAGTTCCCTCCAAGCGTCTCCGGAACAAGGTTTCCGGCTTCACTACCCACCTGATGAAGCGTATTCAGCGCGGGCCCGTCCGTGGTATTTCATTCAAGCTCCAGGAAGAAGAACGCGAGCGAAAAGATAACTACGTGCCTGAAGTGTCTGCTCTTGACACGAGCGCAACAGGCTTGGAGATTGACAAGGACACCTCAGTAAGTCCTGTCCTAGCTTCCCCTCTAGCTCTCTTCGTATTCTTTTTCTGGCAAGAATTTCATGCTGATATCTAAATTTTTCTTAGGAACTTCTCAAGGCACTCAACTTCGACTCCATTCCCGTGACTATCGTACAGACCGTTATCCAGCAACCAGAGCGTCCTCGGCGGGAGAGGCGCAACGTCCCTGGTGCTGGGCGGTAATCTGTATATTCTAGGTGCTTACACATAGGCTCATGTCATGCTACACCATGTATATGCATGTGATTATAACTAGTCTGATTCCTTTTTTCTCCTATCACAGTTTTGCGCAGAAATCAGGCTGTCAACCGTTAAACGTTTCTCAACATGCAGGCAAGTACTGGGGGCCTTCAGCAGTATGTGTCAGGAGTTCTTGCAAAACGCGTCTGTAGTTGGTGAGGAATTGCATGTACTTGAGCTACACCTGCCACATGAATGCGCATCAAACCCTCATTCGGAAACATGTTTTCTTCCCTAACCTACGTGAAAGAGATAGAATATGCGAACTAGAGCAATGAAAGCAGACTGTCGGGAGGTAAATAAAAATAACAACCAGCTGGCGGGAAGTCGCTGACCGAACGATAGTGAGTGCGCGGACGTCCCGTTTGTACTCCCGGGCCATGTAGCTGATGCAGTAACCTAAGGTAGGTGGAAGCTTGTAAGTAACTTAATAACAATAATTATATCTCTGCTAGCACAGGATCAACGTATGGTTGGTATGGTAGGGAGCTCCATTGAATTGCAGCTAACGTCAAGTTGCTGTCGTTCACGTATTGACTTCCTAGTGTTGAGCCTGGCCACAAACCCACCAATTTAGTGAGCTTCACATAAAGGAGTCTTTTACTCACACTGCCATCATCGAGTTCAAATAGGCTAAGGCGATTGGTTTAGTGTTTGCACAGTGAGTATGCAACCAACTGACTTTTGGCTAGAAGTGATCCAGGCAAAGCGGAATAGAACTGGCCAAGACCACCATGCTGAACCTGATACTAAAACGGTGCTTGTGTTTATTTCCTGCATGTTGCATGAACGACAGGACTTACGAGCACAGCCATCGCGATTGCCGCAATGCTGGAAAACCTTGTGACGGAAGTGTTCGACGCATTTGTAACATTACACGTACCAGGTAAATAAACCCATGTTAACAAAAATTTGTGTCAGTTTATTGAGATAATTTGGCTTTGACCTTCAACCATCATGAGTCAGACCACAAGAGCAGGGAAGAGACTCGTACCGCACATTGTCTGTTCGTGCAGGGCGCAAAAACCACCAGACTGACCCGGTAATGACAATATCACCCAAGGCACCAGCAACTGCAGAAATCTGACACCACTAAGTCAACGTATGAGTGACTTAAGGTTGTTCAAAAACTATCTCATAGCCAACCTTTTTGCCGAATAAATCTACAGGATTTCTCGTGTTGAATCTTTGGAAATTATGAGTAATTATGCGGACTCCAGGACAAGAACTCACATCACAGCGCCTGTTACTAAAGACGAGGACAGCGGCATATCAGGACATGGACATCAGGGATAAAAGACGGACGCACTCGTGCCGAAAACTACAGTGCTGAAGGGTCAGACGTTGAGTATCTGAGATCAAATGAAGAACTGACCAAATGCTGTAACGGCGAACGCGCACTGAAGATTGGTGTTATCCTGGAAATGATTTATACGAATGCGGTCTCACAATTATGCCTGTGATTAAGCGGTTGTGTTCCGTGACTGAGGAAAGGCGTTAAAACTCTTAGCTCCGGGGACCCCGAATGACTCACTTATCCACACCCTGTGTGCATAAAAGCTTTCGAAAATCGAATCAACTTTTGTATCATGTTGCACGAAATCAATCATGGCAAACACATACCACTGAACTGCGAATACAATCCAACACTTGTTGATATTGTTCAAAATTGGTAACAGTAATATATAGAAGACTCACTGCCATAAATACCCCCAGCTGCGGCAGCCATGTTCAATAGGTAGTATTGCATCAATGTAAATGTACTTGCCACCATCTGCCTATTCTCTCAATGAGAGATTTTTGGGCCTAATAACAAGTCTGTCAACTTACCATGGAAGTTCAGCCGTGCACTCATGGGATGTGCTACGACGGCATGAAATAAGGATAGACCAGTACATCCCTATCAAGGCATATTCATGTATTGTTCCGAGACAACTGCGAGATATCATCGTTCAGTTATCGATATATACTGAGCATCGTCAGAAGCACATACAAGACCACAAATACCTAGCGATCAAATATGTCATTAAGTCAAGGCTTTCATGGATGCGCAAAAGTCCTACTTACGAATAGTTTGAGTCTTTTCGAATCTTGAGGAAATGATCTGAGGTAGAAGATATACTGCCAGAAAGCTACCCCATAGAACCTTCATAATTCTGCACGTCAACTTTGGGTATAGAGTGTTGAATCTCAAATCCATACGCTGTAGCAATCATGAATCCTTGGTCTAAAGTCAGATCGAGGTACATACAACAAGATCATCGGAAGACTCACCGATGGCCCCAGGACCCCACATAAATTCAACGGAATTGACCATCGTGTCGGAATAAGGCTATGATCATTGATGCATATGACAGCAGTCTTCAAGCTTTCAAGGTTTAACCAGGCACCATGTTGTAATTTTTTATTTCGTAATTTTCAACTCCGCTTCCCAACTGCGCCAGCGACGACGACGTGTCTTGCCCTCGATTTTGACACATAGTCTATATGGTCTGCGTAATTTTATGTGGTCGATGGTACTGGTGCGCTCTAACTTCCAGATGCGTCTCGCATTTAAAACTAATCTTATCTGTATTCCAGTCCTGGTCTCCGGCGGAGTCCGACCTCAGCCTTCAGCCAGTGAGTCAAGGGTCAAAGGTCAATGTCTCTCACTATCTAGAGCATTCGATACGCCGCGTGTTTACACACATGTCACGTTGTAGTAACTTTGAGCGTGTTGTTACCGAATGGCTGCCTTTGAAGCTTACTGTACTTATGCGGTACGATGCGGGCAAAACTACACGGGAGATATGCAATGCGATCCAAACGGTCCATACCAGGTCTGGACTGTAGTGGAATACACTGTATGCTAACGGAATTGTTAAAGCAACGTAGGAATACTCTGCAGGCTTGGCGCACTTTCGTCTTATCCTCCTCAGCATATGGCCAACCCACCTAGAGAGATAGTTGCAACTGCTGTCGTTGGAGAAAAGTAACGAATCCTGGAGCGAGAGTCAATGGTTGGATGGGGGATTTTAGGTGAGGTGATAATTAAATTTTGAAATCTTAAGCTCCTGCAACAGCACTGGCAAAAGTCGATGCGTGGTACTATTTGTACGCCTGGAAGGGGAGTTGAACATGCTAGCTTTAAAGGCATCTTTCAGAAATCAAGCGCAAGAGCAATCACTTGTTTGGGAAAAGAAAGTAATATACATGGAGCATACAAGATGGCTACTTCGTACTGACGTTGAAAATTCATGCTCTGATGTCACACCGATGTCCACAGATCCCCTGCGCTTGATGGGACTATGCATAAATATACTCAATCAGTCTCAACAACAACAGCATGGACATGGAATGATACAGCATATTCCGCCCTGGCACATCAACATCAGCTCGTCTTTATCGCAAGTCAAAACGACTTACGGGACAAGGAATACAACCCCCTCTCAAACGCAGTGGTGAGTGTGTTTGCTCCTCTGTCTGTGCGGGTCTGTTCTGGGGGGCGGAATGCAACGACATGGACGATGAGGAAGGTTGAGAGCAGACAATTTCTCTTGCAATGATACGAGCTGCGGGTGGATATGTAACACAGTCTGTACGATGTCCTGAGCTAGAATTCATTTGTGTTGGTGGTGAAGCAGAAGCGCTTTTACTCCTTATAATGACGTTGAAATTCTAAATATAACTTCACGTTACATAAGACATTATTTATTTAATCAGAACTCCGACGCAGTGTTACAACGGCACTACGGTCACGCAGTCGACTGCGGCCAGGTGGCGGATTTCAAATCACCTCTACACAAAACTATTTTACAGCTTGCACATTCCAGGTATTTTCAATGTCCGACGTGCCGTCTGGCTCGGCGCCGGACCTTTCTGCGCCGGAAGTGATGTTCTCCCTAATACCAAATGTAGGGTTCATAGCTGAGTTGGCAGAAGGCCTCAAGGTCTTATCGCCAGACCATCATCACCTCCCACTTGAAATCAAAGTAGTACGCAATGTCAACCGAAGATCGAATCATCTTCCGTCAGGGTGAGAATGCATCGTGTTGGATCGAAACTGAAAAGACGCTGTACTGACTATGTATCATGATTCCAGGAATCAGCAGTGGTTTTGCTGGACTCGAAGTCGCCAATTTTGAACACACTTTTTCCAGATCGGTGTCAAACCCACAGCATCTTTCTGTCTCTTCTCAGACACGTCAACAATATGAGCCACTGCTATCCGCTGCCGCTGCACCCCTCATCATCTCTGACGGTGCTGATGAAATCGACCGGGTCGTTAACATACTCCAGAAGATCTGGAACCCGGTCGGGCAGGATCCTGCTGTAAAGCAAGGCGCCCCGCCACTCAACTACTATAAGACATCTTATGGCATATCTTTCATCCGCAGTGGTGAATTGGTATGGTCAAACTACCTACCTGAAAGGGGGGCGCGTCCACCGATTTCCGAGGATACAGCAAGCCCTGAGGAGGAGAGCCAGTTTGGTGACGTGGTGAATGTTCTCCAGAGCTTGGTGCAAAGGTCGCAGGCAGCTTGAATAGCGGCTACTTGACATCTCATATTGGAAGATGTCAGGATGCAACCAGGAGGTAGATTACATGGAAGGCTAACGTGGACATAAAGAATACTATAACATGTACGATGGGTATGTGATCGGAGAATTGAAACGGGCTGCAGGCTGAGATCGCACAGATAATTATACAAATTATTTGACAACATCCTAGAGATATTTACTAGGCCCATCATCTTCGCGCACTCAAAAAAGTTTTAACGATTCTGCTGTTGAATGGGCACAGCATGTTCGTCACCCTCTAGCTTATAGGAAAGCTTTCGCGTCTCGTCAGGTTCTGGTAGTTCCATTTCTTTGTCATGATCAGTCCCCCGAGCATCAGGATCAGGGATCGTAGAAAGGAACAAGGACAGAATGACTGCCAAACTAGCCCAAGGAATGAGGGAGATGAAGCTCCAACGGACACCGTCCCTGAACGCATCACGGATGATTTGCTGCGACACAGGCGGCAGACCTTCGAGCGACTGAATGGAGTCGAGGCCACCACTGTTGTAGAGCGCTCCAAGGGCATCGAGGGCAGAGCCTGAGATAGCACCGCTTCGTATTTGCTCTACGACGTAGGAATCGACTTTAGCGTTCATGACAGTAAAACACTGTGCTAGACCGACAGTTCCACCGAGGGTGCGGAACTACGGGACATCATCTGAATATGCGCACCATACGGCATGTCGACACAACTCACGAAAAGCAACAAGGCATTAGTTGCGGCGACATGATCTGGCATCAAAAAGCGCACTTGAATGACATTAGGGCCAGCTGTAAGACCGACCCCACAACCTGTCATGCACATGAAACTAAGTGTGCGTGTGAGAGATCCGCTTTTGATCAGTACATAAACGTCGCACCCATTAACAAGCCCTTGCACGTTCTTCTGCATGCCCGTCTGGATGAGACCCAAACCAACGGTCATGACAATCAATCCAGCAACGATTGGATAGATCGGCTGAAAGGATCATTAGATATGCACGTTTTACAGCGAAAGACTGTAGATGCCTACTTGTCTGAAGTGCTTGATCAACTGAATGGAAATCAGGCTACCTCCTCCCTATCATAACAGTGAGACATCGGTGGTCTAACAAATTGTGGAAACATACTAGGCCAGGAGCAAAATAAAGAAGTTGTGTACCGGCTTGATCGGGTGGCAATCCAGAGACGACGGTCATAAATATTGCGACAAAGTAGAATATCACAAACATGACGATGCCGGACACGAAGCTGCCATAGTGCAAGACGCAGATGTTGTAGGACCGAAAGAGTTCGAGAGGCAGCATGGGCTGCACATGATGAAGCGCCGAAATTGCCACGGCTGAAGCTTGGTGCTTTCGCTCCAAGATGACCTCCCAAAGAATGCAGGCCACAAAGACAATGACACCAATAACCAGGCCGACTATAACGCGAACAGTCTTCCAGTTGTCATCGGGACCCCAGTTCAGCGCAAGCAGAATGAGGGTGCCTCCAATAATGAAGAGAAACGTCCCGATCCAGTCGATGAGGGCTAGCTTTGTCATACATGTCGTAGATTTGGTGGAACCTGGAAGTTCCTCAGATGACTTGGCTCCTTTAACACGTTTGCGAAGCAAAAAGAAACACAGAACCATGGCAAGAACAGCACACGGAATACTATATTTCCGTTAACATCATTCGTTAAGTGTACTGGGAAATCCATACTTGATCGCAAATACCCAGCGGAAGCTGGCCGTGACTAGGAAACCACCAATGACGGGGCCTATACAAAAACCAAGAGCATACAAGAAGAACGTAGCAGATTGCTGTATATTGTTCGTATCCAGTGAGGACGAATCTGACATTATTGTCCGCACGATCTTGACTAATAATCAGAATGTCGTTCTTCATATAGAGTAATACACACTGTCAACAAACCAGCAGATCCAATACCAGCTATTCCTCTGCCAACCAAGAGCATTGTCATGTTGACAGCTCCTGTACTGAAGGCACTACCGACGAGGAAGAATAGAAGAGACAATTGAAGTCCAAAATGGAGGCCATAGATATCAGAAATGGATGCAAAGAAGGGCAAGAAAACTGTTGATGCTAACAGGTATGATGTACCAATATAGCTGATAGGGGAAAATCAGTAGAACCCCGATGTCACGATTCAAAATGTATATATGCACCTTTGCAGGTTTAAGGCGTTAAATACAGACTGAAAGTAATGTCAAGGACTACCATATTGAAGGCAACATGACACTCACTGCAATTCGAGGTTGCGCAGTGGCGACAACTGAATGTTCCATTAAGGTGAGACGAGAGGCAGAACAAACGAAAACGACTTACCTGTATAGTCTAACGTTTCGAGTATAACTGGGATAACCAAAGCGCACATCAACCACCAATCAAATTTCTTCCAGAAACCGTCCTCCTTGATCTTGGACTTGAAGGCCTGGGCCGGTGGGTGATCATTAGAACGTTGTGATTCCGAAGTAGCTGCAGCAGAAACAAGTTGAAGGACCAAAATAAGACAACATAGAACACAGGAAGACAGACCTTGTTGCTTAGCATTTTCGCCCTTCAAGGGGCGGAAGATAGACCTTACAGATGTCATACTTGTAGGTGAGGCCTATGATCAACATATGAGCAGAAAAGAAAGATAGCTTGGGAGTTTTCATATTGAGGAGTGCCAGCAAGGCCATCGAAACGGTAAACACATATCTAAGAGAGCATAGAGAGAATTTCTATATTTACAGCTACCTTCTGATCGATAGGCCAGAACAAGGCTTTTTGTTCATTCACAAACAAAAGGGTAGACTCGTGACCAGTCTTACGTACGTCACATGAGAGTGGTTATATAAGCCAGCTGGTGTCCCGCCTATTACGATACTCGGGCGAGATACCCCAGAATGGTACTGGACTGCGCAACATGATATGGTTTTGACGCTGTGTCTGACACCTCTGAGCTCACCGCTGGTGAGACCGGTATGACTATTTATCACTAACTCATCATAGTATGTTTAACATTAATGTCTCTGTTACTTTGGATCATGCTAGCATGAGCTCAGCATTGTAGCAACCTGGTCATTAGTGCGGAATTGTGTTAGTGACTTGTGCTGTGGCCTTGGGTAGACATAGTGACCCATTGTTGCTTCTTGACGGCGGTTTCCAACCATAGTGAGAATGGTGTCCGAATAGAGTGTCGAATGAGAAAGTTGCGGCACAGTCCAGTGCCATTCTGAGTAATCTCGCCCAGAACGAAGCATCGTAATAGGCAGGACCCTTCTGTTTGGCCAGCGGTGAATGAACAAAAATGGATTCTGGCCTATCGATATGAAGGTAGTCTAGAAACGACCGCTGTGCGAAACCCATCTCAGGGCACAGTAATGACAACTACTGCCCTATTACATCTGCCAACTGTGTTTTTGGAATCGCTGCAGTGTAGGCTTTCCTTTGTAGCCTTGTTTGCGTCTTCTGTTCGTAGGCATATGCAAAACTGACGAGGCTATACTCGCTCCATGCTGTTCCCAAAAACGAAAGGCCAATGGGGACGCCTGGAGCCGGATACACAGTCTCTGGCCCGGCGCTGCCAATTGTAACATTCTCTGGATAGAAACCCAAAGGCACTTAGCGCAGGGAGCATTAGCTAATCGAGCAGTTAGACATCGAAAAGATCATTTACCTGTGACAATCGGATACCCCGCGATGGCTGCGAGAGTACACCGTCTGAGTTCACATATAAGAAACATATTTTCAGTACAAACCTGCAGGAACAGTCGTATAACCAGGTGCAGGAAGCACCAGAGCGTCCAGTGCATACATCTTTAGGGCAGCATCTATACCATTAGTGGCGCCAAGTTCTGTGTCAAACGCGAGAGATTGGTAATAAGACGCATTAAAACCAGTAGTCGCTTGGGATTCAATCAAACTGCAGTAGTTTCAGCGAGTATGGCGGTGCTCTTGAAAGGCGCTCACATTGACTGGTCTGTGTATCCCGCAGGCTCTTCGAGCGTTGGGTTGTCGTCATCAAACATGATCAATTCTTCAAGCGAAGCCACCCCTGATGGATTCGCGACGAGGCTGTCAAACCAGGCATTGAGTTGGACCTGCCAAATCAAAGTGTTAGCACCGAATATTCTGAATGCTTTTAATGTACTCAAATACCTTGAAGTCAACATCCAGTACAACAGTTTCGTTGTTAGACTCGTAGATTTCATACGCGGAAGGCAAATCAGCAGGATCTACAATTGTCGCGCCCAGACTTTGTAGCGTCTCCAGCGCCTCCTCGAATACTTGATTCACGTATGGATCATTGCCAGTCAAGCTGTCATTCAAGAAAACTGTACGAGGCACCCCAATTCGCTTGCCGACAAGTGATAAGTTATTGAGTGCCATAGTGTAGTCGGGGACGGGCATTGGCTGTGCCAGCGTAAAGTTGTCATTAGGATCCGGGCCAGCGATGATGGAAAGGACAATGGCTGCATCTGTGACAGAGCGAGCGAGCGGACCGACTGTGTCTTGGTGCTCGGAGATCGGTATAACTAGAGAGAGTTTGTGAACCTGATAGGAGACAGGGCGAGACAAGACAAGACTCACCCCCAGCACGGGATGTTAATCCCACAGTAGGCTTGATGCCTACCACATTGTTCTGATTTGCCGGGCATGTGATACTTCCGTCTGTCTCTGTCCTATCTCTCATATCAGTCAAAGTGCAAGTGTAAGAGAGTTAACTGGAGCGAACCCAAGCGCGACAGCAGTCAGGCCGATAGATGCAGAGACCCCAGAACCAGCCGACGAACCACATGGGTCGGCGTTTGGGTAATATGCATTCGTGCATTGTCCTCCACGTCCTGACCATCCAGAGGCGATGTTTCCACGAAAGTGTGCCCACTCGGACAGGTTTGCCTTACCTGCAGTGGCATACCATGTTAAATTCCGATATTATACTGCGCCTTCAGGAAACATACCAAGGATAATGGCTCCCGCCTCGCGTAATCGCTTCACCACACCTGCATCATTCGGAACCACAGAGTTCAACAAGCTATATGACCCCGCAGTTGTGTTCATTCCTTCATGCGTTGCTATAACCTTCGGCTTTTCACTCTACACCATCAAAACACACCTTCAAATGCCACAGTTGCAATATTATCCTTTACAAGCACGGGGATCCCATGAAGCGCACTCCGTGGGCCATAGGTGAGCCGCTCATAATCCAAGATCGCGGCTTCCTGGAGCGCAGACGGATTTGTTTCAATCACAGCGCGGAGCATCGGCCCTTGCAGATTGACTTCTTCAATGCGAGCGAAATACGCCTGTCAAATCAAAATGTAAAAGCCATATCCATAACTCTATTAGTATCACTGCAAGCGATTCATGGCATGCAACACTGCTAGCATGCTTACGGACCTTGATCAAGTCGACGCTCGTGAACTGCCCCGAGGTGAGGCCCGCCTGAAGCTCGGTCAGAGATGCCTCGTAGAGATCAGGTAGAGGTGTTGTGATCGATGCGGAAACCACCTGTCGGGAGACGTATAAGAACTGGCCAAGCGCTAGCAATGCCCAGAAGAGGGCAAGTAGTTTTGCACCCATTTTTGCGTGCAGAAGGGAATGAAAAAAGCATATGGTCGAAACCTAGCAATAAGTAGGCTACAAGATAAGCTTGACTCAAGTACCCCCGAGCGGAACATTTCTCAAGAGGTCACTTGAGCGATAACGGTGACAAGCAAGACATTGAGGCAAGGTTGACTTCTCCCACGACTGAGCAGACATACATGTGGACCTTGTTAGACGATCAAATTTAGCAGAGATAGCAACTATGGATCATGCGCACCAGGATGAGATATCTCAACATTCATTTTCTGGCTTGGTGCCAATGAAAAGCTCCTTTGGTTAGGTTGAGCTTTTGTATTATCACTAGGTCCAGTCTGCACACTCTGTCAGCCGCAGGAAAAGCTAATAAACTATTCGACATTGAGAATGGGGAAACTCGAGAACATGGTAAGTCGTAAGAGATCATGGAGATCAGTAGTGGTGCCGGATGCAACATAAGATTATATGGATTATGTAAAAAGAATATAAATCAAATGCCGTATCCTAATATGAGGACCAGCGCTGTCAGTAACTAACTGACTGCGGAGCATGAGAAATACCTTGCACTCACTGCCTTCGGCGAGACACACACGTCAGCACAAATCCGAGTCGCGCATACACCCAATGACATTTGATTAATTCTGGCGGCCCGCAGCCATCGCTATATGTATTATAAGCAGATTTCACGTTTGTGAACAGCAACTTCATGTACCGCACCATGGTCACCCACATCCTTTGGAAACTTGTCCTTTCAACAAGCTCTGCACTCGTCGCATTCGGATGTTGGAAGTTAGGAGAGCGAGTTTGGCACACTCTTAGGTCCCCACTGCGCACACTACCAGGCCCAAGAGGAACAAGCTGGCTATTCGGGAACTTGAAGGACATTTTCAGCGCGGTACAGTAATCCATCGAACTACCATGATGCAGTCTTCATTGAAAACTCGCAGGAGAATTCAGTCCTTCACGAGCAGTGGGTGGGGCAGTATGGAACAACCCTTAAATACAAAGGGTTCTTCTTTGTATGTTCAATTCCTCCTGCGCTACAAAATTTACCATGTTTGAAATTCTTTCCCAGTCAGACCGGTTATTCACGATGGACACCCGTGCACTGAACCATGTTCTCACACATAGTAACGATTACCAGAAACCGTCACAAGTCCGGTATAATCTTGCTAGAATTCTGGGCGAAGGTGCGTGCCAGTGTGTCTACTGTTATCCCGGGCTATCTGATATTATCTCAGGTGTCCTATTCGTTGAAGGTGCGATCTCGGCTGCATGATATTTCCACTTCCACTCATTTCGGTCTCAAGGAGCTCAACATCGTCAGCAGGTTTGTTTTGACACGCATCTCAACTTCACCATGCTGACGCCATGTTTCAGAGAAGGATCATGGTACAATTCACCTCTGTTTGCCTTGGACCAATTAAATATGTCTTCCAAAGAACCCCGCATTTGGACCTGCTCAGATACGCACGCTAACGGACATATTCTTCAGTAAATCGATCAAGGTAAGCTTAGTTTGTTCCTCACTAGACATGGATATAGATGACGACGTCGCTGTCTTTCAGCTTCGAGACGTCTGGTCTACCATGACCGTTAGTGAACACGCAGCTCGGATAGATGTCATGCCCTGGCTGAGCAAAATGACGTTGGACGTCATCGGACTTGCAGGTAGGTCCTTTCCGAAGGAACTTCCTACCAGCACCGAATGAGTATCATAGGTTTTAACTATGAGTTTAACGCCCTGAATGCAACCGATACACCAAATGAGCTTAATCAGGCTTTCTCGGTTATGTTTTCTGCTAGTCAGCAGATTAGCATCCTCCCAATGCTTAAGGCATGGATTCCATTGCTCCGATGGATTGTAAGTTCACCATTGCGACATAAATTGTCACTAACTCCCTCCAGCCCTCTGATCGTGATCGCAAGATAGATGCAGCCCAAAACACGATGGGTCGCATCGGCAGCCAGCTCCTGCATAATGCTAAAGCCGCTGTCATATCCTCTCTCAGCGCTAAAAAAGGTGATTTCATTGAGAAGAGCAGTCTTCAAGGGCGCGATTTACTCAGTTTGCTCGTTCGTGCCAATATGGCAACTGATATTCCGGAAAACCAGAGGCTATCGGACGAGGATGTACTTGCACGTACGTTGTCATTAGGAACTATGCGTGCGAGCGCTTATGGTGTACTCAGAGGTTCCGACTTTTTTGGTTGCAGGGCATGAGACCACGAGGTGCGGATATCAATTGTTGTATAAGATAATCCACACTTACACAGTCGAATAGCACGGCAACAACTTGGGCACTCTATGCGCTCTGCCTACGCCCGGACATTCAAACCAAGCTCCGGGAGGAACTCTTGACAGTGGAGACCGAGACTCCGTCCATGGATGAACTCGTAGCGCTCCCGTATCTTGAGGCGGTCGTACGCGAGACACTTCGTTTGCACGCCCCTGTCCCTAGCACAATTCGGATCGCCATGAAAGACGACATCCTTCCAGTGGACACGCCTTTTACGGACAAATATGGAGTGGTTCATAATGGGATCAAGTACGTTGCCAGCGTCCCTTCCAATGATCATCGATATCTCATCGCAGTTACCTCAGGATCAGCAAGGGGGACCCAATTTTTATTCCCATCTTGGCAATCAACAGATCGGAGGCGATTTGGGGCACCGATGCAAAAGAGTTCAATCCTGACCGCTGGGCATCACTTCCAGAGGCAACATCACAAGTTCCTGGGGTCTGGGGACATCTCATGACGTTCCTTGGTGGTCCGCGTGCATGTATTGGGTATCGCTTTTCATTAGTGGAGTATGTCTGCCGCAGCCTTCCATTTTATTTCCACCGATGAAGACCTTTTACAGGATGAAAGCACTTCTCTTTACCCTGGTTCGAGCTTTCGAGTTCAAGCTTGCTGTTCCTGCTTCGGATGTCGGAAAGAGGTCTTCAATCGTACAGAGGCCGTTCTTGCGCAGTGACCCAAAGAATGAATACCAACTTCCCCTGCTGGTTAAGCCGTATTGCAAGACCACAAACCTTTCGTGATGATATTCTTTAATTCTATAATACTTTGGAAATGACGAAACACCACTGTAATGTTTCCTAATAGAAAAATAATCGCAACAGCAGCTTTCTGTGTGTCTCGTGTCCAAACCTGCTGATACATTCATTGATTTTGATGGTGGCTGTTGCAGATCTTCTCAAGCTCTCCGATGAGACGGACCTCGATATCCTCAATCACAGCATGGAAGCTATGGTTGACCGGTTCCAAAACGAGCTCATGCCCGTGGCTTCGCAGCTCACCGCACGCCTGGTGGGTGCCTTGTCTTCTAGTTACTGCTATGATACGCTAACGGCATGTATGTAGTGCGAATCCTACTTACGCCTTGCAAGAGAGGGTCTGGCACAGCGGAACGAAGCGATCCCGGACAGCATCGACGTGGAATCACTCGTTTCGGATGCCGATGACGATAAAGTATACGGCGCTATGGGAGTCGCCAAAACTATCGGGACTATGCGCGTACTCTTACCATTATGTTTGTTCAACTCGTCTGATAAAGCTGCGCAGGTTGTTTCGTGCACTGACTCGTCGCCCGAGATTCTGTCGCAGGTGCAGGAAGTGATTATACTCATCATCCGGTTCACCCTTGAGAATAAGTTGATCGGTGCGTCTGTTCTTTTTTCCCTCGAAGAACATCGCTGATATTAGCGTTTGTAGATTTGTTTGATAATATGTATGACCTCGTAGACGCCCTTACCTTCCGTCTTCACACAATATCACCGAACATGTGGCCAGTGTTCGAGTTGACTTATGACCTTTTCAAGAACGATGCTTTTGATTTCCTTGATGGTGCGGCTCACTACTTCCCGCGCATAGTTGGATTGTGTTGCTCACGGAGGTGGCGATTTGCAGAAATGCTCCCCTCGCTGGACAATTTCGTGTCGTATGGTACCGATGTGCTGAAGGCACGCCCTGATTACAGGTTGAAGGTGTTGGACATGTACCGCACGGCTATGACAAGCCCACAGCTTGGGGATAACGACAAGATTAACGGGTGCAAGCTGGCAGAGTCTATGCTTCTCAACTTGCACGGCCATGTGGACGACGTAAGTCTTTGTGTTCGTAATTCTCACATGAGACGCCTTATCGTGCTTTGCAGCAACTCCAGGACATCATCACCATTGCCGCAGACCACATGGACAAAGGCGAGATTGCCTCATTCCGCCTTGCTAACCTCGAGATTCTCGTCAACGCCGTCCTCTACAACGCCTCCGCGGCACTTCATTTCATGGAGGCCTACAAGCCTGGGTTCTCACGCACATTTTTCGAGCGCTGGTTTGTAGCAATCAACAGCGACAATAAGCTCCCACGTGTACACGACAAGAAACTGAGCATTTTGGCGCTATGTAGGTTGTTGGAGATGGAGGCTGGCGCGATTCCAGAGGGATTGAGGGATGGATGGCCTGGGATTGTGGGCGGTGCTTTGAATATTTTCAAGGCTTTGCCTCAGGCTATTGCGAGTGGGTTGCACATCATTAGTGTGACTGATAATTTGACTGATAGTGTGGTCCTGTAGAGCGCAAGGTGTTGGAGGATCAGCTGGTCGACGGGTCCGACGATGAAGATGAGGACGACACTAGATATCTCAATCTTGAGGGTGAGGAAGATGGTAAGCGTGTATTGCCTTGTTGCCTGTTTCACCTCCTGACAACTGTATTTAGAGGACGTATGGGACGAAGATTCTGCGTATCTTGAGATCCTAGCGAAAGAGGTTCGTCACAATTCCATATTTGCAACCTACTGCTCATATAAATATTCTAGGGTGCTCGTCTGAGAGAAAAATCCGAGAAGGCAGAAACAGGAGATGACGAGTCAGATACATCGGAGGAATCAGAAATAGAGGAAGAACTCGGATTTTTCAGTTCGCTCGATAACATCAACCCATATGTCACCTTCAAGGAGGCATTGCAGAGTACGTCATTCATTCTCACTGTGTTATACCGTTCCCTGTTTACAGTGACTATTTTCACAGCATTCCAGAATCAAAACGGTGCTTTATACCAGGCAGCAACGACGATGCTCACGGTTGAGCGGCAGACTGTGCTTATGGAGGTGGTGGCGGTGGCGAACCAGGCTGATCATAGTTGAAGTTGTAGCTATCTTTTTCTGGTTATATCGTTTCCGCTTGTTCAATGCATTTGTGGCATCTTGGGCTTTGGATATTATAAGACGAATGACTATTTGTTTGTTGTGGTCTACAATGGGTTATCGACGTCCAGGGGACCAAGTCCCCTTTTTCCTTCATACGCAACGTCTTACATGACACTTGCTGACTCATCGACTCGGGCGACTCCCCACATACCACCAACACACTTTCAACAGGCCTGTAGGCTACTCACATCCTACTCTTTGCCTCCTCCAACTTCCAAGTCCCACAGGCGTAGCCGACGAGGAATCCAGCAAGGACATGCTTTTGTAGAAAAATCAGCAGCATGAAAGTCGACAAGGAACTACCTAAGTCATTCGAAATGTCATCAAGACGTTTGAAGGTCATGAAAAAAAATCACATTCTCGGCAATTTTTACAGTCAGCAAGAGAATAACTTGAACATGGGTCTGACGATAATACAATCGAGGCTTGAGGATAGCATAGAATTGAAGTGGGAAGTGAAGGGGGTTAAGTTACTGTAAGTACGCCGGCTTACCTGAGTTCCCATCTATACGGTCATCAGCAAAAGCGCCCAAATCTGGCGAGGGCCGGCAAGTTCCGGATAATATTCCACGGCCTCGTGATGCCTTCTGAGGCGTGAATCAATTCGTTCGACAACGTGCAAGATGTGCCTACTCGTCTCGCAAGGCATTGCTAGACTCCCTCAACCTCACGCCAGTCTTGCGAGGCATTTCAAGACTGGTACTGTCTAGTATATGGATGCGAGGGAAACTTTATCTGTGTGGGCAATGGTATGTTATTTTGATATTTTGATATCCACTAACCTCAGTGACCATACCAAGCATTCGACTCCCAAGTTGCGTGGGCGACACATTCTCGATATCTACTTCAACCCTACTCGACTTGAAGCCGTGTAACATACCAGGATCCCATCATCAGGTATGTCCTATGTTTATTCCTTCGTGTCATCTCATTTTGCAAAGTTTCAAGCTGCCTCCCTGAGAGGTCATAAACGTTTGTGCGATCCCGATTCATGATATGCGCTGTAACTATAATATACAGTGTTTTTGCTCATCAATGGTGTGAAACGTGCAGTTCGGTCCGGATGATTGGTTCTAGAATGAACTCGACCCTCTCTTAGCTCCACATATTGAGATGAGCGCTATCTTTGGTATCTTGTCACTGAGCAGAAGCACGGGATCTTGATTGTGAACTGATCTTAACCGTCATCCAGGTTATCTGCCCGGACCTTATCCTATCGCAATCGATCTGTGGATCTCGTTGTGAGGAACTTGCATTTAAGGCCGCGATCACAGCGTGTTTCCGCTGTCGCTCATGCTGCCCCACTTAATCTTTGTCTTGTTACTCACTTTTCTCTTGATGACAGTGTCCAAACTGCAATGTAGAGGTGCACAATCGCGGCCTGTCCGTTCACCTGAGTAGATACTGCAAGATACGTGATATAGCCACCACGTCAGCTCTCGCTGAGCGGCGCGAGCGCGGGGAAGCTATTGCTGAAGCTACTCGTTTGGAAGATGAACGCCGGCAGGAAGAACAACGTGAAGAAGAGCGGGAGCACCTACGGCAACTACGGCAGCCTCGAGTGGATGTGAGTGTTGTGTGTTATTAGATGTGAACCTGATGTTCATGGAAATATTTGCATATGAACAGGAGGTGCCGGACATTGAAATGGAGCCACGGCCATCAGGGCGTCCAAATCGACAAATCCGCTTCCCCATGCGTTATCGTGATGAAGTCCCAGTCCTACCGATCCCGGCCCCACCTCCCATTGATCGGGACGAGCCTGTATCAGCGCTCGGAGACCCACCAGATATTGAGATGGACTCTGATGACAGATCATCACATCATAGCCATGCAGAGCATCCCGAGTGGTTCCGCACTGATACAGACACATTCGACCTTTTTCGTGAATATCCTCATTCATTTCCAACATATGACCCTGAACATTCAGCCTACTTTGACGCACTTTGTGACTCCTCAGCATTCCAGCATGTTGATGGGGACGCCGATTACGAACGGCCGTGGTATGCTGACTTCGGACAATCACTCGAGGCAGTCCACCATGATTACTTCGCACCATTCCTTAATGCCACTGTTTTTCGGCTCATGACATGGTTTTACAACTCGTCGATCTCGAAATCACTGCAAGATCTCAATTGTTTAGTCAACGATGTCATTTTAGCGGAGGATTTCTGCCGAGAGGATTTGCTAGATTTCAATGCATCTAGGGAGGCATCGCGTCTTGAGAAGGCCCAACATGACCCTGCCTCCTCGATATTCTCCTCTGATGGATGGCATGAAACCTCGGTGAAGATCCGACTTCCTTGTGAAAAAGACAAGTTCTCCTCTGAAGATTGCGCGCCTGAATTTGAAGTTAACGGGCTTTATTACCGCAAGCCATTGGAAGTGCTCAAATCTGCATACCAGGAGGTTGCAGCGAAGACGTTTCACACAAAGCCATACAAACTATTCTGGCAGCCTGACGACAATGAACCTCCAGAAAGGATCATTACCGAGCTGTACACATCTGACGCCATGCTTCAAGAGCATGAGAAGCTCGACTCGCAGCCAAATGAACCAGGCTGTAACCTGGAAACTGTCATTGGTGCGATCATGCTCTGGTCACTTCAGTCAACCACTTGAAAAGACCTCTTAGGTCTATTTGTTTGTGGATAGCAAAGGACCTAGTGGGTGTGTTTTAGGATGGTATTCCCAGTATTTTACCCTATGTACTGGGATGTCCCAGTCCACACTGAAGCAGGTATCTGGGCCATCCCAAGGACCTATTTTTGATCCTTCCCAATCCCAACCGGGATCACTCTAGCATGTCTCTGGGATGTCCTGGGGCATTTATTAGTTGGGCTTTCCCATCATAAATAGGGGTGATTGGGGTCCTTTTTCAAACATTTTGATGGCATAAAAATCCACAATTTGTATATTGATAGAAGGAGTAGTACTAGGTATGTGAGGCCAGTACATGCACTTCAGACAAGATTTTGATATTGGACAAAACCTGCAGGAATTCTGGCCCAAAACATTGTCCTGCATCAAGTGGACTTTATTGTATTTTATTAATTGGAATCAATAGACTTGAGCCTGCTGAGGGAGTGGTGGGCAAACACAAAAGAGTGATAGACACACTGAGTGTAGCACTAGTCATCGAGTAATTGCATTGTCTTGCAGGCAACATGCAACAAAATGTGGGAGCTTTACTTGCGAGTCTGTCAGAAGGTGAGGGGGGGGGGGGGGGGGGGGGGTAACAACAGAGAGAATATGGAATAAAATGTGGGAGTTTTACTTGCAAGTCTGTCATAAGATGATGGGGGGGGGGGGGGGTGCGATGAAGGGGGGGTGGCACAGGGAATATGATATCAAATGTGGGAGTTTTACTTGCGAGTCTGTCGTAAGATGATGGGGGGTGTGCAATGAAGGAGGGGTGACATGCAGAATACGGAATTAAATGTGGGAGTTTTACTTGTGAGTCTGTCATAAGATGATGGGGGGTGCGTGATGAAGGGGGGGGGTGGCACGGGGAATACAAAATCAAATGTGGGAGTTTTACTTGCAAGTCTGTCATAAGATGATGGGGAAAGGGGGGGTAGTTCCATGTAACTGTTCCTGGCTGGGAATGTTGATGAAATGATAAGCCATCCTCTTGTTTGTGACAGAGTGTTGCGGGTTCAACTCAAGTAGGCCATTATATACAGCTTGAGAGATGAAGTCTATACTTTGAGGAGGCATCCTGTATTGTGTGTTCAGGAAGAGAGCATGGTCCTTGAGATGCTTGACCTCGAAGATACTCTTCAGGTTCTGGTATCATCCTGACCATAGGGTGGCAATTGTTTATCATCGCCAATGAAGCAAACCTTTCTAATGGAGGTATGAGAGGTGAAGAGAGACATGTAGGCGCCAATCTCAATTTGGGATGATATCTAGAGAGGGCAGGAATAGATAAATATGACTAGCTAATTACACTGATTGGGCTCTCCCGCCTACCTCTCTACTGTCACCTGGGCTTTCCCGCTGACCCTAACTACACTGGTTGGGCTCTCCCACCTATCTCTCTACTGTCACCTGGGCCTTCCCACTGACCCTACCAACACCATTTGGGCTCTCCCGCCTAGCTCTCTAATGTCATCTGGGCTTTCCCACTGACCCTAACTACACTGGTCGGACTCTTCTGTCTACCTCTCTACTGTCATCTGGGCCTTCCCGCAACCCTAGTTACACTGGTCGGGCTCTCCCATCTACCTTCTCTACAGTAATCTGGGCCTCCTGCTGACCCTACCAACACCATTTGGGCTCTCCCGCCTACCTCTCTGCTGTCATCTGGGCTTTCCCGCTGACCCTAACTACACTGGTCGGGCTCTTCCATCTACCTCTCTACTGTCATCTGGGGCCTTCCCACCGACCCTAGTTTACACTGGTTGGGCTCTCCCATCTACCTCTCTACAGTAATCTGGGCCTTCCCACTGACCCTACCAACACCATTTGGGCTCTCCCACCTACCTCTCTGCTGTCATCTGGGCCTTCCCGCCAACCCTACCAACACCATTTGGGCTTTCCCATCTACCTCTCTACTGTCACCTGGGCATTCCCGCTGACCCTAACTACACTGGTCGTGTTCTCCCACCTACCTCTCTACTGTCACCTGGGCCTTCCCACTGACCCTAACTACACTGATTGGGCTCTCCTGCCTACCTCTCTACTGTCACCTGGGCCTTCCTGCTGACCCTACCAACTCCATTTGGGCTCTCCCATCTGTCATTCTATTAGTAACTAGGCATTCCTATATCAATAGCTTTACCATCGCACAACTTTACTTGTATCTTCTGTCACCCATGAAGTCAGTGTTGTTGTTGTTGTTGTTGTTGTTGAAATTTGGTAGTTGTGACATGTAACATGCACTTGTGTTGAAACCATTTGACTTCACAATAAAATCGAGATTTGCTTCTGTGATAACCCCAGATTTGCACAGCAGTTTTAACTATGTGATTCTGACTACTTACAAAATTACTATCACACTCCAGCCTAATTTGTAATTTGATGTGTTGAAATATTTGGTTTTTCGCACATCATATGCCTAAGTGTGGGAATGTCAAATTGACCCAGCATGTCACAGTCACACAGGGGTATCAAATTGAGTTGACTTTTAAAGGGCCCACATAGCTTGAACAGAGACAGTTAACTCCAAATCTAGGACACACTGCCAAGCTGAGCTCCAGCCAACAAATACTAAACTTGAAATTTACAGCTGAAAAATTCAGCTGCACAGAGCAGCACCCAACTTATTTCTGTAAGGTAGTTAGATTTTTCCCCTTCAAAATCAGTGCATACATTCACAAGTCACGTGATGCACATATTTTTGCTGGCAATAAGTCTTCGTCGATTAAGCTAAGATATATATTATCGATAACAGTTACTATGGCCTTACAGTACCATATACGTAGCACCCTTAGTATTCCCGCTTGTCTGCGCAGAAAAATAAGTCTAAGTGGGAGATGACCAACTGCCCTGTCGAGATAATTCACGATATAATCACACCAGGATTAGTCAAGCGAACACATAGCATTGTAATATTACAGAGGGTTCAACAAGAGCAGACAGATGTATGACCTACATTTTTCCAGCAGTACAATACGAAGACACATCAAAGCTTCATCTGCGCAGGAGACAGCAACTGATGTGAAGAGGTACATGAAGTACAACAACTTGTGGCGCTAGTATGGAAAACCAAAGGAAGGCAAAAGTCATGTTTCAAACAAGTGGGCAGCATGATTCTTGGCTAAAGAATGTCAGTAGCGAAACATCAGAGGCCCGTCTTCATGATGAGTGTCACTAGCCCCCCTTACTTGAAACCTCTGACTTTGGTCATCATCCCAATTATGACGGCGTGAGTAATGATGTTGAGGGTGAGAATAGTCCCCGTTATCTGCAGAAGGAGTTGTCTCGTGCGGTCTGTAGGTGGGCTGATAGTACCTTGCATGAGAGGACTTGGCTCGCTCTGGGTACACAGGAGGTGAAAGCAAATATTCTTGATGGAGGTTTGAGGCAATGAAATTCATGTCCTCACGACGAGGGTAGGGCTCGCATCTAAGTAATTATGTTAGTGTGACCTGTTGCGACTTGTGGAAGTTAAGACATACTCCAAGTCTGTGGCATTATGAGAACGAGTGGGATGCTCCTCCATGCGCCACGCCAATGTAGGTTTAACCTGTAAAACATCAACATTGGATAGAAGGTGGAGTAACACAATATTTACCCGCAAAGTTTTCTTCACCTTAAACGACATGTTAGCCTGTTGTGGTCCACCACCGGTGAGTTCTCCTCTCGTTGTAGGCCGAACAGAGTGGGATTCATGATCTAAGAGATCTGGCAGCCGAGTAGGATGACTTCCCTCTTGGCGACGCACTGGCGTGGCTGTCGTAGTGTGACGTTGATTCGAGGGTAAGGCTGGGGAGCTCAAAGTGGGGGAGGAAGATTCATGACCACCCGGCAGGATTTCTGCAGTCGAGGGAATGGGACCATGCAAATGTGCTTCATGAACTGCCAACATATCCTCAGGGATAGATGCCTTGAATTTCGCTGAGTCGGCCAGCTTGCGCAGCACAACATCCAAGGTACTAGTCACCAAGGGGATGTCAAACATCTCCGGTACCTCGTCACTGAGCTGCTTGAGACATTCTTGAACAGTTCACATCAGACAAGGAAAGTATGATAAAAACCTGGAGATTACATACCATCTGGCCAAGCTGTGAACTCGATCTCAGGCACATCAACATCTAATTCACTCATGACATCCTCCACAGTGCGCTCCTGGCCTCTGCGCTTGCCCTTTGACTTCTTTCTCTCTATCTCAAACAAGTTCTCAGCTTCGGTCCGGAGTTCTGCCTCGTAATAGGAATGTGCTTTGCACTTGATGAAAGGGACGACGAGCAGCTTGAGATGCTGTGAACTGAGGTTATGAGGGTTGAATTCAGGACCAATGGGGTAACGTCATCAGGCCAGTTCTTGATCATGAACTTGTACTGAAAAGCATAGTCAAGAAGCTTTCGCCACTGGACTGCTTTGGGTCGATAGCCAAACTTCGCTATTTGAGCAGACTTCGGTAAATTGTTTGATGTTGAAAAACTTGAGTACTCACAGGTTTTCTCGATGTGGAATGGATATATTGTAGCCTTTCACTCTGTAGACATGTCAGGAGGAAGGAAGTCCAGAAGGATAGGACGCACTTCGTTGCCGTCATGACCCAATCTAAAATAGCACGAGCGTCCAGTTGATGCTCATTAATTAACTTGACTATGAGGTCGGAGCCTGCAACAAAGCCAGACACCTGTCGAGCAGCCTCATCTTGTGTGGTGTCAAATATACAACCAACAGCCTCGACTCCTTCAAGGTGAGAATAAGCAGACAACTATATTGAGGCATTAGTTACAATGCAGAATGAGTAAATGAGTAAATGTACCTTTCTTGCGATGTCCTCCCTCATTGACAAGATGGTCTTGGCACGCAATTGATCAATATTGCTGCCAGTGATGCTATATTTTCGAATTGTGTCCCACTGTTCGTTATCCTTGCCCATTGCATGATAATGTGTGTGTTGACGTTCTTTCCAGTCGACAATAGCTGAGACTCTCGAGTTAGTACCATTTACACAATAGAAATGGGGACTGACATTCTTTATTATCACAAGGGTTATTATCCATGAACCAGCATTGGTGGGCATTCCAATCAGACTCTGATCGTGAATGCTTGATAGATAGGCCAGCCTCAATAAGAATAGTGCGTGTGGACTTGCCGTACTTGATGCCAATGACCCAAGCTTCTTCTGCTGTTTTGCATCCAAGTTCCTGAGCCTCATCAATGCCCTCCTGACATAGCCTGCCTTGCTTTAGATTGCCTGGGAGTTCTTCTTCATTCTCAGTGGGCTCGTTGTCTGGTGTAGGGCCAAAAACTATGCCAGCAGGAGTGTGGTCGTCAGCTGAATGCTTGTTGCGAATGGTTGTTGAGCGAGTGGTGTTGGCTGAGGTAGTATTGACTGCTGAAGATGTCTTCCTGCGCTTAGCAGGCAGTGAAGACGGACTGTTGTGGTCGAGGTCTTCATCTGCATCTGACTCGTGGGTGGAAACTTGATTAGATCTTCTCGTTTTGTGTGGGAAGAGATGTAGCTGCTGTCCGACGAAGAGGTCGGAGAACCATCATCGAAATTGTAGTTGACCATCTTGACCTTTCGGGCCCGAAGTCTCCTGACTGCATAGAATATGTAACCGTCAGCCTTCCCCACCAAGAGGAAGATTAGAGAGTACAAACCTGGCGAAGTCTTTGCACGTCCTCAGTCCTTGTTATTCTCGTCATCGTCAGGTTCTTCATTGGTATCCTTGGCATTGTTGTCATTTTCTAAGTTGTCTTCGTGATCAAACACCCATCAGCCTTCACAACCATAGATTAAATGAAATATGATATACCTGGTGAAGTCTTTGCACATCCGGAGTCCTGATTTTCCTTATCCTCGTTTTCCTCATCCTTGCCTTCCTCATCCTCACCTTCCTTTTCCTCATCTTCGTCAGCCTGGTCATTGCCTTCGTTAGGGTTTTTGTCGTGGTCATCATTATTGCCAACGTCGCCCATGCCATCATCTTCATTGTCGGTGGCAGAGGTGGCTATGAAAAGGGTTAGCATTGGTTGTTTTGGCAAATACCATAGATCAGTACCTGGGGCACAGTCGCTTTTCAACTGGGTATCAGAAAGAACTGAGTCAACTGTAGGTTTTACTTTTGGTTTGTGAGGGCGGGCAAGGATCTGAGCATAGTCTTCGAAGGTCATGCTCGAGGTACGTCAGGCCAGAGGACGAGGTTTTGGGCGGTGTAGAAAGCTGATTCCTGCTGGGCTCAGCAGAAATAGTACTACCTAGACAACAAATATTTAGGTAGATCTTTAGCACGACCTAGTCTGCTATACTTGCAGAGCAAGTGCGTTCGATCCTATAGGGATAGATGTTTGGTATCAGTTTTGATAGTTAGTTATCAATAGTAGGAAGATAATCCGAAGCTAAGAACTACTTGTCTGAAGGGAAACTGTCGGGTCCAAAAATATTGGAGTCGGGTCGGGTGTCGGACTATGCATCGGACTGTCGGGAATGCATTGGACGATAAAGGAATGTGTCGGAAGTGTGTCGGATTGTCGGTCAAATGAATGTCGGATGTGTCGGAATGTTTCGGAGAAAAAGAGCGGATAGATATTTCGCAATACAATAAAGTACTACTAATATCCAATGACTTCCATCCTACTACTGAGTAGGGAAAAGTAAGTAATGCAATAGGTAGGAAGTACTAGATATTAAATAGTGACCATGTAGAAATTCGGACTGCTATAGGCAAGAGTAGTAGCAATATTTCGGGTCCGAAATCCTATGTAATAGGACATGTGGTACTGCGGACCATGAGAAAACATGTAATAACGCTGTATACAATGCTTAGCAAGTCAAAAGGAGTAAATGCGCACCTAGTGGGGATAGATGCGACTGGACAGGACATAGGGAGGACTGGTGCGATGCGCGGGAATGTCGGGTCGGGATCGGACATGCGTCGGACTGTCGGAAAGTGCGTTGGGTCGGGATCGGACATGCGTCGGACTGTCGGAAAGTGCGTTGGGTCGGGATTGGACTGTCGGACTCGGGTCGGGGTAGTCGGAAGTGCGTCGGACAAATACTGTTTGACATCAGTATCAAAATAGCTGGTTCCGAGCCCAGCGCTGTGAACATTGTTACAGTGGTTAGGGTTATCCAGAACAGGAGAGAGCTGATGGATAGTACGTCTTTTGCGTTTATTATCTTGGTCGGTAGGGGGGTTGATAGTGATACCACTGCGTGTGTGCATGACAGAGCTGTCGGACACTGTGGGGCCTGTAGTGCCAGTAGTAGTTGCACCACGACGGACTTTGGTTCTGGTGGAGGGCGCCATTGAACTGTAGATACTGAGAAAAGGGGTGTTTTTAAGACGAATGTTAAAAGCAGGCAGCTCGCAAAACATGAAGTCTTAACAGGACGATGGAAGAGTGTAAAAAAGATAAAGCTGATTGCGAGTCAGAAGAAGAAATATTCCTTGTAGAAATACATGTACATTGCGGTTTTTAACTGAATGCAAGGGGCCAATACGAAAAAAATTAACAATTATAATCCGCCCAATCAACACACAAAAGGAGTTAGATTGAAATGTCATCAGAATAATGCAATATTCAGTGCAAATGAACACATACTGTCTGATGGTCCACATTAACAAAGCTAGGATCCAGACAAGTGATGGAGTGAATATGTGCATCTTTGATGAATGGGGATGGCAAGGCATAAACTTCTTCAATGTAAGATTGTCGCCATGGCATAATAGCTACGGCAGCAAAGAGGACAAAGTAGGCTTAAGACTTCAGGTCCACTTGCAGAACTGGTAATCGCATGGTTAGCATCAATGATATCCTCCAGTGTGTCCAAAAAGGTATGCTTACAATTACATGTGGCAGTCTACTTTGTGGATCTCGCTGCTAATTATCGTGTTAGCTAGCGTGAAGTGCAGAGAGTAAGAAGATCATACTTACTTGAGTTGTCCTTCCCCACTTGCTGAACAAGTCTAGTTAGCGGATCCCAGCTTTTGCGTAACCTGAGTTTTATATCTGTTGTAAGTAGAATATGTCAATTGTAATCAAGTAGAATGTGGGGAGGACCTACTGATTGGTAGTTACAATACAAAATATTTGAGGCGTTGAAAATTCCTGCAGACGATGAATTAGAATAAGATAACTGGATACGCACCTTTGTAGAGGATAGATGGACAGAAGTCCTAATGGGCGAAGTGACGCCGTGTTGAAGGTTCGGTGTTGAGGCCATGAGGCAGGTAGGACCATCTGACTCGTAGTCAGACAGCCAGGTAGCGCTGGATGACGTGAAGTCACCCAGGCAAAGTTTGTCTGCCTCGAAGGCAGACCAAACAATTTAGGCGATGGGGGCAGATGATGAGGAGTCATGAAAGATTCCGAAGGAATAAGGAATGATGGTGAAGTTTGATGAGACTTGGTAAAATTGCCAAAATAGGACGGGCTCTCCCAGGCCTTGACTGGGTGCTCCCAGACTAAGTAAGGGCTTTCCCACAATTCTGGACTTCAGATTATCCTTCAGTCTTTCATCCTCAGCTTGCTTTGCTCATCGCTCACCACCCAACTTCCCCCTCCATCACCGTTTCGCGCCCTCTATAGTCTGCCTTCGTGGTAGACGCTGTAGCGATGGTCGCGGCATTGGGCTCAAAACCACATATTTCCATACTCACATCAACACCCGAAACATATGCGCACATGTCCGACGCACTTTCGCACATGTCTGAGCCACTCCGTATCGGATCTGGCGCATCAGACCTTCAGACATTGCATCGGCCGATCGCACGTCGCGCGCACTTGTCCATCCTGTGTCCTGTCCATCTGAACTAGCCTCACTAGGTGCGTAGTTATTCCCGTGCATGTTTTCTGACATTTGTACCACGTTATTACATGTCCGCAGCACCTTGTGTCTTATTACATAGGACATCAGACCCGAAATATATCGCTACTATCTTCGCCTGTAGTTTTCCGAATTTCTATGTACTTACTTAAATACTCTGTAGTGACCTGTAGCAATCATTATCCAGTAGTTAGGAGCATGTTCCCGACTCTGCGGATCACCCAGAATATTCTCGTAGTTCTTAGTTGCATTGCGAAATATTACCATTCGTTCACCGTCATACTCTGTCACTCGTTATACTCGCGCATACCGCTTGCAACCCGACACTTGTTATAAAGTTTCTGACTCATTATTATGAAGTCCAAAAGTCCAAAATCTCAGACATTGCACTTTGGCTTCGGACATTGGATAAGTACCTTCGGACATTGTTTCGCAGCATTGGACATTTTGTTATTTGCATTACTGACACATTTTTACTACTAATACCAATTAGCAATCCCTTTAGGATCGAACACACTTGCTCTGCAAGTATAGCAGCATAGGTCGTGCTAAGATCTACCTAAATATTTGTTGTCTAGGTAGTACAATTTCTGCTGAGCCCAGTGGAAATCAGCTTTCTACAACGCCCTGTGAGCAGCAACTTTGTGTTGCTTGCTGCTATTGATTGCTTAGACTTCGGTCGGCAGTTCTTCCACTGGCCTGAGTATCTTGCCTTCCACTGGCCGCATCTTGTCGTCCGCCAGCAGCATCTTGTCTTCTTTCTGCAGCATTGTCACCCACAGCCAGAATCATCTTAACCGTCTTCAACTGTAACTATTGTCTTCAACCATTTTAGTTTTCTTGACCGTTTCTTTTTCACGCTGTTACTGACACCCAGACATCTACAAGATCTCTCTCAATTGCACTCAAGACTGTTGTAGGCCTTCACGGTAAGCATAATTGGTATGATTATGCTATAATTACTGACATTCAGCATCCAGCTAGATTGACATTTCCAAGAACTTCTGATCTCACTCAAGACTGTGCTGTTGGCCATTGTGGGTAAGCATATGTACTCTATCTGATCACACTATCACGACTGACATCCAGCCTCTAACCAGGCTCTGTAAGTGTAATCACTATTAGATTATGCTATAATTACTGACATCATGCCTTCATTCAGATTTCTTTTCAATATCTCTCAAGACCGTCCTACTCTGCCTTTGTGGTAGCATTTAAATTGTCAGTGACTTTGAGTCGTTGTGCAATTTAAATTTCATTCCTTGGTGACTTCGAGTCGCTGTGTGATTTCTCATTCTCAGTGCCTCCATTCCTGGATCCACCACTATGTCCATCCCTGTCTTCAAACCATTCATGCGCGATGGCGACCGTGCGTTTTGTCATCTCCGCACCTATACTGTCTTTGACTGACCATGTCCATCCAGGTTATCTCACTGCTACTGATGCATTCTGTGTGGCTACATATGGGCACTGAGTCATCACCACTCCCAACATGAAATTCATTCCCCAATCCTTTGACAATGAATCTGACATAATTCAAGTGCGAGCAGATGGCAGATACTGGGCCATAGATCCCTTTCAGTGGCCACAGATGTATGATGACTCATATGCTCGAAGTTTTGCAATCCCATGTCAGGAAGCCTACATGGACGACTCGAGCATGACATATGCGTGGTTCAGGCCAGCTTTTGCGAGTGACTTTGTGCCCCTTGCACCCAATAATCTTGTTGGTCAGCTCAAGACGGACATCCTTGACCATCTCAAGTGATTGTACGAGAAGGCAAACAAGTGGGTCAGCAGGTACAAGCTCACAAGGATGCACAAAGAGGATCATGTTGTTGGGTGGGTGCATGTGATGTGCACTGTATATGAGCACTTCCAGCAAGCCATGGCCTGGCGCGACATTGTCATGGTCATTGCTGAATATCAGCGTCGCTTTCTTGATATCTGGGCGCTTCTAGATTACTACGAAATCATTGAGCCCCACATGCGTTTTGTCGACACCACACATAATGTTAACCCTAAATGGATGGGTTGTTTCACTCAAGATGTCACTATTGCCACGAAGGTGCACGCTGCTGGAGTTCCTGTCTGGCTTATTCGCGATGCCAGACTTGTTCAATCCAATATGAACATCATCAAAGTTGTTTCATTCACACCACCTGATGACCTCGTCATCGGCATGTACCACCATCCCATCAAAAATTTTGCCCAACCATTCGATATCATTGCCAGATGTCCTAGCAATCGCCGGCGCCATGAGGCCATTCATCAGCCATACTCTGACTTTGAGAAGCTGCCCATTCCAAAACCCCAAGTTGAACAACTTGGCGTGAAGGAGTCATTGGGAAGGCTCGCATAGACAAAGGGAAGGCAAAGGCAAAGCTTGCGCCGTGTAAGTTCATCAGTCTTCTTTCATGGCCGCTGTTTCTCATTCATTCCTCAGACAATACCACTGCTCCCCGTCAGAACAGAGCTGTATCCGGCCGTGACAAGTGGTCTGATATTGATCACCTTACATGCTGCCAATGAATTCTTTCTTCAAGACAGCTTTGCAGGAAGCGAAGAAAGAATTCATTCGCATCAAGCATCCCAGGGACAAAATGGACGACGGTTACTCGCTTCCTGATCTGGGATTGTTTGTCAACGTTCTTTCCCCACAATCATTAATGAAGTACCTTGCCAACTGGCTGGCTTGCCATCCAATTTGGCTAGAACGTGTCTATGAAGAAAACCCTCGACCTCTTCCTCGTGCCCAGAACTGGCATGATTTCTTAATCTCTCAGCATGATCAGGGTCCTTTGGACACACAGACATCCAGCAAGACTAGCAAGTCGAAAGCAGCTACTGCTGCCCTCTTTCAAAAGGAGGTTACGGCACTGCGGGCCTTGTCAGGAGCGTCAAATGTTCATTGGCATGGGAAGGACATAGCTATTTCCACTCTCGACAATCCCCCTGCAGATCTCGTGCGCCAAATCATGTACAAAATCTGTGAACAAGGTTTCTGGTATGAACTTCTTGACCTTGATGAACATCTTGGGCACGATGCACGTAAGGACAATGAAGCGAGGAAGGAAAGGATGGAACTTCTTCGTAGCATTTTCCCGTCAAAGTCGTTGAGAGTTTGGAACAAGGACTTCCCTCAAGAAAATGATGGACTCAATGCGCCATCTTTCGATGCTGCTTTACCGTACTTCGAAAGTTTTCGCAAGGTATTGTCAATATGGGAGCACTTTTTTCTGAGTCCCTCAAGCAGCCTCTCAATCACACCGGACGTGAGCACAATTTATGGAAGGGGATGAAGGAATGTTGTGTCTTTTACGTTCAGTCTTATTTCAACAATACTGGCCATCCGCCTATTGTACCTCATCTCCTGTATTCAGTCGCGTAGATCTTGGCGTTGCATACCCTTTATCCGTCGCAATTAATATACCACAATTAGTCAACGGTTTGTATACCATCATATGTTACCAATGTTGTTTCGGTTGTAAGTGGACTTTATCACGGACAAACACCCTATCCCTAGGGATTGAAGTTTATTTTCCGCATACTAGCTAACATCTTGGTTTCACAGAACAGAGTGCACATGAACAGGTATAGAGATCCTTTCTTCACATTTTCTAGCACTCATCCACTCCGAAGGTTGATTGACCTATTCGCCCACTTTATTGTCTTCCTTTTTGATGCAAGTTTGGGACTTCGAGTTCCTCCTAGTGTTCGGTGGTCGACTTCGTGTCGACACTGACCTCAGTGCAGGCTTCGTGCTTGCCTTTGGTTGTCTTGTCATGGTCTTATCCATTCCTATCGCTGGGCCGTCTACTCAACTGCCTCGCAATGGACAGCACAGACTCGTCACTTCTTCAATGGTGAAGAGGAGGCGGCGACCACAGAAAAGCAGTTTCTATAGCCCCCCCACTACTTGTACTTCCCAGAAGAAAACACCTCACACAACAATCACCCAATATCGCAGGAAGGTCACAGCAGCAACAGCCTTTGGGTGATGCCGGCTCTGCTGACCAGCATGATACACCATCCGCTGGGGATCTTTTAGAGCATCAGGAGGAAGGCTTGTCTTTCTACAACTCACTCCACTACATCTCCAATGGCGACTTACTCATGCCCTCCCGTTCGAACAACCACCAAAAGAAGATTAATCAGTGGCGACACTGGACAAACAAAGTCATTCCTTCCTTGATCGCTCCATACCTTGCATACTTGCACAAATCAACTTCTCTTTGCGATCGAATTGAACTGCAGCCAGATGAAGTTGCTGCCTTTCAGTGTAGGTCCTCTTGTCGGCGGAGGGCTCTCAAGATCACTTGCATACTTTTCAATTGTATGTCTCTCTTATTACCTGGGCTATTGGTTGGCTGATAATCTCGAAGATATTGAGACACTACGAATTGATTGTTGCACTTGTGTGCCTGCTCCCCTTCAGCTCCTGGCTCACAGTTATTTTGCCTGTGCTCCCATTGCCCCTTCTCCCACTGTGGACCTTCAGCTGCTGGAGTTTGTCAAGACTTTATTTGTGCATATCACTCCCAACACGACTGCTTGGTGTGAAACACTCAAAGTCTTTCTGGCTGGCCGTGGGTATCAACTTACCACCAAGGTTAGTGAAGCATCTGTATTGAATTTTGGTCGTCTTGATCAATATTATTGTAGGATAATCTTCACCGTTGATTTGGTAACGCCTATCATTGGTACTCTTTACTCTGCATGAGCACCAAAGATCACTTGTCAAATCTCATTGGCAATTATCGCCCACTTCCTGCATCATCCAACGAGGGATTAACATGTCCAAGCAACTATCTAAGGTCTCGCTGTCCGATTTGTTTTGGCTGGGTTGATTGGCGAAAAAGTGGAACACTTAATCTCAGGTAAGCTCCTTCAATAACAGCAACTAAATAAATTATAAAACATATAGTAGACCTGACGTGCACACTTGCATTGGCGCGTGCTTCACTCAAAAGTGTTCGTCGGATCAACACGGCGGAGGTCCAGATCCCCCAAACCCAATCAGATCAGTTTTTCTTTCGGATGACGAGGTGACATCAATGGATGCCCATGTGCAAAGTTGTCACGGCAGACCCCCTGCTCGGGGTCGCAAGAGAAAGGAAGCCACAGAAGGGGAGGAGGATGGCTACGAGAATGGCATGAGAGTCCCGACCTCTGCGCTGGATGGCTGCAGTGAATCTTTCTTTGCCGCTGATGAAAAACGTGAAAAGGCTAGCACCCAATTTTTTGCAGACACAGGGGTGATGGCCATGTTATGTCACCATGATCGTGTATTATGGCTTGTTAACATGATGTCAGCGGGAGAAAAGCAGCATTATGCTCTCGCCCTGATCAAGAAGCTTTTCGATAACATCCCTCCTGAGATGACTGTTGGCCTCTTGTATGACATCGGCTGTCAACTTCATCGAAGTTGTCTCAAGTACCGGCTCCTCAATGACGACGTTCTTCGCTGGATAACTTTCGCAATATCAGTCTTTCACGCTTACGGCCACCAATGGGCCTGTCAAATTATATACCGTCCTTGCAAGTGTGAAGGCTTTGGCCTTTCTGATGGAGAAGGTTGCGAGTGTCTATGGAGTGCACTCAAACATCTTATTGCTCCGCTACACATTTCTGGGGTGAGTGTTCTCTGGTTCAAGAATGGTTTCATATGGGTTATAGCCACTCGTCATATTACAATTGCCATGGTTGTACCGTAGATTCACCTCTGACTACAATTTATATATTTCCTACTTACTGACCACTTTTTCAGTTTCATCAGTGACTTTTTGTCCTTGACACTCAGGTCCGGCACCTCGATGACAAAAACCTTGTTTTGTTTGGCAGCTGGTTGAGCCGGAGGTGGAACAACTGTGCTAAGAAGAAGAGTAATGTCATGCAAGCTCTACATGAGCTTTCAGTGGATGAAACTCCTGTCTGTCAGCAGTGGAAATTACAGGTTGAATATCAGATGAGACCCCTGCCTCATAAGTGTCATGTTGGTGATTTAATCATATTATTCATTTGTGTGATCTTGACAGGAAGATCGAAGACAAGCAATGACAAGGAAATCTCGAAAATCCTCTCCATCAAGAAATCTCTCGCTGAGCTCGATGGATCGTTGCGACGCATGAAAATGCAACTTTGTACAGGAAATGTCAACAATCTCGTCGACTTCAACCTTCGTCTCATCGAAGAGCGTGCTCACCGATCGAGACTCGCGGACACTTTGAGCCGCTGGAAGGTAAGGCTTGGCATCAATCAGTGCACCCATCTGGACCAATTACGTCACAATGTATATCTACAAGTCCGTTTAGATGCTCAAGCTTTAAAGACCTGTATTTGCGAACAACTTTGACAGCGCAAGTTCGAAATTGAGAAGCTTGAACGCTCATACAGGCAAACAGTAAATGGTACTTATGTTCTGAGTTGTACAGATGGACTTCAACTGATTGTACTTTCTTGTCACAGAACACAAGCTTAATTCTCATGTCGACACTGCAATCCAGCGACACAATCCTACAATATGAAAACTCGTGTCCTCCTACAATAGCCTATGTGTGGATCTCAGTGCTCTTATCAGACAACGCCACAGTCCTCCCAATGCTATAGTGCCTAACCCTATCTCTCTCCTGCCGGTATCTTCAATCTTGATGTTGATGCTGACATTTGGCAGGACATTGGACTCGATGATATCGTGCTGGAACCCCCTGATTGGTTAGCTGATGAGGTTACTCGTGCTGCGATCAGACTGGTGCTCGAGATTGACCAATGTGACGAAGAAGAGTTGCGTGTGAAGGTTGAGCGCTGTGCCCTGCAGGAGTGGGCTATTGTTGAGTGGGATGCTCTGCAGAGGGCCCGTGCATATGCAAGTAAGTTTTTTGTGCTTCACTAACACTCTATGCTGACTTTTGAAGGAGATGACAACATAATCCTCTATCACATGAATCTTCGTGCTCGACAGTTTATTGACCTTGTACTTGGGTGGCAAACAAAGGTTCGTCCCATCCCATGTGCATGGCCTATGGCTGACTGCTGGGGGCCAGTCACATAACAAACTTGCTAATGCGACACACGTGGTGTACCCTGATGTCCATGATGACGAAGATGATGTAGGGGAGGATCGAGATGATTGGGAGTCTGACATTTGCTGCAGGTGATGATGAGCTTATGGATGTCTTAGAAGATATTGCATTAGCAGATCAGTATAGAGGGGAAGAGGTAGATTATATCGAGGATGGCTATGCAGTCAACGACTCAGTTGGTAAACAGCCCAACTAGACATGTCAGATTTATGTTGTAGTACTCTAGTTGATCTATAGATTGGAAATGACTCTTTGTATCACGCACACTCCTGTAGACCTTTGGTACATCATAATAATAAGGTTGTGAAAGCATCAAATGTCATGTGACTGTGACTAGCGGTGACATTAAGATGACTTGCACATAAAATTGTAGAACATATTCAATTTTGGTCATCCAATGAAGCGTGAAAACTGAAATTTTGCATTTTTCTCTCCCTTTTCATGTAGCCATTGTTTCACCTATTTGTTATTAGTTTATAATTGCTCAGTTGTCACAAAACATCATGATTTGACATTCAATGCTTGTTGTGTAAGGTGTACCTTACAAATATACCTTAGCAATTTCACATGATAAACAAAGTGACATTTTGAGGGTCAAGCATCTCAAGGACCATGTCATCTTCCTGAACACACAATACAGGATGCCTCCTCAAAGTATAGACTTCATCTCTCAAGCTGTATATAATGGCCTACTTGAGTTGAACCCGCAACACTCTGTCACAAACAAGAGGATGGCTTATCATTTTATCAACATTCCCAGCCAGGAACAGTTACATGGAACTACCCCCCCTCCCCCCATCATCTTATGACAGACTTGCAAGTAAAACTCCCACATTTTATTCCATATTCTGCATGCCACCCCCCCTTCATTGCACACCCCCCATGATCTTATGACAGACTCGCAAGTAAAACTCCCACATTTGATTTTGTATTCCCCGTGCCACCCCCCCTTCATCATGCACCCTCCATCATCTTATGACAGAATCACAAGTAAAACTCCCACATTTAATTCCGTATTCTGCATGTCACCCCTCCTTCATTGCACACCCCCCATCATCTTACGACAGACTCGCAAGTAAAACTCCCACATTTGATATCATATTCCCTGTGCCACCCCCCCTTCATCGCACCCCCCCCCCCCCCCATCATCTTATGACAGACTTGCAAGTAAAACTCCCACATTTTATTCCATATTCTCTCTGTTGTTACCCCCCCCCCCCCCCCTCACCTTCTGACAGACTCGCAAGTAAAGCTCCCACATTTTGTTGCATGTTGCCTGCAAGACAATGCAATTACTCGATGACTAGTGCTACACTCAGTGTGTCTATCACTCTTTTGTGTTTGCCCACCACTCCCTCAGCAGGCTCAAGTCTATTGATTCCAATTAATAAAATACAATAAAGTCCACTTGATGCAGGACAATGTTTTGGGCCAGAATTCCTGCAGGTTTTGTCCAATATCAAAATCTTGTCTGAAGTGCATGTACTGGCCTCACATACCTAGTACTACTCCTTCTATCAATATACAAATTGTGGATTTTTATGCCATCAAAATGTTTGAAAAAGGACCCCAATCACCCCTATTTATGATGGGAAAGCCCAACTAATAAATGCCCCAGGACATCCCAGAGACATGCTAGAGTGATCCCGGTTGGGATTGGGAAGGATCAGATACTATCCAAGACTTCTACAAGAAGACTTTTGGTCGTAGTGCAATGGGAGCAGTGCTCACACACTGAAAACGTGAATTAATGCAGGCCATTTGGCACTTTCTACTCGATGCCGATTTTATAGATGCATATCAACATGGCTTTGTTGTCAAGTTCCCTGATGGAGTCTCTTGTCGTGTGTTTCCTCGTTTTTTCACTTATTCTGCTGATTATCCAGAGAAGTCTGTTTTACATCTTACTTGATCGCACCATACTAATCTCCACAATGTCAGGGTTCTACTTGCATGCATGAAATTCCTTGGAAGGTGTCCATGCCCACGGTGTCTTGTTAGCAAGGACAACATTTTCAAATTAGGGACAAAGTTCGATTGACGACACCACACCAGAAATTCTCAAGTCGACAATCATCCATGGTGTAGTTTCATTGAACGAGACCATGAACTCATATTTGTTCAAGGCTATAGTGTAGTCAGTGCTGCAATTGAGAGAATTGTTGGTACCACCTCTGTGGCACCTATTCGTGTATGTATGATTTGAATCAAGCTTTCAAAGTTTACTAATTGTGAGCATCAGAATGCCTTTTCAGAGAAGCTTTCCAAGTTCGGTTTCGATTTCCACTCGATGCTTGTGCCTGACTTTATGCACAAGTTTGAGTTGAGAGTATGGAAGGCAACCCTTACTCATCTTCTCCGAATTTTGTATTCATATGGAGGTACTGCTGTGCAAGATCTCAATGAGCGGTAAGTCATTTTCTCATATACATATGCGTGTCCATCATAATTCAGGTATCGTCTTGTGCTGACATTTGGACGCGATACCATCCGCAAGTTTAGTGACAATGTGTCAGGTCTTACGAAACTTGCAGCACATGATTTTGAAGACCTGCTTCAGGTAGGAATATAAGTAAACCAACTGCTGTCATGTTGATCAATGCTGGCAGTGTGCAATGCCAGTATTTGATGGTCTTCTACCGGAACTGTTCAACAACTCAATCCTCAACCTTCTGTTTGAGCTGGCCACCTGGCATGCATTTGGGAAGCTTCGCATGCACACAGAGACGACACTCTATCATTTCAATAACTGTACGACACAGCTAGGAAAAGCTCTCTGGCAATTCCATGACAACACATGCAGAAAATTTGCTACTTGTGACTTGCCACGCGAAACAGCTGCTCATGCACGGCGTCGGCGTCCAAAAGTGTCTAAAGGCAAGAATGCAAGGTCAGAAAGGACCAATATTGGTGTTGAAGGTGATGGCCCCTCAAAGCAACACATTTTCAACCTCTCGACTTATAAACTTCATGCTCTTGGAGACTATGTCAGGTCAATCTGGTTATATGGGACCATGGATAATTACTCTACACAAGTAGCAAGTATTGGAATCTATCACATACATTCACCTACTAATGTTGGAATTAGGGCGAACTTGAGCATCGACAAGTGAAGCGATTTTATGCACGGACTAACAAGAACAAGTTCACACGAGGAATTGCAAGACCTCAGCATCGTGAGTGCATTTTGCAGAGGATGAAAGAGGTGAACTGTGAAAGGGCAGCTGCACAAGAGAATCACACACAGCCTGAGACTGAAGATCTCCATCCATCTCTTCATTTCATTGACCAGGAGCCACTGCCACATTGCTCACCAGAGATCCACTACCAGATGTCCTCGTCACAGAAACATTACTGGGATATTTCTTCCTGGCTCAGAAAGAACAGAAATGACCAGGCCACAAAGGTAGGTCTCTGAAACTCGTAAAATGACAAATGTATTTGCTCACTAGATGTAATTAGAATTTTCTTCCACGTCTCAAAGACCACCTGCTGGGTTGCTTGTCAGGACTGGACTACGATGGAGATGAGACTTTATTTAGTGCAGTGCAATGAAACTCTGTTGCAATTATCAACAATCAAATTTATCGTCACAAAGTGCTTTGTGTCAACTACACTACCTATGACTTGTGGCGTGCTCAGGACTCCCTCAATCCCCGCACACATGCAGACATCATGGTTCTCGCTTGTGACCAGGAAGACTCCCATCCATACTGGTATGCTCGAGTTATTGGAGTGTTTCATGTCAATATCCACTACATGATACCAGGTGCACGTCCCTCTATAAAGTGTGTCGACTTTTTGTGGATCCGCTGGTTTGCCCACAATATCACTGCACCAACAGGTTGGGCAGCAAAACGGCTGCCATGAGTTGGGTTTTACAATGGAGATGATGAATCAGCATTTGGGTTCCTCGATCCTGACCTCGTTGTTCGCGGTGTTCAACTTATCCCAGCCTTTCGACATCTACATACAACTGCACTGTTGGGACCATCCATTGCACGTCAAGCAGCTGACAATGATGAGGATTTGGACTGGTACTGCATCAACATGTCAGTTATTTCCCACTAACAACATGAATTGAATCTGATAAATTAGCAGGTTTGTTGACCAAGACATGTTCATGCACTTCCGTGGAGGAGGTGTGGGGCACAAATCCACGCGAAGAGAGACATCATGCCTGCTTGATGATCGTGATGAGTTGGATAGGATCCCCTTCCAAAGAGAGAAAGACCACCATGGATCAGAATTTAATGAGGGCTCTAAAGAAGATGAGGATATGGATGAGGATGAGGGGAGTGGCAATGATTGCGAGGAGGAAACAGATGATAGTGAGGAGGAGACAGACAGCATGGACAACGAGGATGAGGGTATACTGTTATATTTATAAATACAAACCCAGGGATAGTAACAGGACAGTTTTTGATACTTAGCGAGGATCCCCAGCCCCTACAATAGTATGCATACAGGCTTCTCTGTATCAATACTCATGCAAGGGCTAGAAAGCAGCTTCTCAGTCAGTATGCATCCAGGCTTCTCTGTATCAATACTCATGCCAGGGCTGAAAAACAGCTTCTCGGGCATCACCGGCTATCCTATTCAGGATGTACCTTAATTCCTGCCGTGCTTCTGCGCTTCTCGGTATCAATTATCCGGCAAGCAGCAAGCCGAGCGTTCCTCAGCCATCCTATTTGGGATACACCTTTTTCTCCCATCTAAATATATCACATACCTTCAGTTGTCTGTTCCTATTTAGGATACACCTTCTTATTCTGTCTAAATATGTCGCATACCTTGGTTCTTTAGATTGACACATTCCAAAACAAGCCCTATGATATTTCTTCTTGTTGTATCAATACATACGCACGTGACATTTGACCCTATGATATTTCTTCTTGTTGTATCAATACATAAGCACATGATATTTGCCACCAAAATTTTGCTAAGTCCTGTAGACTGTACAGTATTAAAAGCAACATGCTTCGCTACTAGTAAGTCCTGGGCCCATCATGTATCAATACAGTAGCATGTGCTATTGGCGCCAACCAAACAATTGTATCATCAAGAATGAATATATTTGCATTGATTAATACATGGTACAAGATTAAGACAGTGTGCGTATATACATGATGAGAAGAACATTGAGAAAATGCTCCCAATGAGCTTACAGTGGCCTTCTTCATGCAACGGACTTGCGAGATCTGCAAAAAGATGCTGTGACCCTTCTACACCACACTGAGAATATTTGACTTACCTCTTTGAAGTGCTGCCAATCTTGTTAGCATCTGTCAGACGGGTTGATGGGAGGCGCATTTGACTGCCGTGACGGAACGACTGATTGAGTACATCATTGAATGGTTGCACCTCCTTCGTCGTCTGGTCCACAGTGGTGCTGGCAGGGCACATTTTGATGCTCATGGACATGTTAGACATGGGGGCCTTTGGTGCCAAATCAATCGTGGTTGTAGGAGGAGAAGCAGACAGAGATACATCTGCTACAGGCGCGACTGCTGTAGGTGAGGTAGGAGGATAGGCAAACAAAGGCACATCTGCTGCAGGTGTGGCAGGAGTTGCAGACCCGTGAGTTGCAGGAGAAGCAGAAGCAAATGGAGACGCTGCAGGTGTGGCAGGAGGTGCAGATGTGTTAGCTGTAAGAGTAGCAGAAGCAGACGGAGGTGGGGTGGGAGATGCAGACATGCGAGTTGCAGGCACAGGCACAGCCGGAACCATAGGAACTGTCGATACCAGGACTGCCAGAGGTGCATGGGGAGATATTGATGTTGAATCGCAGAGGTGATCATAGATAGAAGGGGCCTTAGCTTTACCCAAAGTGACAGGACGCACACGGGGTATTGTCTTGCCGTGGCCAGAAGGACTATGTGAAGCCACATGCACAAAGGTGGTGCTAAGATGAGGTGGAGAAAGCTGGTAATCCTACCAGCATCTAAGTCCTTCTCCCATGCAGTAATGGGCGTGTCTGGGCTATTCTGAGAAAGGAAGGGAGGGAGTATTGGAAGGCCGGACTCCGTGTCAGGTTCAGGCTCAGGTAAACTAAGGTAAGGGTTGAGAGACTCATAGAACCCAGAATCGAAGGAACTGTTGGGGAATGTATACTCATGTGGGCCATGGGAAGTTGGATGAATCATTGTATGAAGCTCGTTTTCAGTGGGGTGTATGGATACACCTCCACCTTCCATGATGGGCACAGAGTCAGAAGTTGTTGGAGGGATGGGATTGAACGTAAGAGGAGTGGGATTGAACATGTCGACCCCACTGAGAACGTCGATGTGCTCCAATACTTCAGGTGGTGCAGATGTAGTGCTAGTAGCTGTGAAAGTTTTAAAATTTCACTTATAATTAAAAGGTCATGTACTTACCAAATGTGCCCTTCAGAAACATGGTGAATGGTTCAACGATCTGTTTGGTGTGGTCGGGAAGTGAGTCACAGAAGGTGAACCCAGTGCTCCCCTTCCCATGGTGAAAACTGTCCGCACATTAGAATACCTTTTCCAATGAGGTAGCAACATATACTCACCTGAAAACATGAACGTCCCCATTTGCACATGGATCCGGGCCACCTAGGTATATGCTCCCGTGCCAACCAGTTGTCTCAAATATTGTCTCTAGTAGTTGCCTGGCTACCCCACCCAAACCTTCAATATATCTATTTGTATGTTAGCTGCACTTAGAAACTTGAGTGAATGAAAAACAAATGTACTGAAGTTTGAGAGAGTCTGAGGGATTCCACAACCCCTCAAGTTCACATTTTGCCCTTTCAGCACGACACTGACATTTGGCCTTCGCCTGCTCCTTCATCTGCATCACATAGGCTTCGCCGCAGGCTGCCATCACCTTGCTGGCTTCTGCACAAATGCCGGACATGCGGGTGTTTTTTGTGTACTCACCATTCTCCACTTGGGCCATGACTTCTTCTTTGATCGAGGAGTCTTCCTTGTAGTCCATTTGTAAGAAATGTTCCAGTGGTAGGTCCACATGTCTGAGCAGTTGAAGTTGCCATCAACTTGGTGATGGTCTTGGTGAATTGGGTGTGGCATGCCCTACCAGCAGAAGATGCTCCTCGATAACAGTAAGAGCGCAGTTGCTGCATTGAGGTGGTTTAGCCATGAACCAAAATGAAAATGTATGTAACGTACTCCCTTGTGCTGCTTAACGAGTTTACCTAATTCTTTTATTTGATCACTCGTTAATTCAGCCTCAGTAAGAGGTATCCCAGTTGTGCTATCTTTGAAATGGATGCCAACTTCTGGCCATTTCACAAACCATTCTAAGCACAACTGGTTCAAGTATGCAGAGACAGAACCCTGCAGCTGACTCAAGCAGAAGCCATCCATCTTAGACTTCAACCAAACAGTCTGTTCGTGAGTCGTCCACGAGGCTCCAGGCATCTATTGTTCCCATCAAGGTAAGTAGGTATCAATACAAGATCATGTGACACACATACAGTATGTTTTTTGATGTTTGATAACACCGACACCTCTGACTTGTATGAATGCCCCATATAGGACGGAGTTTCAACTCTATTTCCAATTCAGCCAATCAGATGAGGCGTTTATTTTTCAGCCTTATAAGCCCCGTGTGTATGAGAAACTTAACGTCAACATTCACAGCTAGTTCAAATTCACAACATTCCTCCTGTTTGATCAATATGAAGGTCTACCCTGATAAGGACGACACCTTCACCTTGACTGAGCTTTGGAGTGCATTACAACTGATACACCAGAATGGTAAGTTTTCTTGTCATCATTTTATTTGTGTATCTGAGATTGTATATATAACAAGCGGCTATTGACAACGGATCCCACCAGTTGACCTTTGCTCAGAATAGCCCTGCCCAAGCGGATGGTAAGTGTCATTATGTCAATCAAACCTAATACTGACACTGATTTCATATGAAGGTGCGGCTAATCCTGCTGGTGATGACCTCAGTGACAACGAGTTAACTGTCTCACAGCCTCCTCCTGGCATTGTTCCAGCCCAGACCCAGCCTCCTCCTGACATTGTTCCAGCCTGGACTACTCAACCATCCACATTACTTGATTCAGCTGCACAAACCGCTCAACCATCCACATTACCAGCTGCACAACCTGTTCCAACTGTCACTGTGCAGCCTCTAGCACAAGCGCATGCTAACCCTCCTGCCTCTTCATGCTGGTACACTATCACCGTTGGGCGTGAGACAGGCGTCTTTCAGGGCTGGTATGTTCTCTGACACCCTAACCGTGTTTCTTTGAATTCACTCTAACTAATTGTTAGGCACAGTGCTCATATTCATGTTGTTGGAGTCCCTGGTGCATGTTTTGCTCGTCACCCCACTCGCGCTGCTGCTGAAGGAGCGTACACAGAGGCACTGGCTGCTGGTGGAGTGACACAGGTGCCGGCATGATGTGGGAGTCCACGCTGCACAATGTAGATGTATCTATGTAGTCTATTTTGTCGTATTCTTGTCAATCAATCACATTTTCTTGTTCACAAATACATTGTCACCTGAGACAGCCGAATTCTAGTCCATCGTGTGACAAATGTTGTTCAAATTGGACTCTGGGCATACATTCATGAAGATGTCTCGGGATATGTAAAAAATTCTGAATGTGAGCAGTATATAATTCTGCAAACGTGCTACTCTAACACCTGGTGAAGCCCGTCTCAAGCTAGTACAGCATGCACAATGCAACAATGCTACCAAAGTAATTGTCCCGAAGCTGTGGCAGTGCCACCTAAGTAAGTACTATGTAACTGTGTTTGTGCTTTATAGCATTTGCCACACCTTTGCCTCACCACAAACTTTGCCTCCCGATCATACCACTCACACTCTCACTTCACCCAAAAAAATGGGGTGGCATCGGAAGCCTTCGCCAGAGCACGAAGAAGCACGTAAACACTCAAAATGTATACACTATGCACGGTAAGTAGTTTTTTTTTCATTCTTTTTTATTCAATTCAGTAACTATTACTCAAATGCAAGGCATCTGGGCTATGAACGAATCAAAGCATGGCATAGATGGAGGCGGTGTCAGGGTGCTACAGAGGTATGTTCATAATTTTGGAGGTTTAAGACATTTTTATTCATTTTATAGGCTACCCTCAATGCTTTTCATACTATGGAAGACCTATGGACCAGAACTTACACTGGAGGTAGCTGAAATTACAATGGATGTGAACCTCGCATTATTGCCCTTCTTCAAAATGTGGACAAATGGGGCTGGAGTGCGGTTAGACCTGGGTTTATGGGTGAATTAGCGGAGGCAAGGATTTTACTTGAAGAAGTCAAGACACTGTCAAGTTCAGTTACCAATTTGGAGGGTCCCTGTACTGTCCAGCTAATGACTGAATGTTTGCGTCTCCTCTGCCGTGCTCGTCTCTGGCTTGCATCAGAGGAGGAAATTCTCCAGCTTATGGATGAAGGACCAGATGTCCTTGACGATGCATTATTTACCAATAACTTAGTCTGGCAGAGGCCCTGATCATTAATTACATATTTGAATCACTGTGTACTCACGTGACAAGCTTTTTTTTGTTGATCGATCTTTTTTGTTGATTGATCATGGCCCCATCTCGCAAGCGCAAATTCGACAAATATCAACGCCAGTTTATTGCAGAAAATTTTGCTAATGCAGCACAACAAACTGCAGCAGCTGGGCATGATGATGCGGGGCCTGGCACTTCATGTCACATGCACACATCTGTTGATGTCACTAACAGACTCTGTCCTTTAGCCAAAACGACATATTTCTCTGCGTCCAATGTAATCTCACCAGCCGCTAATTACATGCCATCAACGCTTATATAGATTATATTGCGGACATGAACTTCAATCCAGAGCCAGTTGGAAAGACAAGCAAACGCTCACCAGGAGTATGTGCATCTCACTTCACATTCTTTTACCTGTCGTTAATTTTTTGCAATTAAAGGACGACCCTAAAAAACTGTGGCTTCTGGAGAGAGACATTTTCCTTCGTGAATTCATCAGGCTCAAAAGCTATGGGGACACAATGTTGCCCCAATTCTGTCACAGCCTCCATGGTTGTGACAACGAGCCTGTATATTATTGTAGCGACTGTGAAGGACTTCAAATGTATTGTCAAACGTGCGTGGTAGCTCTCCATTGTGCCATGCCCCTGCATCATGTCGAGGTATTGTTTTGAAAGTTTATTTGCCTTCTAAGTTCTGATCTTCGATTACACACAGGTCTGGACAGGCAAATACTTTCAGCACACCTCCCTTTGCAATCTTGGGCTACACATGCAACTTGGGCATCCCCCGGGGGTCTCATGTTGTAACCCAGTGCCAGCATTTGATGCTGAATTCACAGTTCTTAACACTAATGGTATTCACAGTGTTGCACTCAATTTTTGCAACTGCGAAGCCGCACAGACTCACACCATTCAGTTATTGCATGCTTGATGGTACCCTGCTACAAGTACTGACCCTCGAACGGCTGCTACCTTCTGACTCCTCGATCATTTTCAAATGTATATGTTTGAATCCAAGGGTTCTGCATTCGAGTATTATCAAGCTTTGTCTCACTTGACTGACAACACAGGCGCAAAGAGGCCCAAGGTAAGTCTTTCGCTATTTCATACATATTATGACTAACTATATACTAGGACCGCTACAAATCCCTCCTTCACATTAGCCACCAGTACCGCCATCTAATTGCCCTCAAAAGAGCAGGCCGGGCTCACGACATCTCTGGGATATTGGGGATGTAGTCGGGCGAACTTGCTGTGGTTTGCCCAGTGTAAAGAGTAAATCTCCACTGGGCTCAGCAGAAATTGTACTACCTAGTCAACAATGTTTAGGTAGATCTTAGCACGACCTATGCTGCTATACTTGCAGAGCAAGTGCATTCAATCCTAAAGGGATTGCTAATTGGTATTAGTAGTAAAAATGTGTCAGTAATGCAAATAACAAAATGTCCAATGCTGCGAAACAATGTCTGAAGGTAATCCGATGATGTCTGAAGGTACTTATCCAATGTCTGAAGCCAAAGTGCGATGTCCGAGATTTCGGACTTTCGGACTTCATGATAATAGGTTGTAAACTTTATAACAAGTGTCAGATTGCGAGCGGTATGCGCGAGTATAACGAGTGACAGAGTATGACGGTGAACGAATGGTAATATTTTGCAATGCAACTAAGAATTACAAGAATATCCTGGGTGATCTGCAGAGTTGGGAAACGACTCCTAACTACTGGATGATGATTGCTATGGGTCACTACAGAGTACTTAAGTAAGTATGTAGAAATTCAGAATACTACAGGCGAAGATAGTAGTGATATATTTCGGGTCTGATGTCCTATGTAATAAGACACGAGGTGCTGCAGACATGTAATAATGTGGTCCGAATGTCAGAAAATGTGCATGGGAATGACTACGCACCTAGTGAGGCTAGTTCGGATGGACAGGACACGGGATGGACAAGTGCGCATGAAGTGCAATCGGCCGATGCAATGTCCGAAGGTCCAATGTGGAGTGTCTCAGACATGTGTGAAAGTGCATCAAACATGTGCGCGTATGTTTCGGGTGTTCACATGAGTATGAAAAACCGTGGTTCCAAGCCCAGCGCCACGACCATTGCTACACCGGCTTGTCCCCAACCTGGAAAAACCTTCCACCACACTGGGCAGACACCCCTAAAGAAAAACAGTAAGTCCAGTCCATTCACCTATACATGAGGGCTTATCTTGATCCACATAGGTGGTTGTATAGTCTGTTTGTCAGGATCGATGTGAATTTTCGAATGTGTCGTCAGAACAAATCATCGGAGCAAGCGGATCCCAGTTTGAGTCAGGGCTGGGCATATTTTGTCAAGGATTCCGGGTTCAAGAGCATCCTAGACACGCACGCGGGGCTCACACAGGAGAAGAGCAGCTGCGCAAGTCATAACACAGTGAACCTTGTGGATTCGAAGCGAGTGCGTGGCCTTGCAGCAATGGGCATTGGTGCCGTTGTTTGTGCAAGGCATAACTTCAAGCGTCCCTTGGTGGTAGGAGATCTCCAGAAGGGGGAGAGATATGTTAACATGGACTACTTATTTTTTTTCGACAATGACACACTCGAGCAAGATCGTTGTCGTCAACATCTTGTATGACATCACATGCCAGTGGAACTAACATCTTTGGGAGTGCATGTCTCGGTATCCCTCCAACATTCATCTGGTGCACACCAGCAAGACAATAACCTTCCTTGTGCCAAAATTCCACCTCCCTGCCCATGTTGCTCCATGCCAGACTAAATTCTCCTTCAGTCTTATCAAAGGGATGGCCTGAACCGATGGCAAAGTGCCCAAATGTGGATGGTCCAATATTAATCCTGTGGCTACCAGCACACGGGAGATGGGACCTGGTTCGACATGTGATGCGCTCGACGACCACTTCAGCGACTGGAACTGGTGGAAGGTGTCTAACTTTGGTAAGTCATTACCCTCATCATCAATAGTTATCTGACTGGCACTTTCAACAGGTGCATTTCTTTTGCAAAAGCTCAAGGATGCCATCCCTCAACGTGATCAACATATTTCAGACCTTGTCAATTTTGAGGATGCAATTCCAGCTGAGAGCCTCGCAACCTGGCATACAATGGTAGAGGGTTGGGAGACTGACCGATCTAACGCAAACCCATTTGACTCAGCATCTTCACCCATGATGCAAGCTTCTGTTCGACTGGAGCTCTCACAAGTTGAAGCAAACCAACTCAAATGTAGACTCGACATGTCCTTGCACTCTGAGGTTTCACCAAGTGTCCTCATAGTTGTCAGAATTGAGCTCGAGACTCAGCAGTAAGTACCATTATTCTCCGATCCTCAATGTAATTTACAAATTGTTTTTGTTTGACAGGCGCCAGCTTGTTCATGAAACCTCAAGCATAGGTGCACACACTACCGAAATCCAGCTATCTACACTTCAGCAGCGGACAAACACACTTCATCGTCGAATTGAACACTGGATCAAGATTCAAACCCTTTACATGCCGTGTGTCGCACGTCTTCGTGAGATGATCGATGCTACCTCTGATAATACAGAAGAAGACGTCTACAGTATCAAGCTCTGGATGCCCTCAGCTATTGTCACCCAGTCTCTATCTTATGACAGAAACCTATTGCTCATCGAATGGAAGCTTCACAGAGCTCAGGAACACAAGGCACTACATGAACTTTATCAGCACCTGCAGCTCAAGCGTCATCTTACCGGCTTCAAGAAGGACTGGATTACTGGTCAATGCGGACACATGAGGTCACGTGGGACCATCAACACAGTGCAGAAAAAGATTGACACTGCTGCCACCAAATATCACATTGCTTGGGCCTCCCTCAGTGCTCTTGCTGAGCCTCTTCTTGAAATTGACTGGAAGGCCGAGTTCCCGGTGCTCGAGAAAGAGGATGTCCACAGAATGATGGAGGACCAAGCAGCAGGGGAAAGTATTTCTGAGGGGCGAAGATTAGTTTCCATATCATGGATTTGGAAGCAATGTTATGGCGCCGGAGAGGAAGAGCTTTCAGATGGTAAGCTCACCCCACTGTCCCCCACTGTCTCAGCCAGTTCCCTTCTGAACCCTGTTTTACAGCTATGTGCATTGAGTGGTGCAAGGCTCGTGCACGCGCTAACCGATGGTCCGAGGAGGTAGAATTATTGCAAGAGGAAATGTGGCGCGTTCTCGCATTCTTTGATTGGCATGCGGCCTGGTGGGTGGAACGTGCAACATCCAAGATGTGGCTCGGGCCCATCGAGAATAAAGGTGCAGTAGCATATGCACATCGGCAAGCTGCCATTCGGAGGATGATGTGTGACCACTGCTCTTCAATTTGGAGCATTGTTCCTGGCCTCATTGCCCAGTCATCGTGCAACACTGCTATCTAATGAGATATGTTTTTTTCTGTGATTCTGATGTATTTTGTCATTAATGTTTGATTAACTACATGCTATTGACGCAACAAACTAGTACCTATCTGTTCCAAACAATAAACTAGCACCTATCTGTTCCCAATGGCATAGCAATGCTATGTTTTAATGTTTTCAACAACTCTCCATGTTTACCAAATTGGGATGACATATTTGATGGTGATTGGTCTATATTTAAGCCCATTAATGGGGAGGGTCTATATTTAAGCCAACAAAGGGAAACAATCCAGGGATGAGAACCAGTAAGATCTACCCTGATCAGTGGGGCCTGAGAAACTGTGCTAGGGATGAGAACCAGTAAGATCTACCCCTATCAGTGAGGCCTGGGAAACTGCGCTAGGAACTGCGCTACCTTTCCCCAGCAAAGTATGAATAAAGGGAAGTACCTGAAGGGACCATACTCCCTGGAAGAGTATCAATAAAGGAAGCACCATGGATTCCTTGGTGAGTATCAAAAACTATGCTGGTACTATGGCTAAGGAGTATGGATACTCCTGCCAGGGTGTGGTGCGAGGATGGGGATGAAATTCCAGCTACCTTTGAAGCAATGGTAGACCACACTGTTGCTGACGAGATGGATGAATATGGATACTCTGGCCTTGACCAAGTCCTTGATGAGGATGGTGCAGATGAAGACACCAACAAGATTGATGACTTTGGTCCAGAAGATGGGGAGGATGTGATGAATGAGTTTGAGGAGGATAGCTTTGCAGACTTGTAATTGACGACAGTGCATGACAAGATAGGTCAGAAATTTAGCTCTGTCATTTTTAAAGTAATTTACATGCAGCCTGAATCACAGGATGGGTTGGGTCATAGATGAAGTGAGTACAATCAGGTAGTGGGAATCAAAATGCTTATTGAAATGCATGAGGATTAATGATCGTCAGCAGTCAGCTTTGTTCCGGCAGTGCTGAAAGAGCCAGGCGTTCTTGAATAGCTTCAATGTGACCTTCAATGTGAGCCCTATGTAGAGTCAGCAGTGTTCACTAGTGAAGCATCTGGGCTGCGATGACTCATCAACATTATGGAAGAGCATGAGAAGCAGGCGAAGGAGATTGTCGAAGGTATTGAATGTGAATGGGTTCGAGGACACTCCTAAAATCAGTGGGCACAGATGGCGCAAGAGTAGATGTGGGTGGAGCTAGAGCTGGCTGGGGTTAAAGCGGGCCAGGTGTTCTTGGATAGCTTCGATGCGACCTTCAATGTGAGCCCTATGTAGACTTGGAGTTAGCAAGAAAATTTATATAGCACCAGTATACTCACAATAAAAATGAGATTTCAAGACGAGATGGCACATTTGAAGCATGGTCTTGGGGTGCAAGCTCCACCTATTTATACTGTTTGCCACCCAGCTACACCAAAGGCAGTTACTGGGTGAGGAGGGTAGAGCTGCAAGCACCATTCATACTTTGATTGCTGATATGATGATGATGACGATGAAGTGCAAATTGTGCGTATGGTTTTTCAAAGTCAGCTGGCAAATGCCAGTCAACAAACAACATGTCAAATAAGACATATTTACCCATTAGTCCTTGACCCTTCACACATCATGTCTTCGCATCATCATCCTAACACATCTTCAAGCTCGTCTGATCCCCCTGAATGGTCGGAATCACCAGAACCATCAAGGCCCAGCAAACGCAAGCACAGGCAGTCCTCCAGTGACACCAGCACCAACAACCTCATAAATTCCATATTGTCAGGCTTATTATGATACACTCTTCGTATGTATCTATTTTACATACTTATACACCTGTTATACACATTTTGTTACTTTTCGTTCTCTGTCTCAATGATCCTCTAATACTGCGCGTCCATTGTTTCCATCCCTCAGTCTTTCCAAACTAAAGACTGAGGTGAGCCTACTGATTATGCTTCTACATATATACATACTTACGAACGGTACTTAGCTCTCACTTACTCGTTTCCTAGGTATGTATTAGTCATGCTGAGTCTTTCCAAACTAAAGACTGAGCTCTCACTTACTCGTTTCCTAGTCCGAGTCTCATCACCTCATAACAGGTTATGAGCCCTGGCTCAAACTAGGACATTCACTCATTTTTGCTTCCACTCGTTCGACATTTGAGCCTTTTCAAAATCTTTTCGAACTGGAACAAGGCCGCCCTCCATCACTGCTTGACCTGTGGATCTTATCCATCCCATTACCTCTGTCACCACCATTGACACCCACCTTTTCCTCTCATTCTATGTTCAGACTGCCCGTTCTGCCTTCTCAATTGTCGCCATCACCGACACTCTTTTCGTTATCATCCAAGATGTTTTCCAATATCCGAATTCCTTCTTCGTTTCCTCATCCTCTGCTAGATGCAAATGGATCCAACAATTTGTCATGGGTCACTTCTATGGACCTCTGGCTCTGGTTGTTCAACCTTTGGCGCCTTCTCATCAGCGACGAAAAGGAGCCGCAGCCCCCAGTCAAACTCGCAAATGAGACCAATGCATCTTTTCAGCAATGTGTTGCTGCTCATGACGCAAGCGTGGATGTCATCGCTTTCTGTGAGCGACAGAGCATCATGAAGGGTCTCCTGGGCATGGCCATTCATTCCAGCAATTTAATTCACTTTACGGGCATCTCAGACCCTGCTCTTGTATGGAAGGCACTCGAGAACAAGTACCAGGCTACCATTGGTATTTGTTTTACTCATCTTATGGGTTGTGTCTTCGACCTTCCGAAGGCATCGGACAGCGACTCACTCACACGGTCAATCAAGGAGATCAGCGACATTAAGGCACAGTTCAAAGCAATTGAATCGACGGAATGGAAGTGTAATGAGTATACACTAGTACAAGCACTACTTTGTGCATTACCAGACTTCTATGCCCCGCTCTCGCAGCTCATCCTCCATAGCGCTGATGCGAATGCTGGAAAACTGACACTTGAAGGTGTTGTTAATCAGATTCGAAACTCTCAACAATACTACACAAGTTTTGGGTCAGACAACCCACACGCACACCATTCAGCTATGGCAGCTAGAGCAGCCAAACCAATGAAGTCTGCTGAACGTCCAAAACCAAAGGAACTCAACACAACCAAAGGTGACAAGTGGGAGCTTTCATGGCGCTCCACATGTGGCTTCTGCAAGCGCACAGGACATATTTGGCACAATTGCTGCACTCATCTAGCAAAGACAGATTCCCCAAACACATCAGCACAGTTTTCCTCATCAACCTCACAGACTGCTGATCCTCCAACTCCTGCTCTAGCGCAACATAACATTGTCCCATCATTCCTTTGCCTACCCATACACGAAGCCAGCCTATCTAATGCGAGCAATAGTTCTTTCACCTTCCATGTAGATTCTGCTGCAACCACACATATGGAGTCGGACCACTCTCTTTTCACACGCTATTCTCCTTATAACCCACCTTTAACCGTAAAACTTGCCAATAATGATGTCATTTTCGCTCTGGGCTGGGGGGTCATAAGGTTAATGATCAACAATGGTGCAACATGGGAGCCTATTGAGCTACCATTCTTACATGTTCCTGATCTACGATGCACTTTGATATCTGTTTCAGCGCTCACATCAGAGGGTGTTTTCTTTGAAACTGACGCCAAAGGAGCTGGCATGCACCATGCGGATGGCACCACTATTGCGCAAGTAGATTGCATCGATGGACTGTACTATCTTCGCGCGAAGTACAGCCGCGACCACACTGCCCTCGCTACCAAGACTATGTCAAAAACCCCACTATCACTAGCCATTTGGCATGCACGTTTGGCCCACGCCACTGATACTACGCTGCGCAAAGCTGAGAAGGCAGTCACTGGACTTGTTTTCACTAATGATGGACCAGATCAACCTACAAAAGATGACGCTAATCACATTAGCTGTCAATTGTGTTTGATGGGAAAACATAAACATTTTTCCTTCCCATCACAAGCTCGCCATCGCGCTACTCATATTGCAGAACTTATTCATACAGACGTCTGGAGACCCATTGATACTGCAACTGCATCTGGAGAAACATACTTTGTTGCCTTCACTGACGACTTCTCCTGCTACTTGACAATCTACCTCATCAAACGCAAGAGTGACATGTTTTCTTGCCTACCACAATATGTTACTTGGATCAAAAACCAATGGGGTCAGCAAGTAAAGTGTCTGCGTAGTGACAATGGGGGGGAATATATCTCCAGTGCTGTTGTTAATTTTCTGCATGACAAGGGTATCGAGCATGAGCTCACAATGCCATACACTGCAGAGCAGAATGGCGTTGTGGAATGAGGACACCAAACTATTGTCACATGTGCCCTGAGCTCACATCATCAGAGTGGTTATCCTCGATTGTTCTGGGGATATACCATTTTAAATTTGGCATATATCAAGAATCTTCTTCCGTCATCAGCTATTGAAGAAAAGACACCTTTCAAGCTTTTCCATGGATATCCACCCGATGTCTCACATTTGCGTCCTTTTGGTTGTCTTGCTTATGTACATATCCCTGATGCAACACGACACAAGTATGACTATGTGTCGCAATGGTGTTTTCTTTTGGGTCACATGAGGGACACTGGCTATTTGTTGTGGGATCCAGCAGCATGCAAGACTGTGCAATCCAGTAATGTTCATTTTGACGAGAATGTCTTTTATGGAACTCCTGACTCAATGATGTCTCCGCTTGTTGAACTCTATAATCAACATATTCAAGTATGAAAACCTAGCAGTACATCAATTGTGACAGCAGAACCAAAAGAAGATTCCAGGGATGATCCAGATGCTTTGGTTCCAGAGATTATCATTAAAACAACGACACCAGGACCAACTGTTTCAGTGGGAGTTCCATCGCTCGTAACCCCCAAACCATCTGTCGAGCCATTCCTTCCTTTCCCACAACCTGATGATAATGTGACAGACGCCACAATGACACCAAATGGGGGGAACATACCACAGATTGCTACAATTTCAGAACCTTTGCTGCGACAATCAACTCATCAACGTGTCGAGGCCACACTCCCTCTCCCACGTTCTGTTGCAATCCCAGCCAAATCTAATATTCCTGTCAATCGACGATGGACATATGTACCAATTGACATGCATGTAGATACTGAAGATCAGGATGATGAGTCATCAGAGACCAATGTTGAACATTCTGCAATGCTAGTATCTCCTCCAAAACTTGTTGATAGACGAAAACAACCCCCACAAACATTATCTCAAGCACACATGTCTACTGAGGAGTCTGCTTTTTGGGAAAGTGCCATGATTGAAGAACTAGCATCACTACAGGAAAAGGGCACAGGCACTCTCGTTCCTCTTCCTCCTGGTTGAAAGGCAATTGATTCATGCTGGGTATATGCCTACAAATATGATGAAAGTGGTCAGATCGTTCGTTGACGAGGATATATACATGCGCCAGCCTCCTGGTTTCGAGGATCCTGTGTACCCAGACTGGGTCTGAAAACTTTTGAAAGCTATTTACGGCTTGAAACAAGCTGGGCGCCAGTGGAATAAAACCCTCGATGATTACTTGCAGAAGGAGGGATTTGATTTTGTGCGTAGCAACGCAGACTACAGCTTATATGTTCTACATAAAGGCAACAAAACCATCTGGTTGCTCATCTACGTTGATGACATGTTGCTCGCTTCTAACTGCAGGCAGTTCCTAAATGGTTTCAAGAGCGTGCTGAGTAAGCGTTTTGAAATGACGGACCTGGGAGAAGCACACCATTTTCTAGGAATGCACATTATATGAGACCGCCCCAAACAACTCCTCCAAATCAACCAAACTGCCTTCCTAGAACAAATCCTCACCAGAACAGGAATGTCAGATTGTTGCCCTGCATCCACACCTCTAGTACCAGGTGTTTCATTATCCAAGAGTACAGCTCCTCTCACCGACACAGAGAAACAACAATTCACACTCCTCCCATATGCTCGCACTATTGGTGAACTCAATTTTGTCATGCGGGTCAGTCGTCCTGATATCGCATATGCGGTATCCACACTATCAAAGTTTTTAAGCAATCCTGGCGCTGAACATTACCACCAGCTTCATTATTTACTTCGCTATATTCATGGAATGGCCCACTACTCCCTGTCTTTTGGTCTATCTGACCAAGGCCTTACAGGCTATTCAGACTCAGATTTTGCATCTGATAAGGACGACAGTCAGTCAATTGGTGGATACATCTATTACCTTTTTGGCTCCCCCATTAGTTGGCGATCCCAGAAGCAGTCTATAGTTGCGACATCTTCAACAGAAGCGGAATATATTGCCCTCTCGAACACTGCATGGGAACAAATTCATCTCAGTCAACTATTGCATGATTTTGGACTCGACCCATCGCTCATCACACCAACTACTTTATATGGAGACAATAATGGGAGCCGTGCCTTGACAAAGAACCCTTAATTTCATGATCGCACAAAACACATATGTGTTCGCTATCACTTCATTCGCGACCTCATCAACGATGGCTCTATCATTATTCCGTATATACCCACACATGATATGGTCGCCGACATTTTCACCAAATCACTCCCACGGAAACTCTTCTGCAATCATTGCTACTCTCTCGCTCTTCGTTCACCCACCAACAAAATCCTTACGGACTAGTTCTACATGCGTATCCAGGTGATATGCATTTGAGTGGGAGTATCACGATACACTCTTCGTACGTATCTATTTTACATACTTATACACCTGTTATACATGTTTTGTTACTTTTTGTTCTCCATCTCAATGATCCTCTAATACTGTGTGTCCATTGTTTCCATCCCTCAGTCTTTCCAAACTAAAGACTGAGGTGAGCCTACTGATTATGCTTCTACATATATACATACTTACGAACGGTACTTATCTCTCACTTACTCGTTTCCTAGTCCGAGTCTTGTCACCTCGTAACAAGGCTCTCGGAAGCACACAACAAGGTATTGTAATTTGAATTGTGCCATGAAATTTTGACCTTTGGCGGCAGGAAACATGAAGATTCGAAAACAGATGACACAGAGCTATACCAAAATGCAGGAAGGAAGGCTTCGAGCCTTCTGGATACATTTGGCATACCTTCTGCAGCCTTCAAGACCGGTCTTCAATTTGACCGAGGGGGTAAGCGCGACCCAAAACAGTATGTACCTTATATCTATCTCACAATACAGCTAACTCGTTACAGACCTGAAGATGTCACCAATCAGCATTTGTTACTGTACAATGGCATCATCGACTATGTTCCCGGTCTTGAGAGCGAGCTCGACCACATATCAAGCAAAAAACTCAATGTGATCATTGCAATGGTGACTATATGCACTTGTTTTTACTCAAATCTGACCCTGACAACTGATCTTTTGCATGGCAGGTATCGAAGGGTATGAGTGATGGCAGATCCGCAGATATGAGCTCTGTCAAGCACAAGGGCCTGCAATACATTGGGCTAAATATGTATAGTAAGGCCGATGCTCTTGACCCGCCAGTTCCAGAAATCGAGGATAAGTCAGGTATTTACCCAGATTGCTTCCTTTGTAGCTGATGCCGCTGCCATGTATTCTGCCTCAGTACTTGACAGCACCACAGAATCCTGCTTCTTCGACTGCCAGCTCACTGTGCCCCTGGCCATTGTAAACACATACCCGGTTATCGAGCATCAATTGTTCACATCCGATGCCCAGTCAGCATCAACATATCCTCGCGGACTCGTCTCATTGTTTCCCTTGAAGACTAGTTGCTTGTTCGACATTTTTTGCAGGTAACAATATACATGTCATAGTGCACTCCAATGCTCCTCTCCAGGTGTCGCAGAGTGCTTGCTCAATGCGCCCACTGCAAATGCAAGGTCTGGGCGCATTGCGAGCATTGCATACATGATTGCTCCCAGTGCACTTTGGTAAGGTCTGGGATCGGTCTCTGCAGTCTCCCATTTGACTAACTTGGTATTAGGATCCATTGGCATTGTGACTGGTCGTGTGTCCTGCATGTTGAAACACTCGAGTATACTTTCAATGTATTGTTGTTGTGACAATTCAATTGTTCTCTTCTCCCTGTTGCATATGATCTCCATCCCTAAGATCCAGCGAGCTTCTCCAAGGTCCGTCAACTCGTACTCTCCCTCTAGCTTTTCTTTGAGTTGATTGATGAGTTTTAGGTCCTTTGAGAATATCATTTTGTTGTCGATGTAGACGGCTGCTATTATGTGAGTTCTGTTTTTGATTTTGAAGAACACGCTATGATCTGATTCGCAGTGCGTATACCCGAGTCCTTCGAAAACGGTTCGCAGGCGCTTGTACCAGGCTTTATGAGCTTGCTTCAGTCCATATAGCACTCGTTTGAGTTTCCAGACTAGATCCGATGAATCACGAAATCTGGGAGGCATTTCAAGGTATATTTCCTCTTCTAATTCGCCGTTGAGGAAGGCTGACTTGATGTCCATCTGGTGTATTTCCAGATCGAGTTGTGCTGCTAGTGCTAGGAGGATCCAAATGGTCAAAAATTTTGTTATGGGAGCAAACATTTCCATGTAGTCGACGCCTTCGACCTGGGTGATGTTACGACTTGGATAGTATCTGTTGGCGACGCTCAAACAGAGCATGTGTCGTCAACGGTCGAGGATGTCCTTGGGCTAGCCCAAGGTTAGGGGTCTTACTTGTAAGATTTGACGCCTATGTCCAAATCGGGTAGCTTATGTCAAGCAGGTGCTAGACGATAAGCTATATCGGCCAAGGCTTACGACATCCGAAGGTTAATTGTAAGATCATCGTTAATTAGAAGGACAGAAGTCCGACTAGTTAACAGGGGCTTTGCTCGTTGACGAAGTCGACGAGTAAAGATTGAGACTAAAGACTTATCCGCGAGGAGCAGATAAGAGGATAGAATATAGACTGCTGGTGAGGCAGAAGGGATCACTCTGGTGAGAGTAGGAGGTCAAGAACCAAGTAGATTCAAGTTAAGGAATATGGTACATGGTAGTGAGTTTATATAGAGGACAGGAAGCATATTAGTGGGTGATAACTCGTACTACCAAGAGAGGTAAGCGGTAAAGGGTAAGGCTATAAAAGGAAAGCACGTTCAAGGTGAGACACAAGTGAACATGAACGTGCAGATAAGAAAATGAGTCAAAGATCGAAATAAGAAGTGAAATGCGCAGGGGCACGACCGTGCAACTGCGGAGCTAAGTATAAGTACACATGCGCGACTGCGCACCGAGTCATAGATCGAGAAAGGGAACTGGACAGAGGGGACGCAGCATGCATCGTATCATAGGTTACCGTCCGGACGGTAAGAGTAGCGGGACTGTCCACAGGATCAGTCAGATGGTGGGACGGAGCATGGATATGCTTTGTCAGCAAAAGGATTAGGCCAGATGTACTGGCTTTGCTGCAGCGACAGGTAGAGGGCGAAGGGGAATGTGAGGATGACCAGTATGACGAGAGTAAGGTCGGGGTAAGGGTGTGATGCGAGGGCTGATACAAGGAGGATGAGGAGAAAAATAGTAGGGGCCCAAGCATCAAGATGTTCTTGTAACAGGTGAAACCTTTAGCAACCAAGCACACCTTATATTTCTCTATCTCCCCAGTAGGTCTGTATTTGATTTTGTATACCCATTTTGAATCAATGACTTTCCATCCCTTCAGTCTCTCAACTGCCTCGCATAGGCCGATCTTCTCAAAAACTCTCAGTTCATCTATCATGGCAGCTTCTCATAGGTCCGTGTCTGGCCAATTCACTGCTTCTTCGAATGTCCTGGGTTCTTTGGCCGTTTCCGCATGGTAAGCTCATTCCTCTCCCGCAGGTTCTTCCTCACTCTCATCTTCAATGGTTTCAGCACTCTCTTCTCGCCTCATAGTAGGAACTTCCTCTTTCTCCATAGTATCTTCCTGGTGAGTCTTGAGTGTTGATCTTTCATATGCATTGATAAAATAATGGGGATCGTTATCAGGGACTGGTGTTTTTCATATGCGGGCTGAACGTCTGACTTCACATGGGGGAATTGGACATGGGTATGGTGCTGGAGGACCTTCTGGCTGTGTGTGACGCCTTGTGGAGGTGCGTTGCGAGGTTTGAGAGCTGACTTTGTGTTGACTTACAGATACAGGGACTTCCTGTTCTGTTTGCTCAGGATCCGAGTCTTTGTTCTCGTTTTCGCTTGTGACCTCTTCGATGTGCACTTGTTCGGTTTTGCTTGGATCTGAGTTTGCTGGTGAGTCGTGTGATTTTGTTTGATCTCGTTGCTGATTGGCTTGACAGGTTTCAGTGTTTTCAACACTAATCTTCACTCGACTCAACCCTCCATTGATCCCTTCATCGAAAACAACATCTCTGGATTTGACTATTCGCCCACTCGACCTTTGCAGGCAGACATATGCCTTCCTATGCTCCACATAACCTAGGTGGATGCATTCAATGGACTTTGCGTCAAACTTCTGACGGTGCTCGTTGGGTACGTGTATGAAAGCCTTGCATCTGAATATGTGTAGGTGCAAAATTGATGGCTTGTTACCAGTGAATGCTTCAAAAGGAGTTATGCTTTCTTTCAGTGCGCGTATTGGTGCACGATTGATGATATGAGCCGCGTGTAGGATGGCATCACCCCAGAACATTTTTGGCAGTTTAGCCTCACTTAGCATTGCATGCGAAGACTCTACAAGAGTTTGATTCATGCATTCAGCAACTCCGTTCTCCTGAGGGGTGTATGGGTTCATTTTTTCGTGGTGAATACCCTTTGACTCTAGGTATTTTTGGAAATCCTTGGACCCATACTCTCCATCCCCATCACTGCGGAGAATGTTTGTGTGTTCGCCAGTTTGTACTTCTGCTCGTTCGAAATATGACTTGGTAAGTTCGAAAGCTTCATCTTTTGTCTTGAGCAGTTTGATGACTAAGTGATGCGAGCAGCCATCGATAAATGTAATGAAGTATCAATATCCACCTCGTGAGGTTGTCTCCATAGGTCCACAAATGTCTGAATATGTCCTGTGCAAGACTCGAGGGTTTTTGACTTGGGATTCGTCTGGGATAGGTTTGCAGGAGTGTTTGCCTTTGAGGTAGGCTTTGTATGGATCCGTTTCGTGAGTATCCCTTGTCAAAACTTCCATTCCCCTAACCATGTCCTTTGTGAACAGTTTCTTGACAGATTCTGGACTTATATGCACTAGTCGACGATGCCAGACCTCCATTGATGCCTTCGAAGAATAGGTACAAGCTGTGAGAGCTACAATTGGTTCCTCTGGATTTAGAAGGTGGCTGGGACTTTGGACAATATAGGCGCTTTCACTGATGCAAGTGCATCCTTTTAGGATATATAAGGACTGTTGCTGTTTCACTAGTGCTGCTATGGAGCCGTCTCGAGATATTTCGCAGGTATGTTGACCAAAGGATGCTCAGAATCCTCTCTTCTTCAATCACCACACTGACAACAAGTTTCCGTCTAGCCTTGGGACATAGTAAATGTCTTGGAGAATGATTTGACGTGTCTCTTCTCCTCCAACTTTTACTTCTAACTCCATTCTTCCTATCCCATGAGCTTTGATCGTACAACCATCCCTGATCTTGACACTTTCTGCTGGGACTAATGCACAAAAGAATTTGAACCATTCTTGACAGCATGACATATTCGCCAAGGCTCCAGAGTCGACAATCCATTTAACCGAGTTTGGTTTGAACTTTGGTTCATGCGCAACAAATAGCTGTAACGCTGGTTCGTCAGATTCGACTACAGCTGCTACATTGGCTGATAGGTCGGTCTTGGGCTTGTCTTTCTCATTGTCCTTGTCAGCACTTTTGCCCTTGTCAGCTTTCTTCTTGTGACAATCCCTCTCCCAATGCCCAGCCTTCTTGCAATAATTGCAGTTGCCCAGCTTCTTCTTCTTATCCGTCTTTGAGGTCTCCTTTGACTTGTCCAAAGTCTTGGCTATAAGAGCTGTTTGTGATTCAGGACCTCGCCTCAACTTTTCTTCGACTAGAATTTGGCTAATGGTGCCTTCGATTGTGATCTTGTCGCTTGTTGACATGAGTATCATTCGGAGAGTTGAGTATGATGGGGGAAGAGATATGGCCATTGCTATGGTTACTAGGGAGTCATCTAGGGCTTGACCGAGTGAGTTCAGGACTTGAGCCTTCTGCCACATCGCATTGAGCTGTGGTTCCATAGGGGATTCATCCGAGAGTGTTCTGCAGAATAATTCACCTATAAGGTAGGCTATACTCTGCTTTCCTTTCCCTTCGTATCGCTCGCACAATTTCATCCAGGCATCTGACACTAACATCGTGTGTAGGACTCCATTTAGAGGTTTGTCCTTCAGCGTGAGCGTGATCTGCACATGTGCTTTGTCGTTCTTCTCTAGCCAATCTTGGACCGTGTCAGGGTCAGAAGCAGATGGTTTGACTTCTGAACCTTCAACAATACCCCAAAGTTTTCGTATGATAAGTACTTTTCTAGCTCAGAATTTCCAGTTCTGAAAATTTGAACCATCATTCTCTAGTGATGGGATATCATAGAGATAGTTCGAGCCTTGTAGGATTTTCTTTGAGTTGGATGCTGATGAGACAGTTTGTTGCGAGTGTGAACCTTGAGCTTGCGAGATGGATGGATTGTTGGACATTGTGCAAGGAGTATGATTGTGTTACTACTAGGCTATTTTTTGACTGAACTTCAGTCAGGGCTCATAACCTTTTGTTCGTAGTATGACGTGCGGAGCCGAACGGACGAGCTAGAGATAAAAGAATGTATACTTGGTCGTACACTCGTGGTGTAGTAGACTTTAAACTAACCTAGAGACAAAAGAATGTATACTAGTAGAGTCAGTAAAATGAATGAACTATAGTAATGAATGTCTCACCTCAGTCGTACACTTGTGGTGTAGTAGACTGAGGTATTAGTAACTCTGTCTGTATGTACATGCGTGATTATGTAAGCTGTACTCACCGTATGATAATCAATAAACAAACAACACAGTTGGCCCATTTACTTTGCCCTCGGAAGAAATTGGATTGGTTTGACGAGGATCCTGATTTGTATATATGTTTTACTTTTCATTGTTTGTACTAATGTCACTATGTTCAGCGCTATGGCTGCCTTGCAAGCTGGCGAAATCACCATGACAGCACACAACTGGCCAACATTCTTTTATGAACATGACATTTACAATGCTGCTGAGAAGACACATGGCCTGTTTCAAAACCATATTGTTCTGAGGGTGCGTATTCATTTTTACACTGTCATTTATTTATAACAAAGTTACTATAGTTTTATAAACATCTTTTCATTGGACCATCATCCGTCATGAATGACTCATCAAATGTTCGCAACTCTACGAAGCCATCCCAAAATCGTGCATGGGGACTGATGGCTGTTAACAAATATATCATCGCATATGTTCATATTATCGTAAGTTTAGCTCTTTTGCTATTGATATCAATACCTCTCTCATGAACCCATAGACATACTTTACAATCAGCAGCGCGCAGCACTGGACATGGTGTATCGGTGACATGGACTTGGATGAGCTCCTCTGGGCTATCATTGAAATGCTAGACAACGATGACGATCCATGGGTCAAAGACACCCTTGTGGAACAGGTACATTTTTCTATCTGGTTAGTCTAGTGCTAATACTTTACAGGCACCTCAAACCAACCAAGGACAACTCGCACTTGGCCAAACTTATGCAAAAGGAAAGTGAGGACAACATTGTGCAGATTCGTGCTCAACGAACTGCACATCATTCTGCTTTAGCTAAGTCAAATGGTATGTGATGAATAAATATATGATACTGCTACTGATATTTAATTCTTAGCACCGTCATGTCCAGGCCACCCTAACGAGCTTCAAGAGCCCTTGACAAGTGGCAAGTGCACCTGCCCTGTGGAGCACCGCCCTCATCAGGCAATTGACCTGAATCTTTTATGACCAGATACATGTGACAAACAAAAAAAATATAATTTATCTTGGTTTAGGTTTAGATATCTTTCTTGTGGTGTCGCACATTTATAACATGAGATATGATTATATAAGGGAGATACAATTCTGATATGTGTATTATAGGCCGATAGCAATGTGACAACAGAACCTTCCAATAATTATAATCAGCTGGCCTCGAAATGCATTATGATATCTTAAGCTTTACAAATGTATGATATTAACACATATGCAATGAAAGATATGATTATACAAGGGAGGCATAATTTTGATAAACATTCATAGGCCAACAGCAGTGTGACAACAGAACCTTCCAACAATTATAATCAGCTGGCCTCGAAATGCATCACAATATCTTAAGCTATGATATTAACACATGTGCAACAGAAGATATAATTATACAAGGGAGGCATGATTTTGATAAATATATCATAGGCCAGCAGCAGTGTGACAAAAAAACCTTCAAGGGTTAGCATCAAAACACGTCATTGTATGTTTAGCCTTGATATCATCATTTTGTCACACTTGGTGCAAGAAAAATATAATATTGATATGGATATTACAAGGAACAACACCCCAACAATTAATTGAACCATACATTGCAACTAGCTGACCACAAAATAAAACAATGAGACTGGTACAAGTGAATGTCCCATAAATTGCCTGCGATGGAGCGCGGCCAATGAGTGGGGAGGCAGGGTTTGTTGCATTTGTGGTAAACTATGTCGGGCACAGTGAAGTTAGCAAGTCTTGAAGAAAAAAGTTACATATAGAAAGATGGGGAGCGCCATCCTGATGGAAGAATCGCAGTTCGCTGAAAGAGGTGGGGGGTGGTTAGCACGGTCTACTTTGACCTATCAAACACATACCTTTGTCTTAGCATGAAGATTCCGCTTGAAAAGAATAGCTGATTTAGAACCACCTATATGCAACCACCATTATCGAGGCCCACCAAAGCACAAGGGACTTGACTCTGTCTGGATGTGTCTATGTAACGAAAGGACTGCTAAGACACAACAATAGAGTTTTGTCAATTGATTCATTCAAAAAGTCTTTCCGGAATGTAAGATCAGCTTTGGGGAACTTGGCCATGATCTCCTCATGAGCGGTTCTGCAAACAATCAGTACCAGAAGATGAAAAAGATGCATGGCATACTTTTTTGTCACTGTCATCTCTCAAATCTTGCATGTTGAGATAGTTCCCGATGATACGGTTGGAGATGATGATAGGTCGGCCCTTGTCTGCAGTACGGATATGGTAGAGCGAGAAACATCCAGGAAGACAAGATACTGAACCAAACAAACTCTTGAAGGCTTTCAATAAATGGTGAGAGATGTAGTACTTGTATACCTGTATTAGTTGTCAGCTTGGGCAACGGCGGTGGTCAAAGATGTAATGATACCTGAATCATCGTCCGCCATGAACCCTCTTCGTTCGTAAGCTTGGTCTTGCCACAAATGCCAATGATGCTTGAGTCATCTGCATCAGACATGACTAATCGATTCAGAGACTCTGGAGTTAGTTGCTAAAGGGAGATCAGCATAAATGAAGAAAACAACAAGATAAACTCACCGTATCAGCATCAATAGTGAAAATGTACTTGTAGAAAACAGGATCAATCCCAATAACATTCCTCATCTGATGGTAGATCTTGAGCTCGAGAGGTTACATTGGCGTGTTGAAGTGGACACGGTTCAAGTAATGCATGAGGAGAATCTGACTGTCACACTTGCCCCTGTTTCCAGGTTTTGAACGTGCAGTAGGCTTGCCAACTTTCACAATGACCATATACCTGAAAAACTCCACCACCTAGTTCATAGCGACAAGCCTAGTCAGAATGATAAGCTATCACACCAACATACTCAAACCACTAAAATGCTCACTGAGGGAAGTCCTTCCATCCAGCGATGGTATGAGGTACAGCAAGATACACCGTCCATCCGGCGCACCAAAGTGTGATGATGTTACAAATACAGAAAAGTACCATGCAGAGCGAATAAATCCATTTGGACCCCTGGAAAAGATGAAGTTAATCTTTGCATATGGTCTGTCAGGGGTCAAAGTGCATACCTGTGGCTGGTTTCCTAGTGAACAGATGGTGACGACAAACAGGAGGGCAATAAAAAGCTAGAATGACAATTAGGACCTCATCCTTGTTTATAAAGGTCTTGCTCCCCCACCTTCAAGAAAACCTGGAAGATGTCCTGTCCCGCTCCTTGGCTCAGGAAGTTGAAAGCACCATCTGTTGTCGTAGTTGCCGATGAACCAGCTATAATACCTATATCAGACTCATTGACGTACAAGGGTAAGGGACTACTGACAAAAGCCAGGTAAAAGTTCGCAAGTGACGTCCACGTGAATATGAGCTGGACTGCATTATAAAAAACTCGATCTATATGAGCTCTTATTAGTAATGTGGTGCTGATGAATCTATTGTACGAACCTGGAGTACAAGCATACGAATGGGTTTTGCCCAGATGTCCAGATTCTATAGAAGAAGATTGTCGAATGGAAAGAAGCAAACAGGGACCCGTTCAGCCATTGGCGACGCTGAGAGATGAATTCGGGCACCTGGAGAAACATATGAAATTACATATCACAATAGATATATCTCTACTCACGGTTGTGGGAACATCTGTAGCAGCCTTGGCACTCTTGACATATCTAAGACTATCGGAGCGCGTCAAGGGAGCCGCGAAGCACTGAAAGTAATATTTCACTTACATCCAGCCTTCCCGTTTCTTGATGACAATTTCAAAGCACAGAATACGATCCTCAGCCAAGTACATGTTTCAATCTGGAATGATCATTGATGGAAGAAGAAATTGAAGGAAGAATATCACATACCAACCATGCATAGCCTCTCCCTTAAAATACGAGGCAAGGGGGCCTTTGTCATTAGGACCATTCGGGAGGGCCCTATATCTGTAGGCGCTAAATGCACCAGGAAGCACGCTGATGTAACCGAACACGCTCTGTTTTGGGAGATTAGGGTGTTGATAGTGTAGCCAATGATGGACCACCTACCTCAAGTGGTTTGTCGAGGATATAAGACATTATATACTGTCCTACTATGTCAAAATCAATATCAATTCGTGAGGCTAGAGCTGCAACCGTATTACCTCGAAATTTCTGAGAAGCAGCAAGAGGACTCGTGAGGAGCAACAAGCAAGCTCTGCCAGTGTCAACACAAATCCTAGACAAAAAATCAATCAAACAAAGCATGGGACAATAAGTATAACACACTCTCCACAGGCTCCTCCAACATTAGAGTGTTTATTGAAGCCTAAAGAAAGCATCATCAGGCAAAATCTCGAACCAACGAGATCCACTCACATTTCCACAACTCGTAGACTGATGTACTGGTTGGCTTGGTACCAACGTCTAGAAGAACACAGACTGTGTATGAAATCAGTCTTAGGAACCCCTCATGGGGTAACATGCCTACCATTCGGGTTGATCAATGGACCAAAAGTGTTAAAGAACCAGCAGTGACTGTTGAGCTTCTTCTTGATCTGCTCTTTCAAGCAGAGGATGATCTGAACTGGGCAGTTCCCAGTAGACACCTCCCCAGTCTCCGTAACGACTACATTTGAAGTATATCTGCAGATCATGAATTTAACCTTTCCACTCAATCTACTCACTCGAAAATGTGAGCAGTCACATCCTTTCCTGCCAACCGAGTCCTTAGTGATGCCTTCTTGGTAACAGCGCATCTAGGGACAGTTCATGAGCAACAAACCCAATCAATAATGGGTAAACTCACAAGAATGAGATCTTCAAGTGTTTGCTTGTTGACTTTGCTGCATCCATCTGAGACAATACATACAACAACCTTCTTCCACCCCTCAGGACCCCATATTCTCAATCTCGACCGACCACAGAGGTGGGTGATGTTCTTGATAACGCTGAAAATATATTAGGCACATATCCCAACGTCCACGGACAGAACTTATGCATTCATAGTCTTCACAAAAAGAACTTCGTCTTCGTTGTACATGGTCAAACCGATGAAAAGCTCAGTATGGCAGCCATAGAGATATGGCCTGAGGGAATACTTCCTATGCATGAATCCATCGGGGTCGCATGTAGCAGCAGTGTAACACATTTTGGTCATTTCCTCGGTGCTGCCCATACCATGTGGGACGATGTGGGATGGAACTGCGACAACCATTTACAGACTACTAGTTCATTATCTCCTTCAACGTGCATTATCATTGAACTAGTAAAACTATGGGGCCACAAAACACTGTAAGTAAAGTCAAATATTCGAATTGATCACACACTGATGGCAGATCAGTGGGCGTGTGGGTTTCACGGCCTGAAGGCAAGGCTAGCAGAAGGTTTGATATCACAGAATATCATTATTAGAGCGAGGGTGGTAGTGCAAACTAGGCGGTACGTACTTCATCTGTCGCATTCGATTACACTGATGTCCATGATCCAGTGAATGGAGGGTTGGCAAAGGTCAGGAGATGACAGGTGTGGAGTGGCAAGGAAGGGTTGTGACCAACAGTGGGGGGTGGAAGTATGGTGTCCCATCGGGGAGGAAGGGTTTGAGGTGTCTGTGAGGTTTGCTTTGTAGATCAGCGAAGGAGTCGTGACCAATTGAATGCGGAAGATTTGCTCATGTCCAGAAAAATGTTTCACTGAGGTTAACCTGCTCTGATCGTTAGTATGCAAAGATATGACTTTTGAATACATGAGCGAGGACTTAGATTTTTTTTCTAATTATTGTCCATTGAGAGATGTACTCTACGTAGGACATTACTGTCTAGTCAAGGAGCCCCGTGCTCCGTCCCATCACCACAACCCCAAATGCCCTGGTGTAAGGCATACCCCACCAGTCCGTTGTTCCCGCCGGCCGTTTTAGATGGGTGATGTGTTCAACTAAGGGATGACTATAAGTAAGATTACATGGTTATGAGCTATCAAGAAATATATAACACATGCTTGGCCACTGACGTGGACCAAACAGAGATCGGTTGGGGCGTGCAGTAAGTTAAGGTAGATGTAAGTATGGAGACAGGGAGGCCTAGAGTGGGCGCTTCCTGGTTGGACAGGGGGCAGGAGGTCCAATGTGTCAAGGTTGTTGAGTATCCATGGCTTGCTGGCTTAGTCCCCAAGGAGAGGCCAGGGATCTCGTGTGAGTGAGCTGAATTATTGGAATTAGGTGGGGATAGGGTAGTAAGGGAGGTGTGAGAGATGTTGGTTTGTCGAAGTTAGGATGAAGGCAGAGTAGCAACTAGATACTGGGGTGCGTCAGAGAGGTCATGTATTAGGCATCAATATTTCACCTAGTGTGGATTTCAGTCTGTGGATCTGATTGACGTTTCGGACAAGGTGAGTGATGGCATCTGGGTCTGCCAGAATGTGCGAGAGTGACGTGGACTTTTGTTCCAAGGCTTGGGATATGACGTGATGTGCTGCAAGGTAGTGCGGACATTCGAATAAATAATGGGGGATGGTTTCATCAGTCTGCGGGCAGTGCGGACAATCTGGGGAATCGGCTTTCATTAGACAGAAGAGGTGTTGGTTTGATGGGAGGTGACGAGTGCAAAGTCCAATGAGGCCAGTGAGGCGCTTGGAGAAGGAAGACGTAAGTTTGAGGAAGGAACATTCGATGGCATGGGGTCAATGTGCTGGATGTGCTGGAAGCAAGGAGAGGTGGACCAGATTTTGGCCCATCTGGTGTGGGTGCATTCTTGATGGGCTTGCTTGATGGCTGAGACTGAGCGGCAGCAGGTTGTTACGAAGGTATTTTGTGAGACTCACAGGGACTGGTGTGATGCCTTCCCTCTGCCGCTGTTTTCACTGCTTTGTCTGCCTCTTCATTCCCGTGAACCCCTTCGTGTCCAGGGACCCAATGAAGGGTGAGCCTGAAATTCAGGTTTGTGTGCTTGATCTTGTGCAGGAGTCGCTGAAATGAGGACTTAGATTGATCTCGCAATAGACGCATAGCAGATCACCATATTTCATGTTAAATAAAATCAAATAAATAATAGAACAGAAGCAAGAGGAATAACATAGAATGAGTTCGAACGTACAACAAATTGATGCAAGACACCAATACAAATGCGAGAGATACAGCAGGCCCACGACTTTGACCAGGGTGGGGAAAAGGCTACAAACAGGCAGTACAACTAAAAGTGAGAGTGTTACCGAATATTAAGAGGTATTGGAAGGAGCGGACGAAGTCGAAACCCAATCATCAAACCAATCATCATGCAAACGTGAATCATACATCATAACCTTCCCCGAAGACGTGCCTATGATAATTATATTAGTGTGATAAAATTGACCAAATGTTGCATACCCACCATCATCAGTAAACTCCAATTCAGCATTCAGTACAATAGCTTCAGAAAACATGTCTACCTCGGCCTGTGCCCACTGCTTCTTCAAATCCAAAATATGGAAAACAGACATAAGTTCATCCAGTGTTTTGTCCTCCTTTCATGTGAATGTGTTGCCGTTATTGGTAAGTAAGAGCTCGTCAGTTTCCACGAAAGATGTGTTGATGTATGTACCAAATTTGACGTTACCAACCAGGGCATTTGTCAAATGAGGCATAGAGAGAAGTTGGTCATCGTGCTGCACAGTATCAGACAGGACCCTTGGCATACTACAACTACTCACCCTTAGGGGGTATTGATGATGACGAGGAGACTCAGGGGGTGTTTGGCTAGCATCAGAACCCACTTCCACAGTGTCCTGAAAAGGCGATGATGTGATGAGCCATGCACAGCATTTATCTTGGATATCCTTGGTAGGTTGGAAGTGCTTGCAATCAAGCAAACTAGGAGCTTTGTATGCACTAGTATATCCGACAGTATTCACTGGAGGCAGTAATTTTGGGACGATTGCTGGGAATATACTTAGCAGCAGACATAAGAATTTTAATGCTATGGCTTACACGGCTGACCTCTAGTGTTCAACACTTCGCACAAGTTCACAATAGCTGTACTAAATAACAAGACTTCTGTTTGAGCATGGTGCATTCTATCTCCCCATGAAATAATGCCCTCCTTGTGGAAGAAATTCTGAGGGATTTGTCTCTGCTTGTTGAAGTTGTGTCTGTTTCGCAACTACCTCAAGACCTTACTTCAAGAAGAAGTGTGAGATCACAATAGTCAACCAAACCAAACAACACAGCAGCAGTGGCAAAGAGGGAGTCCGGCAGCTGGAAGTTAAGTTATGAGTGAACATATGAAATAAATGTGCACTAACCGACTTCGAGCCCGTGTGTCCAGAGCCAAGATCCTAGGGCGTCCTCAGTATCCTCAATCCTGAGAAAAAAATTGTTTGGATGCCCTACACATGTAGAGGCAAAAGTTGGACAATTCATCAACATCTCAAAGCCAGTGGGGTGTTTGAGACATTCCCACAACTGGGCCTACATTATTAACAGTTTTTTACAGTTTGATCGCCATCTCCTCCATCCTGCCATAGCTTAGTAATAACCTGTGCCCATCAATGGCGGAAAATGGCAGACAAATATGAAATACAACACCTTAGTCAAACTCAATATAACATGTTGCATTATGAAACACTTTGGTCAACTGATGGCTTCGCTAGGTGCGGAATGGCCCAGGCTAGACAGAAACAACATAATATTGAAAACACAAGTGGGCATGGGCAAGATATGCAAGACAAATGTACTGCTTATGTGTGAACAACTCACACAACATCATTCACGCTGGATGCCCCATTTCCTTTAGTTAGTATGTGAAATTTGATCATTAGAATTTTGAAACTTATGCGAGATCACACAATGAGGCCATGCAGGTCATGAACACCGAGTGTCCTGGATCTGAATCCAGTGGCAAGAGTATGTTGAGTGTCTCAATGGCCTCTTCATAAACTGTGGCTGCAGATGGATAGATTGGCTGGTCAAAGGTAGCACCAGGAATTTGGGCCACGACACCTTCTAGCTCTCGAAGGAGCGCCAAGTAACACTTGAGTTAATGAAACAGTTTTCAAAAATGAAAAGCACACATATTAGATACAACTTACAAACAACTGGATGAATGCTAGAGTCTCCACAGGCAAGACAGAAGTATTCCTGAAGACATTGGGATCAAGATCGGCCACAATCTGTGGTAAACTGGGGGTTGTGGCAGCGGTAACACCATTTGATATGGTCACCCTAAACACAATGTGCCATAGGATAGACTTGATACATTGGGTGTGGAAGATCCAAACCAATCTGTTTTGCTGCAAAGCACAATAAGAATTCGACAGCAGAGAAATTCAGAACACTAACATCGAACAGAAGACGTATAGAGTGTGGTCGCATGAAGTGGTCTAGCAAATGCTCAAGCCTAGCTTTGAGCAGGGTACCGAAAATATCATGGAGCCCAAAGCCTGCTCGAGGATGACTGATTATCTGAGAGGCCATGCATCTTGTATTGTGGATAAATTGGGATACCCATGGTCCTACCTATTCAATGTGAGAGATAAGTAATAGAAACAAGGGGGAAACATACCATTGCGAGGACCTCATTCTCACTTAAGGTCCTACTATCGCTAGTGGAAGTTACTGGAAATGAATGAGTACGGCGCATTTCATAAATGAGCTTCTCACCTTCTTCTATGTTGCTGATGTTAGCACGAGTGAGACTTTCAGTGAAGAGGCCATGTATCATGGCAGCTTTTGTCTCGAGTGAAGCTGTGGTGATAAAATGAGGGTTCCCAGTTTCGCCTTTACAAATTGCCACTCTAATAAGAAGCCACAGATAGGACAGGACCAGTCTCCACTTCGGATATTTTTTCATTATGCCCTTGAAGTGGTCAGCATCTTTGGATTGAGCAGTGGTGATGGCGGTATCAGGCATGAGCGCGGACGTGGAGTTGTGATGAGAGTCAGAATGAGCAGCCATGATGATGATATCAGGTGCGGGCACGGATTCGGAGGTGTGATTAGACTCAGAATGAGCAGTGGTGATGGCGATGGCGATATCAGGCGCGGGCGTGGACTTGGGGTTGTGATGAGAGTCAGAGTGAGCAGAATAAGGTCCTCCATAGCTGATGTGGGTGCTGAGACTACCATTGCCTTCCGACCTCACAGGGGCATTGGAGATCATCCAAGAACCAAAGTTCAAGGCGTCGTTTCCCAATGCTGATGCAGACAAAAAGACATTGGACAAGTGACCAGAAAATTGGAATATGGGCATATTGCACCCTGACGGATAGTGGGCCCAATAAATGGTGGTACAATAATTGGCTAAATCAACCTGTGATGTTGTTAAAAGAGATTTTTTTTTTAAAAAAAAAAGTGAACCTACCCGACTATCATAAATGACATGTATCTTCCTGTCGTGACCCTGCCTGGTACACAAAACAGGCAAATCTAATATCGCGGTGGGGGCAGCGTTCTACAAGACCAATCAGTGGATGGCGAGATATAGCAAAGATTTGATGTACCACTAGAATGTACACCGGGACCTCAGTGCCTTCTGCTTCAAGTAAGGGAGTATGAACACGTCCGGTTTCCACATAGGCAGAGAGCTTGATAAGATGCTGTACCTGTAAACACTAATCAATAGTGTAGAACACCCAGAAAACAACATGTATGGCGTCAAGACATAATGGTAAACACTGCATGCTATAGTAAGATGTTGAAAAATTCTCAAAAAAAATAATACTTACATACAATGCATACACTGTTGTAGAAAGCTGATTCCTGCTGGGCTCAGCAGAAATCATACTGCCTAGACAACAAATATTTAGGTAGATCTTAGCACGACCTATGCTGCTATACTTGCAGAGCAAGTGCATTCAATCCTAAAGGGATTGCTAATTGGTATTAGTAGTAAAAATGTGTCAGTAATGCAAATAACAAAATGTCCAATGCTGCGAAACAATGTCCGAAGGTAATCCGATGATGTCCGAAGGTACTTATCCAATGTCCGAAGCCAAAGTGCAATGCCCGAGATTTTGGACTTTTGGACTTCACAATAATGAGTCGGAAACTTTATAACGAGTGTCGGATTGCGAGCGGTATGCGCGAGTATAACAAGTGACAGAGTATGACGGTGAACGAATGGTAATATTTCGCAATGCAACTAAGAACTATGAGAATATTCTGGGTGATCCACAGAGTCGGGAAACGGCTCCTAACTACTGGATAATGATTGCTACAGGTCACTACAGAGTATTTAAGTAAGTACGTAGAAATTCGGAAAACTACAGGCGAAGATAGTAGCGATATATTTCGGGTCCGATGTCCTATGTAATAAGACACGAGGTGCTGTGGACATGTAATAACGCGGTACAAATGTCCGAAAACATGCACGGGAATGACTATGCACCTAGTGAGGCTAGTTCAGATGGACAGGACACAGGATGGACAAGTGCACGCAACATGTGATCGGCCGATGCAATGTCTGAAGGTCCAATGCGCCAGATCCGATACGGAGTGGCTCGGACATGTGCACATATGTTTTGGGTGTTGACGTGAGTATGGAAATACGTGGTTTTGAGCCCAATGCCGCGACCATCGCTACACCGTGGGCTCCAATCTGACCAAAATGTACCCAATGTGTCAGTTGTGCCTACAAGAGTTCCCTGAAACATTGGGGTTAGCGACGTATGTGTAGCTTGGCATGGTAGAAACAAAGTACACTGAAGGGCAAAACCAAAAGCATCAACTCATTGTACACATAGCATGTAACACCTTGGCAAGTTGCAGCACTTGTAGTTGGATGATATCCTGAAGAGAAAGACATTGTTGTTGATTATTGAGACAAAATGGCAAGCTTTTAAAGGCGGCTACATACCTGCTCTAGACCCACCAAACCTGCCATTGCAGCGCCATCCAAGTTATTATGTGCAATGTGCTTAAATGTGGCACAAAAATGTGCCATCCCACCATTGTAGCGCCCAAATAGACTTTGAGGTTATTACATGTACAATGGCGACCCCAAAAGATTTCCAAGGTAGCAAACAAGAACTAATTCTCGTAATCTAATTCCAATTCACTATCATACATATCATTAAAGTGAGTTAATGACTCAGAGCTGGCACCAAAATGCTGCTCGAGAGTGAGTCCACTTATGGTGCCATCATCTTCACGCTCTTCATCTTCACCTTCGCTTTCGCTTTTGCCTTTGTACTCTTTGTATTCTTCTTCAATTCCATTTTCTGCGTGGTGTTCAACATTTGAACTGCCTTCTTTCAGCCCAACGTGCATAAGGCGATAATGTGAATAGACATGTCCCATGCCAAGACCAAAGTGAAAGTGCATTAACATGTCGCGATCAACGAACCTTCAATCATGAGCTCGGAGGTGAGTAGTTGTAATTGTACGTCAAACTCACCGATTGACATAATATCCACGCCAATCATCCTTATCCCCTGCCTGCCCTGACACCCCCAACCCATCAGGGTGTTTCTTGCCCTTGGCGAAAGCAGGAATGATGTGACAATTCCTGAGTACATCCGCTGGATCCATGAAGCTGAATGCAGAACCATCATCTATGGGACAAAATCTAAGTTGATCGAGGGTGGAGGAATCCCAGGAGGAGACCTGCTCAATGGGCTCGTACCAACAAACCCATAGGAACTCCATGCGCAGTGGAGTAAAGTCGACCATACCAGCTCCAATGTAGATTACATTCACATGATAAACACCGAGTACCTTACCATAGATGAATTTATGACTGTCATTGCCCATATTGTTCTCACTATGGAGAGCCATCACATTACAGTGTGAGGTTCGTGGGTTGACGACATCTTGAGCTCAGCGAACATCATATGTTGTATAGTTGAACCTGGTGATGTTGTGATGATACATATGATTGTCCTTGATAATGATCATATTAGTGTTGCACACTTCTTGCGAAGAAGGCACATTTGTGGAGTTGTGAATTTGCTGCAATAGATGTTCCTTGAGCTTAGAATGGAAATTCTGTAGGCAAGTGTTAGTGTGGGGTGCGGGTAAGGTCAATTGTGCTAACCTTGATCGCCGGGTCACCTTGATGGCTGCATAAGTACGTGCCTAAGTTCATGGGGTATTTTTGTGTCATGCCAATGTGATAGTGAGCGAGTGGGCTTGTTGCTAATTCAGCGATCTCAACATGCAGACAATGTTTTATTTTGTCGCCAATACAACGGATACAGACCTGACGGTGTTCGGTGCACGTCAGCTGCTTCACAAATGAGTTGCGGTCCGTGCGACAATATCTAGCCTTGGGAGAGCAGTGTTCGAGTTCACCCTGGATATAGTTAGCGGGTGGAGTTTGTAGTTACACCATCCATAGGACTTACCGGTTCCGAGCTGTATGAATCGCACATGCCATACTGGTGTATTGTAGAAACATAGTCGCCCAAAGCGTGAAATTTATATGTTTGAAAATTGAATACCTTCTTGCGGTGCATATTCTTGGGTGGTCCAGCTGACAGCGCTGCCTGTCCTCCTGCTTGTTTTGCTGCTCGCTTTGCATAGTGTCGGGCACAAGCCTTGACTTCTTGACGAAGTTTTTGTGTATTGTAAGTGGAACAAACTTGAGCTTTGAAATTGCGAAACTGGTCGCCGACTGCTGAAGTGACTTGATCCATAATGTCAATAGTCAAATCAGAGTGCATTCGCAGCTTAGCCAGTCCATGCCAATGCGCCATAGTAAATAACAACTGTAAAACAGTCGTATTGTGCAGTTCAGGGAGAAGACTGTCGAAGACAGGGATAGCGCACTTAAGATCGCGTCAAGGCACATCCAACTTCAGTAGACAATTCATACCTGGAGGAGGTCTTTGAAGTTTCAGGCTGCCATGCGTGTCATGTCCGAAGCATTAGCCAAAAATTTTCGGATAGTTGCGGGGCCAAACGTAGGTGTTTGCCTGTATCTTGTAGTAGAGAGGTCAGTTGGTGGGTGATGTCAAATCATAGAGTGTACCTTTGGTCCAATTTGTTAATCAGACTCTTGTCCTCCGCTGTAAGAATCCGTAACAAATGAATAAAAAGCATTTTCCAAACACCGAGCTCAAACTCGTGCAAGAGATCTACCACCAGCATGAGGAAAACATTAAAACCAAGAGCAGCGAGGTGATCGGAAAATGTGTTCTGTAAATTGGTCAGTTGTAGTCAATGATAAAAGTCAAACCCTCACCAAGGTAGGAACCCAAGATTGTGATTTGAGAAGGTGTTCCACCGCTGCGCTCCCGACTCCTAGATTCTTGTCATAGATTAATTTCCGTGCAGAGATTACAATAAGTCTTCATCTATCATCATTGTGTTCCAGTGTCTCGCACTGTCGCCTATCCAGAGGTCTTCCCATATTGTGTATGAGCTCCTTTGGCATAAGGCAACGTGGACACGGACACCCCCCAAGATTTCAAACAGTGGCGATCAGTACTCTAGTAAAGTTGAGATAAGTGTACACCTGCAGGATAGGAAATTCACGTACTTCTCAGGATAATCTGCTGAGTAGGTAAAGATCCTAGGGTAGAATCTGTGTGTGATGCTATCACAGCAATGAATCATGATTCCATGCTCATATGCTTCCAGGAATTCATTGTCCAATAGAATGTTCCATTGCTCGTGGAACAGTTCCCTGTGACAGTGGGTTGAGCAGTCGCTGTTCATGCCTTTGCCGGATGTAAAATCCTTGAAAGAGTGTGGGAGCTGGCAAAGAGTGTTAGAGATTGATTTGCAAAAACTGCGGAAAGACTTACCATCTCGAAGTACGCGACATGGTTGCTTAAGTTACATGACAGTTTGCAGCGGTGGTACTTGGACTCATTGCCAAAATACATGTAGGTGGGCTATAGCTTAGCATTGCCAAATGAAGTCAACTGTGTGGTGTCAGACCAGAACATTAGGCCAGCCACAACTCAGGGAAGATCATAGCCAGGTTCCCCGGCCATGTTTTGCAGTTTGGCGTGTGCATCATGGAACACTGGGGACGTGAACAAATCTCCATATATTGGAACTTCACCATCAAGGTGAGGAGGATTCCAACATAGCTTGTATGGCTCGTAATGAAATAATTTGTTATCTCAGGCATTGGTTAGTTTTTCCCGTATGATAGCAACAAGGGAGCGGTGATAAAGATCAGCGGCTTGAAAAGCGCGAGGCCCTGGCACTTCAGTTGTGCGGGAGAAGGGCACGTTGATGAAAACTGGTGTCCTTTTCCAACCAGCACCTTTTTCTTCCCATTCTTCTATATTGCCCTGATCGTACTTGTTGGCACCAAGATTGGAGTTGATTTCATTCCAATGCATGGAGCTCATGTCAGCAGTATTGAAGGTCTCACTACCTATGATCTTCAGCAGGTGTGTGTAGTCCTCTTGCGACTTCTGTACCCCTTGATTCCAGTACCAGTCACCAAGTTGAAAGGAGGAGTGGTTGGGATATGGGTAGTACTGAGAATCGCTAGCGATAGCAACGGGCGCGTTGTATTCTTCTTCGCTGACCGTGCGGCTGCCAGGAATAAAGGAGAGATCTGCTATAGTGACATACTCTTCCGGATCGTGAGATGGAGGTGCAGAGGAGAAGTATTGGCGCACTAGCCCGAAGATGTTTGGGGGCGTGTGGAACGTAGCATGTGATGGCGAGGTTGGGGTTTCATGTGATGCCATGACTTGACCGACGGATGGGGGAGGTAGTTTGCGAACTTCCAAGGGCACAGTGGGTGGAGGCTGAGGTAAAATATCTCTGAATCGTTTGGGCAGCTGACAATTCTGCCGTCTTGGTCAGCGTTGTGCCAAACTCATATCCTCTCCATCATTTCCCCCTATTTCACAGTCAGGGGGTGTAGCCTCTCTGACAGAGGCTAATGGATTGGGTGGAGGAGTACTAGTAACCCTGGGCTGTTGAGACACCTCCCTTGAAGGCAGGTGGAATTCGACAATGGAATAGACGAGTCGGTGACTCCCATGGAATCAATGTCGTTGGAGGAAGTGCGCGACTTTTTCCTGCAATTTGCAAACTCCTTAAATGAAGAGATGGCCGACGACAGATGCTTCTTTGTCTGAGTGCATGAGTGCTGGTGCTGGCTCAAGTAATTCTGAGCCATGAAAGTGCGTTTGCACACGCATGTGTAAATGGACACCAACATGAGATCATAGTTGATGCATGAAGTCTCAATGGAGATACTAATAGATAATCGATGAGGTGGCCGAATAGTGGCCGAAGAGCGGTGAATCACAATGGTAGAATGGCGAGGTTTGGCGAGGGCAGAATGGCAGGATTTAGAATGGTAAGATTTAGAATGGCAGGATTTGGTGAGGGCAGAATGGCAGGATTTAAAATGGCAGGATTTGGTGATGGCAGAATGGCAGCCACATATGGCATATGGAAATGAAAGCATGAAGTGGTGACCATGTATCTATATAAGGACTGTAAATATCATTCAATCATTTTATCTGCATGCAAAACGTCCTTACCATTATCTCCATGTTCTGAATGTTTGACGCTATCAGAATACGAATTTGTGGCTGATCCTGAGGTCGTGAAGATGCTAGCAAGCATCATAACTTGCCGCCACGGCATACTTCATTACCACAGCCAAACAAGAGAACTGACAATGTTTCAATGGTGAATGACTTATTTATATAAAAAGATATCTGCTACTCACATGTAGCCTGCTACAGGCCAACTGACTGGCATGGGTCTAAACTCCACCCTTCCTGATTTCAGGCTTATCGCAAGTCACATGCATTTCTCTACCCATGCTGTCTGTGTGCAACGGATGGGAAATATGTCGAGTCATCCATATATCCGCTCCGTACAGGGAGCTGCAAAGGGGAATACGTTGCTGAGTGCGCAACAGGAAATTGCGGGTACCTTTGTAAGTGGGCGTATTTGCATTATAAGAATGTGAGAACTTACCTTTGCAATTAGTGAATCTTGAGAGATTCATCAGGAAGGCCCATGTACCTTTGGCATATTATCCTGTGAGATTTTTTTTTAGAGACATGCGCGTCCACCATATGATATATGTTGAATATTAGGATAGTTGCATGATTAATTTGTAGCTGTAATAAAGCACAGTTCAGACATTGATTGTACACATGACCAAGTTATGTTACCTCACCGATCTGGTGTGCTTTGTATGATTTTATCAGTGCAATCATGTTCCATTTCACAGTTCATGTAAATAATCTGAAACAAAAATAGATGCTCGTGAATACACTGACATTCTTAGTTTGGGGAACCTACACAACATTTTATTGATGATTATTTCACTGGGTGGGGGCACACAGCACCCGACACTGTACCTGGCACCAACACAGTGCTTTCATCAAAATTCAGGTCAAGTGCTGTGTGCAGCACCCGACACCATAACTGACGCCAACAGCATCATATGATTGTGATTTGTCTTATTGGCAAAGCAGACTACAAAACTACACTATGTACCGTACTCCTTCATATGTCTGACAATGCAAATTGAGAGAGAAAAGTTGGAATAGATGAGGCCCTGGGGCTTATATAGTGATTGACTGTAGAATTAAAACTCAGCCGGCAATACGCGAAACAGCCACAAACATCCAACTTACAGGTGTTGCCAGCTGGGCCTGAATATGTAGTCATTCAGTATATCAACTGTGGCCCTTCATATACTTACCCTTCTTCCAACTCTGAAGGTCAAAATTATCGCAAGTAAATTATACTGTATGTTTATACTTAGGAAATGTGATTATATAGAGTATTGGTGTTGTTGTATCAAATTAGTGGTGTGAAGCAGTAGAGTAGTACTTCAGTATTGGCTGGCGATGTGTGCCACCATGCTTAGTAGAGATTCTCAGGACAAGGAACTTCTCTATCTACACCCACCTCGAATGGCTATCTACATTTACTTAGGCAGGACTTGACAATATCTCCAGAAAAACATCCACTTAGTATGAAATCCTCATAGTAACACCGTTGGTCCACAGTGTCACCCAGGACACATGATGCTGCATCCACAGCAGTCCACAAATTGTCATTGTGCGTATTAGCTAATCCAAATAGTGATTCACTATAAGTACTGATCTTGCGCATTAGCAGATCTTCTTTCTCTTACAACTACCTTGATCACCTACAGTAGATAGCACCAACTGTCGAATATCGTAGACTTAGGAATAGATTTCACAGTGCGTAACAGCTTAAGTTTGTTGTCACTATTGTTGATCATAATATGCAGAATCATGTCCAAACGTGCTGGATCTAGCAGTGCTGAACCAGCGCCAAAACGTCACAAAGGTAAGGATCAATCGAATATTGCCAGCATTGTCATTGACGAGGATGATACAGGAAATCAAGCATCAGCACTATATGATAATGGTGCATGGAAAATCCTGGAGCAATTCCTCACCATGTCCATGTCTTTATCTGAGATGGACAACACACTTGTAGCGTATCTTGGTGACCGATACTCTGCAGATGACTGGGTGGAGCCCCAATGTCTGCTGTTCTCCGGTGATGCAGACAACAATGAATCCCTAAGGAACCTCTCAGCACTATGGAAAACATACATACCAGACCCCTCAGAAAAATCTTCCATGTGCATGTCTGCATCAAGAAAGCACTTCCGCATGCCAAGTTCATGTGTTAGAAAATCACATAGGCCATCCGATGTAGGTGAATTTTTTAGGTGAAACCTTCATAGCTAAATAACGAATATAGGCTGTAAGAATGTTTATCTCACATGAGGCAGAGGTTGGGGATGATGAAGAAGAAGAAGAGGAGGAGGAGGAGGAGGAGGAGTATGATGAGCATGGCAATGGAACATCCGTGCGGTCGCCAAAGGTGACATGCTTACCAGGACCATCAGCGAAACAGAGGCTGGCTGTAAACTTTGATGAAATGGCCACCCGTTTTGCATTACACAGTCGCCAGGCTCCCACCCACAAAACACCTGAAAGTAGGATGTATCT